TCGGGTTAAGGGTCAAACTTAGGAACCTTTTGTTGACAATACTGACGTATCGTAAGCACACGATCATTAGCACCGCTTTGTGTGGGGTCTGAATTATCGAAAGACACATACACGACCGTCCACAATCAGAGGCAGACGACTCAGTCGCACAGTCAGTACTGCAAACGTAGAGGAGGGTTCGGTGCTGCCGCGTGTGTCAGTTTGTGTCCGTGTGCACAACATTAGGTTCCCTGATTTCCTCTGTGACCGCCTTGGCTATCCTCCAGAGTCTCATGACACGAGTGTTTCAGGCATACCAGCCTAATTTTCGTGAGCGCTGTGCCATTGAAGCCTTTGTCAGCTTTGAGCGAGTACTGAAAGACCTAGCTTGACTCAGCCATCTCTGGCATATTTCCCCATGAAAACAGAAACACCATGCTCATAGCTTTGCAATTTGCACGGGGACATGTTCAAACTTCCGTATATCATCAGAGACTACTACAATGACTGGCAAGCTGCTGTAGTTGAGACTTTTCTTCTGGGTTTGGAGCCAATAGCGCCGTAGATTATGGAATGGGAGCCTCTTTCGACACGTTTCCGTCAGGGCAAGATGTTCTATTTATTGTTGCTCGCAGTCCCATACATATTTTCCATTACTGAGGTTTGCCACTGGAAGTAGTTCAAAACTAGGAGCTAGGAGTTAGGCATATGCTATACAAGTCCTTTCCCCTATATTCTGGGCTGCAAAATAGTTCATGATCTTGAAAAAGACTTCTGTCCTAGTGGTCTAGGGTTGACACCTTTCATCTCACCGGGCGGGCACTCAGTGGAACTGCGCTTGAAACGTTCCAAACTAATCCTCGCTCTGGTTGTTTAACTAAACGTATAACTGAGCAGCGGAATGACTTTAATAAGTCAACCATGGCAACCACGTCGCTGGTAGCTTTCAGAAAACCGTTGAATCATTCTGGCCTCACTTTCCATGGACGTGCCGATTGGTAATGAATTGCATTTTTGAGCATGCATTATTTTTATTGCTATAGCTTATCTACTTAAATCATGTAGGTAAAATATTTAACACATTTTTTTAGTGCGCTGTCCAACTGACATGCAATAGTAGGAATACCGAATTCATCGCTTTCCACCCTCAAATGTACTGAAATAATTCACTCTGCGAGCGTCCCTTCTCCGTCACCGAATATGAGTCCCATAGAGAACGACAGACAGGCCACCGAGCCAAAAGTACTACAATCAGATCGGTAGGCGATACAATTCAGGCTTACTGGATTGCACCATTCTCGGGACCAGAGCTTTTTGGTCAGGTTACTGACCATAAAACAGACCCTTGGTGGGAACTATAGTAATGAGCGTCGGACATAGAAGACTCAAGAGATTTGCTTAGGTCAACCTACTTCTTGTTTGATCGCCACGCGCGCAGCGCCAGATAAAGCCAGACATCTATAAGGTTGGTGGCAGTGAAAAGCACTTTGATCTTACCTTCAAAAACCTGACTTTTTGTCATAAGATACGATCACAAACAGTAGCAGTCAAGTCGTTTGCATGTTATAAACAAACTCCGCCGTGTTTATGGATTCCGAATTTCAGGGCGAGCCTATTACTGTCTGAGTGACTTTTCTGCTGGACTTGCAGGACAAACCTTGTGTACGGATAAAATTGGCAACTTGAGCGGCATCCGAAACTTGCTTTGCGAGTCTCATGGAAGACGGTATCCGTTAATTTTCACACCTGAAGGGCATGACTTCGGCGACTTCGTGCAAAATGTCTTCTGGCTGTGCATGCCCCCTATCCCCCATAATTTTCTACATGACATGCTTTAATCGTTGTAATCACAGACTATACGAAGTGTTTGTTTCACTGGACTTTCACCCTAGCTATAGTAGTAAGGACGTCGAGGAGTGTATGGGGTTCCTTGGGAGGGAATCGACATTGCAATTGTACGGTTATTCCTGGTTCAAGCAGCAAGGGCATGCTATCGAAGCACCTAGCCCACTGGCTGTAGGTTATTAAAACCTCAAGCTAAACCATGTGAGAAAAATGAAGTGCTCACCGGATCAAAGGCCTGTTTGATCGGTATTCTTAAACTCCGTGCGACCGTCTTTTCCTGATCATCGGAGAAACTGGCCACAGTTTTGACTTTAGAGGAGCAGCCGTCTTAGGCCGGGACGCCTTAAAGACGGAACGTCTCACATTTGAGGCCTGGTACTCCGACGCTAACTCCATTAACAGGCATCTAGACCTTCCTGCGGCCTATAAAGCCCTACGTCACTACATACGCCATGACGAAGACAAAACAGTTACACGGTGCTTAAGAATACCGAACAAACACGGCCCGTCGACCCATTCACCCAAAAGCGGAGCACAAACGCAACTACCCCCAATTGGGGTGACGACACACAACACTGGAGGTCACCAACCTTCACAAACGACGGTCAGAGGGCCAAGGCAACGAAGAAAGAAAAAAATAGATCAGCCCAAGACCAGCTAATTTGACTGTCTATTCAAAATTATGGTCGACTTTTGCGCCAGACGCTCTGATAATGGAGAGCCGACCAAGCTCTCTGAAACGTCAGCAATACAATGCCTTTGATCCTGTGAGCACATCCTTCTTCTCAGATTATCGACCCGGATCTCTTACGTTTGCTAACCTAAACCCTGTCTGATTTTCCACGATTGTTCCTACTTTAAAAGAGAAATCGTGGAGCCACTTGCGTGAATCAACCAGACGTTAATTTTGTCCGAATCATAGATTTTGAAATCACAGTGCTGCAAGCCTTTCAGAACTACCCATTGTATCGTCAACCAGCTGTGGTACTCTCTCGTTATCCGCGTTCGTCCCGACATCCCATTGTATTTGAAGTTCGCCACTCCACAAATCCTCTAAGAAGTAGAACCATTGTCCGCCAAATCGTCCAGGAGCTCTGATGGCTATGATTTAGTACTAATCTAAAAGCCATCAAAAATAACGCGCGTAGGTTTACATTAAGTAACCAAACGCCAAAATGACTTTATCTTCCATGTAATTCTGCTCAGAGACGACTGGAGCCTATTCCGACCCCGAACCAACCTCTTCTGGCTACACTACCTGGCTGAAAAGTTGAAAAGCACCACCGCACCCCATTGCTCGCCTCGGGAAAAGCAGCATCGGGAAGCTCGGCTCCTGATTGGCCGTTTGGAGAAGGACCTACGGCAACCAAACGCATTTACCTCTGCTAGCGACTTTATCTTTAGGCACTCATTCTTCGCTTCCCTACGCCGAACCACTTTATCAGACGATCCCTCCGACAAGCTTGCAGGAATATCGCTCGAGTCCTAATGCCGTTGTTTTTCTGTCATCTTTTAACAAGTTCATTTTGTAAATAGACCAGTTTGTACAGTTGCCTACTTGCGATTCGGTATTTATTTGGATTTGGTTTGAACCATCTCTTTAGTTTCACAATACATAACAGGCGTTCGGCTCAATAACCAATGATCCCAGGTTCTCCACGCCTGGGGTCTGAGCATGGCTGGCTGAGGACAGTTAAAAGCCAGAAATGGCCATCCCACTGTCTCTTGTCTTCGTCGGTGCTCCTCCCAACATATATTTACGATCGCTGTGCGACTATCTTCATGGGCTCTAGGTCGGGCCTTAGGGCACAATGGAACGAGCATGTCCCGTAAGCCGACTGCTGAGCACGATCCCACTTATATATGTATATATATGCAGAATGCTATTGCCGACAAAGACAAGGAAGACTGGAATGGCCATTTCTGGCTTATTAGCCGTCGTCAGCCAGCCATACCCAAGCCCGAAGTGTGGAACACCCGAGCCTCAAACTCGCGACCTGTTGGTTTAGAAGTCAACGCCTCTACTCACCGGGCCACGAGCCCGTTGCCTTGTCGGTTTTCGATCGGGAATATACAATGTTAGGGGGGCGCTCACCGATCGTTCATGACAGTTCGACCGTCGATTTCGACGATGTCCACCGTGTGCCCCACAGCTGCAGCAGCGGTGGGAGCAGGGACGGTGACTTACGCAGGGGTTTATAGTGCCAGTAGACTTGCGTAGCATCTACCTACACTCTCTCCTCCTCCCCCGCCTGGGCCCGGTGTTAAGACAGAGTCAAGAAGACCGGAGACGAGGGAGGCCGCAGGTGGATGGCTCGGACGGATCCTCACCTTGGCGTTCCACCACACCCCCTGGTCCACACAACAATAACCAGGATTTGAACCAACACAACATAGATTTGGAGGCTGGCACGGCCGAAGCCGCACCTGGGCGTGCCGCCAACGCCTGGCTCGGATCCCACACTGTGGTGGGAATGCCATAAAGGCCACATTAAAAAGGAGCCATTGCAGCCTGACTCTCAGACCGCCTCCAGTAATGGAGGAGGTCCAAGGTACCCCGTCAGTTGGCAACCTTCCAAGCCACGGCTTTTAGCGCACCGTGATAGCTTCAAGCGCGTCAGATTGTTTATAGTGAGGAAAATGCGCCGAGTCGTCGACCTCACTCTCCCTTCCCATTCTCACACCCCAGCCACTGTCCGAGCCGGTCAGCAGACTGGAGTGGGGAATGGGCGCGGTGGCTGACATGGTCGACTGACCATGCCTGCGCGCGCCACAGCACGACCTGGCCCCCCATACACACAGACACCAGGATTTCACACAACGGGGGTTGAACGGCGTGTCTCTCACATGCGTGAGAGGGTCGTGGAAGGTGCTGCTTCAGCCCGTCACCAGTCCGCCACTACACAACACACACACACAACGTGACGAACTGCGTGAACCGAGAACGGGCCTCAATCAGCAACCTTCCTATCCACGACGCTTGACGTGTCGGGATAGTCTCGGACTCAAGTCACTCGTGCAGCCGAGGCCGCATGGGGACCGAGTCGAGATGCACACTTCCCACTTGCGTGGGAGGCGGCAGTTGAGTGCATGAGGTGTGTGAGGGTTGACGTCTAGTGGGGTGATGATGTTAGGAGGTAGGGAGTGAGGGAATGTGTGGTGTGACCGGCGGTTGTCTACCGCAGGTCGTTGTGGATGCGCATGTGGCCGAATAGACCCATGCGATGCGTGAAGGTGCGAGGGCAGTGGAGTCGAGTGCGGTGGGTGTAGGTTGGTGCTCCAGGCACTGGTTCGCCAGTCTCTGTGCGATGGATTCGCAAGTGACCGACCGGGCCGATGCGTGAGGTGAAGGTGCGTGGACAATGTGGGCATGAGAGGTCGGCGGTGTCGGTGTCAGCTGTAGAGGAAGCAGTGGTGTTGGTGGTGGCGGTGGTGGTGGTCGGCGCGTGTGACGGTGGGGCGAGGATGGGTCTGGGCGTGTTGGATGTCGTGGCTGTATCGGAATTGCGGTCAATGCCGCTCTCGTGGATGCGCATGTGGCCGAATAGACCCATGCGATGCGTGAAGGTGCGAGGGCAGTGGAGGCGAGTGCGGTGAGTGTAGGTTGGTGCTCCAGGCACTGGTTCGCCAGACTCTGTGCGATGGATTCGCAAGTGACCGACCAGGCCGATGCGTGAAGGTGCGATCGCAGTGAGGGCAGATGTAGTCCGGGCCCTCACATCTGTTGATGGAGGTTGCAGGGATTGTGCCTGTTGTTGTGTCAGGTGCGGCTGTGGTGAAGTCGTGCGCTACAGACGCCGGAGTGGCCGTCGTTGTGGCAGTGAAGGAGGAAGGGGGGGAGTGAGGGGTGGTAAGGTCGGTGGCGTCGATGTCGGCTGGGGAGTGGTTAGTGGGTGCACAAGGTGATGGATTGGGAGTGGGGCTCGGCGGGGTGGGTGTGTCAAGGCTGCGGTCAATTCCGCTCTCGTGGATGCGCATGTGGCCGAATAGGCCCATGCGATGCCGGAAGGTGCGAGGGCAGTGGAGGCGAGTGCGGTGGGTGTAGGTTGGTGCTCCAGGCACTGGTTCACCAGTCTCTGTGCGATGGATTCGCAAGTGACCGACCAGACCGTTGTGTGAGGTGAAGGTGCGGTCGCAGTGAGGGCAGGTGGGGGTGGTTGCGGTTGCTGTGTCGTGGTTGGCGATGTGTGAGACGGCAGCCTGAACGGCCACCGCTGGGGCAGTGGAGGAGAAGGAGGAGGATGGAAGTGGTGGTGCAGAAGGAGTGTCAGAGTTAGTTGGCGGAAGAGAGGACGAGGAAGAGGCGGGCGGGGGGACGATGGCTGGAGCAGTTCGAGAGGTGCAGTTGGTTCGAAGATGTCCAACAAGTCCGATTCGTGCCCGGAATGTCCGTTGACATCGAGGACACGTAGGGAGAGGTTGTGCGGCGGCGTTGCGTATTGGGCGAAGTTGTGATTTGCGGACTTCGCGTTTCACTTTGGCGGCGGCGATGCGGTTGGCTTCGTAGATGGCAGCGCCCGTCTTCACTGTTCTCCTACATGTCGGACGATCGCGGGCGAGCTCTTCCCAGTTGGTCGGGTTGATGTGCAGGCGCTTCAGGGAGGACTTCAGAGTATCTTTGTAACGGCGAATTTGGCCTCCTTGACGACGAGAACCCCTCGCGACGTCTCCGTAGAAGAGTCGCTTGGGTAGTCGCTCGTCGTCCATGCGCACCAGATGGCCGCTCCAGCGCAGCTGCATTTGTCTCAACATGAAGTAGATGCTCAGAATTCCCGTCCGTTCCAGCACTTCGGTGTCGGGGATGCGGTCCTGCCAGTTCAGCCTCAGGATGCGGCGGAGACAGCTGAGGTGGAAGTGGTTTAGTCGACGTGCCTGCCTCGTGTACAACGTCCAGGTTTCCGCTCCGTACAGTAGCGTCGGCAGGATGACGGCCTTGTACATCTTCAGCTTTGTGCTCAGTTGGAGACCATGACGATTCCAAACTGTGCTTTGGAGGCGACCGAAGGCTTGACTGGCTTTCGAGATCCTGTTGGCGACTTCGTCGTCGATCTTGGTGTTGCGGGAGAGCGTGCTGCCCAGGTACGGGAAGTTCTCTACCACTTGCAGTTGAGTCCCATTCACGTTGATTTGCGGCGGCGCGTTGGGGGCTGTGGCTGAGCTGGGAGGCGGCTGATGCATCACCACCGTCTTCTGCGTGTTGATAACCAGCCCAAAGTTCTCGCAGGCGGCGGAGAATAGGTCCATGCTCCGTTGCATCTCCACTTCTGAGGTGGTGTTCAGGGCGCAGTCGTCGGCGAAGAGGAGTTCGTGCACGGTGGCTGTGGATACACGCGATTGGAAGTTCATGCGCCGGCGATTCAGGAGATGACCGTCCGTTCTATAGGCGATGCGGATTCCAGGGCGTTCGTCGCGGTAGGCGTCCATCAGCATGGCAGAGAACATGAGACTGAAGAGGGTAGGCGCCAGCACACAGCCCTGCTTCACTCCGTTGGTCACTGCGAATGCCTCTGAGACAGCTCCGTTGTCCGTGACTCGCGCCATCATACCGTCGTGCAGCTGACGCACCATCTGAGTGAATCGCTCCGGACAGCCGAATTTCTGCGTGATCTTCCACAGTCCTTCATGATTCACCGTGTCGAAGGCTTTCGTCAGGTCCACGAAGGTAGAGTACAGGTGGGTCCGCATCTCCTGACACTTCTCCTGAAGTTGGCGGGCGGCGAAGATCATATCCGTGGTCCCACGATGACGACGGAAGCCGCACTGGCTTTCTGGCAGAAGGCCCTGTTCCAGGTGGTTATTGAGGCGGTTGAGAAGGATGCGAGCGAAGATCTTCCCGGCGATGTTCAGTAGGAGGATGCCGCGGTGGTTGTCGCAGACTTGGCGATTCCCTTTGCGCTTGTGTAGGTGCACGATAGTTGCGTCCTTGAAATCTTGCGGGACTTCACCTTGACGCCACATCTCTTGGAAGAGCGCAGTCAGGTGATCCATCAGTAGGGGACCACCGTGCTTGTAGACCTCAGCAGGGATTGCGTCCGATCCGGGTGCTTTCCCGCTGGAGAGCTGCTGCACGGCCCTGGTCGTTTCCTGGAGAGATGGCGGGAGGTCGAGGTCCGCGTTGGTCGCCACTTGCGGCAAGCGGGCGATGGCGGCTTCGGAGATGACGGAAGCGCGGTTGAGGACGCCTCGGAAGTGCTCGGCCCATCGCTGCAGGATTTGCGTCTTCTCAGTCAGGAGAGTGCTGCCGTCGGCGCTGAGGAGAGGAGCAGTGCCCTTCGTCGGCGGACCGTAGACAGCTTTGATCGCGGAGTAGAAGTTCTTCCATTCGTTGCGGTCCGCGTAGCCTTGGATCTCCTCAGCTTTGCGAGCAGTCCAGGCGTCCTGCATCTCGCGCAGTCGTTGCTGAAGCTGTCGGCGACTGTGGTAGAAGGCAGCTTTGTTGCCCTCAGTTGGGTGCTCTACGTAGGCTTTGTGTAGGCGGTTCTTCTCGGCAAGCAGATTTCTGATGGCAGCGTCGTTGTCGTCGAACCAGTCCTGGTGTTGGCGGGGAGCGCGGCCGAGGACGGCGAGCGCCGTCGACTGGACCGTGTCTCGCAGTTGACACCAGCGGTTCTCCACGGAGGCGTTCTCGGCAGCGGCGGCGGCGTCGTCGGCGGCGGCAGCGATAGGAAGGTTGTCTAGCCGTTGAGCTAGCTCATTGCTGAAATGGAGACGGTGAGCAGACAAAGACAACAAAGCAACATTCAGCTTACCTGGGGGTCGCTTACCTTGTGGTCTCCTGCGAGGCTGTAGGCGAATACGCATCTTCGAGATGACGAGGCGATGGTCGGTCCACCCGTCAGCACCCGCGATCGCCTTCGTCACCAGCACGTCTCGCTGATCTCGCCTCCGGACGAGGACGTAGTCCAGCAGGTGCCACTGACGCGACCGAGGATGCCTCCAAGTGGCCTTCTCTTGCTCCGGCAGACAGAAGAAGGTATTCGTCAGGGTGAGGCGGTGTTCTGCGCAGGTGCGGAGGAGAAGCAGGCCGTTGTCGTTGGAGCCGCGGAGACCGTTGGGACCCAGCACTCCCCTCCAGGCAGTATGGTCTGTGCCGACGCGGGCGTTGAAGTCACCAAGGACAATCAACTTGTCCGCCTTCGACACAGTCGCCAAGAGGGCGTGCAGGTCCTCGTAGAATTTGTCTCTGACGGCGTCGGGGTTGGTCATCGTCGAAGCGTAGGCGCTGATGATGGTGGCAAATTTGCCTCCCCAGAGAGGCAGGCGGAGGCTCATCAGGCGATCGTTGATGCCCTGCGGCAAACAGGGCAGTCGTCCAACGATGTCGGTCCGGATGGCGAAGGCGACGCCCGCGTCTCGTCGCTCTGCCCTGGGTCGACCACTCCAGAAGAAGGTGTAACCGGCACCCACCTCCTCCAGTTGGCCTTGTTCGGAGAATCGGGTCTCGCTGAGTGCGGCGATGTCCACCTTGTAGCGCGCCAGTTCTCGTGCCACTAGCGCCGTCCACCGTTCCGGTCGGTTGCTCCTCGGATTGTCTAAAAGGGAACGAACATTCCACGCTGCCAGAGTGAGCGGGCTCACCCTGTCAGTCTGGGGAAAACGAGTGGGGCGATGGGAAGGAGGTGGAGAAGAAGATGACGAAGGAGAAGAATAGGCAGAAGAATAGACGGAGGTAGAGGTAGAAGAGGTAGGATGAGGAGAATGAGTATGGTTGTTGTTGTTGTTGTTTCGAGTTTGATTGTTTCGACCGTGAGTTTTGCGTCTGCGACCACGGTGCGCCAGCAGACGACGTGGTTCCCCAGCAATTTTTAGGCCAGCTTTTCCAGGCCCCCCCGAAGGAAGCAGTGCCCTGACCCCTGAATAGGGGCTGCTTGATGTGCCGGCGCGGCCGAACTCCACTGTGGGCCACGAGTTTTTTTGGCAGTGGAAGAACGACTCGAATTTGCCAATGGCTTACGGCATTGCCGCAAGCCTGCGGTCTCCTACGGTGCACCAGATGGGCGCGTGTCGACGGTGCCAATTCGGAGATCCATCCCACCGGCTGATCAACGGCGTACCAGGCGGAGCCTCGTCTAGACGATGCCGATGCGACGTTCCACCACCAACCGGTGTGTCAGACAGAGCCTCGTCACGACGGCGCCGACGCGGTGTTCCATCCGACCAACCGTCCACGGAGTCCGCAGTCACCTGTGCACGCGGCACAACGCGCACAGGGAGTAACCGCCCTCACCTGGTTTAGCCCGCCGGTCGAGACGGTTGCCCGGGGTGTGGCCGCTGAGCAGAGCCCAGCTACGTGGAGCCACAGGTGAGAGTTGAGTGCCAGCAAGTGGACGCTAGGCGTAGTCTCACCTGCAAGCAAGTGAGCGACCACTACGACCTTCACGTGAACCCACCGCTGACACCCCTACACCCCACCGATCGTTCATACGGAACTCACTCGTTCCGTTGTGCCTTATGGACTCTCTCTCGAGCCATTCCTTGGAGGCGGGTAACTGTCTTAGAGACGGCGTAAATGTATAGCAGTGCAAGCCAGAATTTAGGCGTGAAACAGCTGTCTGCCTCTGGCCTGTTGCACTCTTAGCGAGCTGCTCATGTATTATATGTGGTATGTGTCCTCTGACACAGCGTTCGTTGTCGCCAGTAGCAAGCTGGCGGGATCGAATGAGATCCTAGCCACAACAGTGAGGGTCAAACGCCCACTTGACATGCTTATATACCTCACTTCATAAGGCATATGACGTACTGATGATCGGTAACGACCGTGAAACAGCTGTCTGCGTCTGGCCTGTTGCACTCTTAGCGAGCTGCTCCCTTGTCTTTGTCGGCTCCATCTCATCTATGTCTACTATTAGTCGCTGTGCGACTGCCTGCGAGGGTTTACGTATGAGCCCCAAGGCACAACGGAACGAGCATGTTCCGTCACCTGATCGGCGTGCGCCCACTGTCATAATATATATATATATATATATATATATATATATATATATATTGAAAATAAGTAAGATTCTTTGGGAAGGGAATAAACTTTAATGAGTAAATTTTCGAGTCTGGATCCCCAGCTCGTCGTCAGACTTTTGGGCAATGTACAAAAACAGTTAACTATTTAACCGTGTCAAACAAGTGATTCTATGGTTGGCCGAAGTCTGCGCCAATGCGCGTCAACGATTTCGTCATCCCTTCGGCATTGGCTGCGCTCGCCTCCATTTGTCCTTGAGAAATTTGTATGTGGCATCTAAATCGATATGCCGATTGATGCATGCCTCATCTGAGTGCATTGCTTCCAGGAATTCGCGGCCTTTCCTTATTGGGCAGGCGCCAACAATGTGGGTGTTCTCCCATGCAAATTTGTGTCCAGTGTCCAGTGTGTGCATAGCCACCTGGGATAAATGATCTCGTCCCCAAAAGTCTGACGACGAGCTGGGGATCCAGACTCGAAAATTTACTCATTAAAGTTTATTCCCTTCCCAAAGAATCTTACTTATTTTCAATTAAATTTCTTGGGATGCCCGTTTTCCAGCATATATATATATATATATATATATATATATATATATATATAATGGTATATACTATATATAATGGTAGGGGGCGCTCACCGATCGTTTTTACGGATTTCACTCGTTCCGTTGTACCTTACGGGCTCTCTCTCGAGCCCAACCAGCAGCCGCACAGCGGCGCATGATATAGGCAGAAGGGTATTACCGACGATGACAAGGTTAGAGACGTGGACTTCTAATAAACAGGTCGCCAGTTCGAGCCTCGGGTGTTCCACACTTCGGGGTTGGGTATGACTGGCTGACGACGGTTAATAAGCCAGAAATGGCCATCCCAGTCTCCCTTGTCACTGGGGTCTACCAGATGGGTCATAAGCACTTCATCGAATCGAAGTTCATCAGTGCCTTGACACCTGCCATTCCCTGTCGCTGCAGGTCGGGTATTTTTTTCAGTCAGGGATGGGCGCACATCGATCCGTTTGCTTCCAGAGCAACCGCCTACCAGGCCGAAGTCGGCCAATCTATGATAGCAGGGGAGAAGTCAGAGTCTGGGGGGGAGGGGGGTAGATTGATACAGCACTATTTCGGGCGTTTGCCTTCATTCAGCTAATCATAACCCTGAACACCAGCCATTCCTGGGTGCCCATTCCTGGGTGAATAAATATCCGATTCGCAGCGACAGAGAATGGCAGGTGGCGGGGCACTGATGGACTTCGGTTCGATGAAGTGCTCTTACCCATGTGGTAGACCAGCTGTGCCAGGTGTCGGAGCGCATGTTTGTGTTTCTGGTCCCAACTGGTGGTCAGGGTTGTGTGGGACAAACGTAATTGCTTAGAAGGGAAGGGCGATTACTGTTGATAGGCCGAAAAGTATGAATATGAGCATATTCGCGCGCGGATAAAGAGGATCCGACCAACGGGTCCAGCACCGGCACCGAGTGAAAACAGCCAGCATCGTGTCATCTGTCATCCGGCCTTGAGTCCGTCAACACCTCGCAAATAATACGGAAGAGTACACGTGGTGAAAGAGGACGCAGCGGTTATTATATTTTCTAGTTCAGCGTTAGACGTGCCCTGTGGTACTTCACATTGTGAATTCCTGTCTAGTGGGCCTTGTTGTCTTGGGGTCCGGCGCGTGTAATGCGTAGAGGCCTGCTGTGACGGCGGCTACCGCACGTTCGGAGCAAAAAAACCAAAGGAGTAGCTTACAGTGAATGAGTACACTAGACGATTCCCACAGTCCGCGAGGCTTCCCCCCACACTGCGGATCAGGCTGCGTTGAAATCAGCTCTGTTTTTCGTCACGCAGGTTTTAAGTATGCAAATGCATTTCAAGTCACTTGCATTACCCGCTTGAAAGGTAGGCGGATTTTACTGACGCTGCAAGCCTGAGGCCCAAAGTCAAATGGTCTTATCGAACGGTAAACTCCGTGACAGCATTCGCTTGTGAACCGACTGGTCAAATTGCATGCATTCGTAATCCGACTGCAATCTCCTCGATAATGTAATGAATAACAGTAATTCATCTTTCTGACAAGAGTACTTTCCGGTCTGGCGGTTTGTTCGTCAAAAGCGTCGACGACTGCCATCGGCGGCGGTTACTGGCGTCGAAACCGACTCGCGGTGAGGGAGACTCGCAGCATATCTTAGTCTCAGTAATCCCATAGGAAAGACAAGGAGATATAGGCGAAGACGCAGAGGCCGTGCGCGACCACTGGCAAACACTTGGAACTGCCATGTGGACAATAACAGACGGGAACCATCTCGGTCCGCCCCTCAGTCTGATTGGGAGCGGAGTCATCCTGTCTCTGAGCAACCACGGAAACTAGCGCACATAAATTGACAAGCGTTCACGGGACGGTCTGCTTTACCTTTATCAAGACTGAATTCAATGAAATAATAGCGGAGTTGGTTACATTGGCTGCTGTAGGGCAAGGCCTCCGTCTGATGCCTGCAAAGCATGTTTGGCGTCCTTTAAGTGTAGGACTACAGCACAGACCGTTTGGGGGAGGGGGGCTTGGAGTTCTAGTTCACTTCAAATTTCACTAAATAATAACCAGGAAGAAAGTACTGAGAAGCCTTATTTGATCAGACGTGTGATAAGTTGGTGAGGAGCCTTCGTCCGTTCTTCGGGAGGACTCTATACTACCGAAGATCTGTCGTGTCATTCGTAAATGATGGCAGACCATTTATGACAAGAACGAAGAGGAGAGATATCGGCCGCCGATTTTGCCAGAAACCATCTTTTTTTCCAAATGAAGTGGAAACAACCGCAAGTGGTCGTGTCTTACGTGGTTTAGTCATGTTCATTTTGCATGATTAATCATGCCGACAGCAGAGATACTAGCTAAAAGCCCGGGTACATGTTTTGCCGATCTTCTGCTACAAGGGATTCGGTTCATTAGGGAGTCCCACAGCGTAGCTCGTGTGCTTTTCTGGCAGATGCTCCAGTTTTGAACAGAGTGGTCCTTGTGTTGCATAGCTTACCATGCGGACAGCGCAGGTACTAGCTAAAAGCCCGGACACGTGTCAGGTAAATATTCTGGGGCCACGTGACACCGCTGCGAGCGGGTAGGTGCATCAGTGCGCCCCCAACGGTCCCCGCGTGCATTCTGGTAGATGCCCCCAGTTTTTCAATTTGAGCTAACCAACTCCTCCGAAGTTAGTGCGCTCGGAAGAGAGCTCTATAGGTTTGGTCCGAACGTTTATGTAGATAGTTGAGCCGAGAACCATCAGTTTAAGCGGGATATTCATAAACTGCCAACGGGTCAGCAGTAGTATGCACATGTTGCATGATTTACCATACTGTGAAATTTGGCGCAAAACCACCTGTACTACGAGGACACGTAGTTCCGCGTTCAGCTGGTTGATTCCTATTGCTTTAGGCCGCGTACAATCTAAAACCCGTTCGAAATCGTGCCTCTGGAGAGGCGGAGTGAAAGTAATGGTAGAGGGGCGCTCACGAGCGTGTTACGGAACTCACTCGTCCCGCGTTATGCCTTCGAGCCCAACCAGTAGCCGCATAGCGGCGCATAATATAGGCAGAATAACATTACCGGCAAAGACAAGGCAGACTGGAGTGGCCATAACCGTCGTCATCCAGCCACACCTAACCTCGAGGTGTGTCATACCTTGGGCTCGATATCGCGATCTGCTGGTTAGAAGTTCAACGTCCTGACCATAGAGCCACGGCCCCGTTGTCCTGTCGGTTGCGATCGAGAATATACGATGGTAGAGCTCGGGGGCGCACACCGAAATTCACTCATTCTGTTGTGCCGCTAGCAATCGGTTCCCAAATAGATGCAGTAACTCTGGGCCAAACACGTCGCAAAGCGATTCAGTCAGCAAGTACCGAGAGAAAAAGTAGTTGAAGTCGTTAGGTCAGTGATCAAGAATCTCTAAAACGCAGCTCACCAATCCCATATTCTTGAGGCTGATTCTTCAGCAGGCTAACAGCGTAATCCGGCAATCTGACTGAAACGCAGTAAATTTTTGGAGAAAAGTGCAGTAAACTGGGCGACAAACGGTATGGTCACATCTATGAACTCTATTCTGTAAAAAAGGGTGTATAAAATGAGTAAGTTCAGAAGAAGAAGAACATCTATGCACATGGATATTTCACATTAAAAAGCAGGGTAGGAAAACACTGAGGACACAATGCTACGAGTTCACCAAATAAGTGACTTAAGTGGTGCAATTACACCACTAACACATGCCGGACTCCGATCTAGTCTCTGTGTTCGTGTTGGTCCAGCGCGTCAACCGCGTGGTCCGTTTTTTGGCCACAGTTCTCAGCATTGACGCATTAACTGACTATCTTGACGGCGCAATTTCGTGTAATTATAACATAACGCAAACAGATCAGTATCCCATGATCTTGCCTTCCCCATACCAGATCTTGCTAGTTCAGAACGAACTGTTGTCTGTAAGCATTCCGAAAACGTTCGCGAATATTCTTGCTACACTTCTGTTTTTAGGTGGTCTTGTATCGGATAACAATGATCGATAACCGGAATCCCCGCTGACACATGAGTCGTACTACTGAAAACTTAACTGCCTAGCCAGTAGATTCCCCAGTGTCACTGATGGCGTAGACAGAAAAGGCAAAAGGCAGAGAAAATCTCGCTATTGTCGCACGGGTTTTCAGCGGCATCCAAACGGAACCTGTTGTTAAGGTTAATAAACAAAGACTTAATAAAAGCCGAATGAGGAAAAAGTTAGAAAATGCGTAGCAAAGGGTGTAATCACATAATATCTGTATCCAAAGGCGAGATATAACACCATGATCTCACGCTTAACCGGACAGAGTGACCATCAAATGGCCGGACGATCGTAGATCTTGTTCTCTGTTCATGAGATGTATAGCTCGAGACCCCATGAGGACGAAGTAAATCTTTGTAGCTGGAAAGCCCAGGGCTTGCTGATAGCTTTTAACAGGAGTGAGACGCTCGGTCGACCTTGTAGCTACTTTAATTAATGTTAATGAAGCTCCGCTGTTGGTTCTTCTAAGGAGGCAGCAGCGCAATTAACGGTTCTAACGATCGGGTGTGAGGTAGTACTTTGTGTTGCAGAACAACTTTGAAAAAATGCGACAAAATAAGACTGCACCCTAGCTTCCTCCCTGGACCTCTAATGTTAGGGGATTTGCTTCATGGTAGCTCTTTGGTATAGTCGGCCAAAGGGATCATTGCCTTGGAAGGTAACGGGCACTTGTGCTGGACCTATTCTCTCCATACACACAGCACTCAAATGATAAGACGAAGTCAGGATTACTGAAGGTGGACGGGCTTGACCGGATCCACGACTATGCGTACTGCCAATGCTCTGATTTCGACCTGAACACGAATCCTGCTCCAGCTAAATGAGTCTTGGATACATCATTGAGGCCAGAATGTAAAGGCCCTATTGCCGGCCAACCCTCAGTCCGACAGAGAACCGATTATCGTCGCCATTGAGCGCCCACCCCGGTTACGGCTTCTAGCGAGCAATAATAATATAAAGCACCTCAACTCTGTGATAGCGAAGAGACCATGCGGTGGATCCGCGTTGGATCGACCCCACTCTCTGTTGCACTCCATAAACTCGTCAGTGGCATGATCTTCCTAAGCACTTGTTGTACAGCCGCATATGCGCAAGTCTGACGAACTATTCACCAACTGACCAACACCGGCCGGTGACTGAGCGATTTGCGGTGCCAGCACGCTTGCACCTCACTGGACTAGGTGTTTTTAACTCATTCTGTAGTACCAATGGGCCAAATAAATAGGGCGTTCCAAGCAGTGGTGTTTGATCACATGGTCGGACGGCTCTCAGGCTTTGGATGCGCCCTGGTTTGCTAGCTCTTCACGCACCAGAAGGTTGAATGGCAAGATTTGCCAAGAAAACTTTGCATCAGGGGAAACAGTGAATCTTTCCTTTGCCGCTTGCAACCGCCTATGTTTGGGACTCATAGTCGCCTTTGCATATCAACTACTTAGACAAGGTGCGAGTGGCTGAATATGAGTTTTTCGGACAACAAAACAATGCTGATTTCTCCGGTACTATGCAAACGAGTACAAAAAACTAAAAACTCACGTCATGATGCATCCGCTCTGCAAATAACCATAGAAGTTGCCTCAAGATCACAACCGCAGTGGTCAGCATGAAGGTCATTGCAGGCGCACCAGCCTACTAAATAGAATGCTATTGGGGTGGGCAGGTCTCCGAGGGTGCAGACATAGGAATACACTTTTTTCCCACCATTCAGGCATCCTTTATCCACCAATGGATGTGGGACCTGCAGCGAGATAAGCACATTTGCATTCAAGGCCCGCACTGAACGTCCTCCCATCTCAATTTCCCACCCCCTTCTCCCCACCATCGCCTTAAGGGTATCGTGGTCACGGTTGGGGCCGTTTAGAGGCTCTGCGAAGCCGTGCATAAATTACCGGGACAACAATCTTGCACACTGCGTCCACTTGTGATACACGCTATCGCCTGTGCGCACGTACCTACTCGTCATGTATCTCCCAATCAGCGGTTGGACAGACGTCCACAGCAGATGTGGGTCTCCGAGTCATTATTAGCATAATCAGCAACGTCACATCTGCCACCTGCGATCTGTTGCCGATGGGCCACGCCTTGAACTACGCTCAATCCGCAATCAGTCGGACATGTCCACGACTTCGGGCGAGGCAGACGCACCCGGCGTCAGTTTCCTCTAGACAGACGATGCACTCGAGTCCGCCGGTCCGCGTCGGATTCTCCGTCCGCGATTTACTACGGGTTCTCTTGGTTTGTCTTGGCCTACATATCGAATCCTCATGGGGACTCCGGTGGTCTGATAGAGACACCTGGGTTGAAAGTGGCGCAACTGTGGTGGAGGAAATAGCCGATGGGTCTGCGCTAAATAGGACAACTAGAGATCTGTTGGAGGAGGAACTCCAGTATCCCTGGATGCCACACTTTGGTGATGAAAGATACAAGCATAAGCACGGTAAGTCATTGCCAGTCAGGGCAATAAAATTAAAACAGTTATTCAATGAGAACCTGAATACAGACCAAATCTGTCTTCCACAAATCTAGCCTGTCTTACGAAGACGTAACAAAAATTCGGAAGTGTGTTTTCGGTGAGAATGGGTTGTCTCAGTGTGGTTGTAAGATTAATGATTGTGCAACATAAAATACGTTTTAGTCCTGCCGAAATGCCAGCTTCGAATGAGCTTCTTCCCGGCTTCCAGCAAAACCTGCATTCAGCAAAATACCCACTCAAGTAGCTTGAGTTTTTTACATTGACGTTCGGTGGCTTTTTAAATTCAAATATATTTCATTAAGGACATGCACAAGAGATTTTTCTGGTGACAGTTTGATCGCAAATTACGTCTTTTTAAAATTTTATGCTTGAAAAAAGGGCATATTTCCGTTTCGAAAGCGCTCGTAATTAGGCGATTTCTAAAACCATGTACCATATCTGTACGTTTACGATTGTTGCTCATGAAGCATACAACATAGTTCACATCCAGTGCAAAATTTCATGAGCGGTATATGACGCCTTCTCAATAGCGTAGAAAGGTGTGTGCTTTCGCCTACATGGGAAATATACGGCACGCAGTTTGGAAACCCCAAGATCAAATGCAACTGCGGGTTGGGCTCAAAATTAGTCGGGAATTAAACGTTTCTTAGTACATAAATACACGCTTTTCCCAAGCACAGAATTCGAAGAAGACACAGTTTGCTACCAGATAAGTGCAAGAAAGAATATTGTTATTCATGGTTTCTGTGAGGCATGTTTGAATTTACAATGGCATCGAAATTTAATGGAGAAAATGCATACTACTTGAGTAACCACTTAAGCCCAGTGCGGCCTTTGCAGGCGGCTGGAATGAAGCTCTTTCGAAAGGTGACATCCTGGCGAACCGAAATATTTTGGGATCGTGGTGCGCGATAGTCAACATGAAAACCCCAATTTAGGTGACCTGTTTCAATCAAAAATAAATTTCGGGATTTCCATCAACATTTCATGAGATAGGCAAGTTACTGTAAGTCGTTCCAACGGTGATCGGAAATGTGCGGTTGAATGCCCGTGCTAAAGGGAAAAATATAGAGTTCGTGCAAAGAGTCTTCGAAGTCAATGAAAGAGGGTTTGGTTTCTTTCGGTTCCAAGAAACTAAAACGCCGTTATTCAATGAGCCATTCTTGACATAGATTAACTATGCGAATAGTCAACCCAAACCAGATCTATCAGGAATACCACAGAAATTCTCTTTGAGCTTTGAGTTTAAACCATTTCAAGTATGTTTGTACATAAATACGTAATAGAAAACGAATTTTCCTTAGCCTGAATCCAGGGAGAAACCTTCCGCTAAAGTTTTCTAATTGAAAATATGGAAACTTTTCAAGCAAAAATGTTAACAAAGGTAGCATCTTTCTTGGCAATAGTCGCAAGGTGCAGAGGGCAGCACAAAACCTAATTCTAATGCTCCTTCGAGCAAAAAATATGAAGATGAAGTGGTTCCCTATGAAACGAGTGAAAGAAAGCATATTTTTGTTAGCGTTTCTTGTAAACTATATTTGAATTTGCAAGGCCATCTAAAATAAATGGGAAAGACGCATGCTAATTAATTAGTCGTTTTTTGCCGAGCACAACTTCCACAGGAGATTGAAAAGACATGCATTCAAAAGCCGACTTCCTGCCGAGTCTGAAATATTAGAGGATTACGCCTCACGATAATCAGTATTGCAACCCCACCTAGTTAATCCTTCCTAATCGAAAACGCATTTCAGAATTTTGGCGAACATTTCATGAGATCGGTCACTCACTGTAATTAGTCATTTTTTACAGACTGTAATTTTTGCATGCGACCGGAAAAAAGTTCGTTCGAAAGTCGGCATCCTGTGGTAATTGGATTGTTATCGAATTATGCTGCAGGATGATGAATTTTACAACGCTACTTAATTAATCTTTTCGAAACGAAGACGCGTTTCAGAATTTCGGTTGACATTTCATGAGTTAGCCCAGCCACCGTATGCCATTCCAAAATTAGGACAAATCAGTGAAGGTCCTTCCCACTTTGCGCAGATCTTACACCATTCTAGTTGGACTTCGGACGATACGACGCTCTTCATTCCCAGGGCGTGGAGTTTGTTGCTGAAGTGACTGTCTCCTCCAAATCCGTTAGGGCTTTGACTCAGGACACGGTAACATTAGTCTTGCAACTGATGAACCTTAAACACAGTCTTTTGAATCAAGCTTTTAGGGTCCGACTAAGGGTTGAGTAATTTCTGAGGCACCTGCTTCTTAGAGGAACAGTGATCAGTGTGTGTATACTGGTCGGAAGACGCTTGTTTGCAAGCAGAGAGTGAATTAAGTGGAGTTTACTGCATTTGCGCATTAAAACATTATTGAGTGATTTCGTGTCTGTAGAAAGAAAGGAACAATGGCAAATGTGAAAGGGGCTAGTTGGGAACTATGGAAACAGCCAAAGTTGTATCAGAACGACGCACAGCATTGCAATTTCAACTTTTTGAACGAACCTAAAATGCAGCCTGAGATATCAGTTTGACACAAAGTTCTAAACAGGTTTCAAGAGCGGTTGGAGTTATAGCGTTAGGTTCACGATGGGACCACTCCGATGCCGCTGGACAGATAGTCGAACCATATATATATACTTCTTGCTGACTGTGGGAGCGGTGCGCGTATATCTTCATCGGTCTGAATCTACTCCTGCTACTGGAATATCAGCGAAGTAGGAAAAGAGAGAGGAGATGAGATCGCCACTGGACAATTTTCTAATTTGGAATTTCAATTGACGATAGGTAGAAGTATTCAGCAAGACTAGATTTCCTGAATTCTTAAGTCGAAAAATGTGTACAGAAACCACCGGTATTGCGCGGTTACAAAAGACGTCCAGGCAAGCAACATGCTATCCTTACTTAGTCAACCGTTAACGTGATACCTTAAAAGGAGCCAGTCGGTGTGCGTCTTGATCAAGACATTTCGTCGACGATAAATGCTTCTCGTAAATTGATTTATCTTCTCATTCACCCGAGGATTTCTTTTTAAGATGATTGACGTGAAAATTTTGCTTTAGTAACGAACCTCATGTTATTCCTTTCAGTCTGCAGGGGAATGGCAAGCTGGCACAAGACGCTGTTTAACAATTATGAACTACTTAAAAGCCATTTCAGTGCCAAGTGCACTCACGTTGTTGGGAACTTGGTGATTGCAAAAATCGGAAGCGGTGAGTCACCATCTGAACAGCCCATTACATCCAAAGAGTCTAATATACTGCTTACTCTTTTTGCAGTCCGCATTTTTGGACAGTCCATTATTCTTCAGCCCTACAAGTGCTTTCCACAGCGGCAGCTAATGTTCGTTAACAAAAGTCGCAGAAAGCCACTAGTAGAAACGGGACGTACTCAAACCAGTCTATCTCTGCGCGAGAGAAGCTGCCCCACGGGCGATAAAGAACCGATTGCCTCTCAAGTACGATGATCCACTTGGGTGTCAGTGACTCTACGAATTTCAGTTTCCTCGACATGCGACTAACCGCCCCCCCCTGCATACCTTTCCAGCTTTCTAGGCTTTATAGGTGTGTGACTGTGGATTCTGCCCTGTCCTTAGGTTTGTGGGCAGTTTCTGAACAATGATGCTGTGTTGAGATCCGGTTTAGCGGCGGCTACAGACACCCAAATGGGTGAATCAGCATTGGGTTCCATAGTGCCCTCCCCAGTTTGCATTAAGTCGATTGGATCTATCGATAAATCTGGGGTAAACAGCGCCGGGATGGCGGCCTTTGAAGAAGCCTTCTTCAGGCCGCCTGCAAAAATTACGCTCGGTACAAAAATGAATAGTAGGACTGGCTTATGTGGCCTCCTAAGCAGGACATGGGGATGGGTACGTCTCCCCCCAACTAATAAAGGTGGACCTGTGCACAATTCCGAGAGGACAAAATATTTCCGTATCTCAACCCCAGCAGGGACCACTAAACCGTTGTCTTAGTCTTGGCCCTAACCCCACCTTAAGCCTTAACTCTGCAGCTAAAGCTAGACTTGATCCTGAATAACGGTACCGTTAATTTTAACTATACTAGCTTCAAATCTAATCCTAAATTTAACTCTATCTCTAGCCCTAATTTCATTTGATGTAGGCCCAAAGCCGTCCGCATTGCCTGCGTTCCCTGTTCTCACGTCCTGTTTGAGGGCCACATAAGTCAGTTCTACCAAATTAATACTCAAGTAGACTAATTTTTTCACTCTGATTTGCGAATTCCTTACAAACTGGAATATATTTTGTGGAAAAAATACATAGAATATTATTTGTTTCATCTTTTGATAGATAATTTCGTCTTCTTCAAACTCCATACTTGAAAAAGAGGTAGTCTCCGATTCGAAGAATGTTCGTAATTATGAGATTTTTAAGACAGTGGAATGTCTATTCATCTAACATCGTTTTTATCCGCTCACAGATGTTATTTATGAGGTATGCACCATAGTCCAGATGTATTGCGAAATTTTATGAGTACACCGTAAAGGTGTATGGTTTTCACTGCACGTGAAGTATGAGGAAAGTAGTTGGGAAACTCCAAGCACAAACGCAACTGCAGACTGATTTCGAAATTATTTGAGAATTTAGAAAGTTTATCTTTCCTGGCGTATAAAGTTTTATGAAGACGTAATTTTCTGTCAAATGAGTACAATAAAGTATATTTTTGAACACATCTTCTACAAAATATATTTCGACTTATTAGGACACCGAAAAAATAAGGGTAGAATTTACACCACTTAAATTATCATTCTCAATGGGTGTAGTTTTTGCAGGTGGCCGGGAAGAGACCCACTCGAATGCTGGCATCCCGGTGTGACTGAAATAGTTTGGGACTATGTCGCGCGATAATCCATATTACAATCCGACGCAATCAGTCATTTCCAATCAAAAAACAAATTGCGGAGTTTCAGTTATCATCGCATGAGATGGGCCAGCTACTGTAAGCCTTTATCACCCCAAATGATCAGTGCAGGCCAGTTAGTGGGAAGCAAAGATAAAATTAGACAATAATCGACAGGATTCTGATGTGAGGGAAATAAAAAAAAACGCAAGAAACCAAGCACAGTGTCGAAGAGAATGCGAAACTAGAGGATAAAACAAAGCACCACTAAATGAATCCCCCTGATAACAGCGTTCTAGGCAGCGTTTTGGGCAACCTCTTGCAAATCACACATAAACTGTCTATGGGAAATGGACATGCATGTGCATACCTATGCTAAAGATTGTCCCTGCGTGAGGTATGGATCAGCAGCGCCGTCGAAACAAATATTTACGCGACGCTATCCACTGACCACCATTTGTCATGATCGAATGAAATAATAATGATAGTTCGATCGTCACAAGAGTCGATGTCAACCACACGCCCCCCACGGAGCGTGCCCTACAACGGCGCCTCGCGCGGGAATTAGTTTACTGTGGGACAGGCTTGCGCAGCATCTACGCCATTCTCCCCCCCCCCTCCCCCCCATCCGCCCACCCATCCGTCGCCATTCGGCAAGACACTGTCAGGACGACCGGAGGCTGGTAGGGGCACAGTGGTTGACAAAGCGTGCCCCACACGACTTGGTTCCCACAGAAAGTACAAGGCTTTCATTAGGCAGGAGCCATTGTAGCCTGACCCTCAGAGTAGGCATAAATCAAGTCGGACATGGTCTCCACGAGCCAGTAACTTCTGGCATGGCTTCCTCTTAACATGACCTTTATTGCGCTGTCACTTGGGTGAGATTTAAGTCGCCTGAAGCATGTAGTGGGAAGCAGGTTCCCTATTCGCTTGATTATTATCTGAATTCCACATGCCAGAAACCGCACAGAAGACGCATGGGGACCCGCTGAGGAGCCGAAACCTTCGCAGCTGAGTCATGCAGCAGCAGAAACATCGGCGAAACACGGGTCCGAGATTTCATCTAGTAGCCATGTCGGGGGCCGTCGTATACACATATAAATATGAAAAAGGAAAAGGCGCATCGGAAAATCGAGTTGTACTCGTAAATTCTCAAGTCGGTGACACTGACCCGTCGTCAGACGAAATGAACAGAGGGGAAAGTTAAATCGGCAGACTTGGTCGACTGGCGCGACAGGACAGACAAGAACAAACAGACAGCTGATGCGTGAGAGGGGTGCGCACGGAGTGACTGTGGGGCAGGGGGAGGGAAGGAAGAACCGTTAGGGCTCCCTGTGTTGGAGGTGGAGAAAACGCGGTGGGATTGCGGATCAGTGTGAATGCGGGCGGCTGGTCACTGATGCGGGATGTGGTCAGGGGGCAATGCGCCGGCGTTGGAGGTATTAGGATGTTTCGGTTGTTGTTCACCGTGTCGCAAGGGCGGGGGAGCGGAATGGCTAAACAGCATACGTCAATATGGCCGAGTGGGGGTTAGCAGTTGTTAGGGTGCGGGAACGTCACCGACTTGAAAATTTACGAGTACAACTCGATTTTCCGATGAGCCTTCTCTTTTTCATTATATCACCTCGGAATGCACACCACATCAGTTATTCCACATATATGTAAACTAATTTACGCGCAAGTCAGTTGTCGCGCCGGTGAGGAGTAAGTATTTGATGGGGGTAAGAAAGTGCTAACCGCTTTTAACCTATTCACCAGCGTCTTAACACTCCTGCTTTACCGGCAGACGTATGCACTCTATCTACCATTATTTCGAGTATATTCTTGTTGCCTGACTGTTCTCCATACCAAACTTTTTAAATTGAGCATTCCTCTTACTGAATAATTACGTGTCAGGTGTGCAGAACAGTAAAGTAGTGTAGATATTTTAGCTGTGCCGGTTTCTCGGGGCGGTACCGGTCAGCGAATGTCTTCCAGCCGACGAAGATCCGATGGAAAACTCCTCAGAACAACACCCTCTTTGAAAAATATTGTAGGCAGTTCTCCATAGTTTTTCCTCATTCCGCGCATATACTTAATCCCCACTCATGAAATAATTTGAAGGTATGCGCGAACGTGCCCACTCCCTACTCCCCTCTCTTTTCTGGTTCACATTCGTTATTGGTTGCTTGGTTTTTTCTCAGTCCTGCCTGTTGTTGCGTGTTTGAAAACTCTACCACCCGGATCTAGAAATGTTTTACTATGTAATCATAAGAATTCGGTTTGAGCCAAAGTCTACGCGTATGCTTTACTTGAAACATATCGCTGATGCGAGGAACAGTTCTCGAATCTACTGCATGTTTCTTAAAGTACTCATTTACGATTTTCTAGCAGTTCTCGACTTCCACGGGAAATTTTGAGCGTTGGACCCAAGTAAACCTGAAACCGGACGAATTTGTTTACTTGTTTTTCCACTTAATTAATTGCGTAGGTCTCTTCCAATGCTCCACACTCTTTGTAAATGTACTTGGCGCTGGAATGACCGCCAAAAGTATATGCTTTGCCAGTTTAAACACGCTTTACTTGATTTCAGGGATGTTAAAGGATGCTGTCTGTATGTCGTAAGGTTACATAAAATAGTGGTTGTCACTATGGCACGAACAGTCTTAATATTAAAATCTGCTTATCAATCGGGTCATCTAATTGCATTGTGCGTCTGGTGAATCTATGCACGAACCGACAGAGTAAACTAGAATAGACACATTTGCGAACTTCACAGTGAATTTCGGGACCACAACAGCGAATCATGATCTAACGAAGACCTCGGCAATCCGCCGGTAAACACCGAGGGAACGACTGTAGGCCTGCCTGTCACTCTGAGTGATGCCCGTCTTAACTACTATTATTGGCCAGAGTCAGTAATAAAGTTAAGGCTGGTAGTCGTTGTGCGGTATTTTCCACTCAGTCGTTCACGACAACAATAATAACAAGTCAGTGTCAGTGTCTAAGCGCAAGGATCGGCAACTCGAAGGTCCCCAAATAAAAAGACAGAAACGACAGAGTTACTAAACAACCTTCACTGAGAGGAGGACGTTCACGCAGTTTAGCAGGCAGAAGCAGCAAGTTGCCTCTCCAGCCGTTTCGGCCGTCCAGGTTGTTCAGCCTGGCGCGAAGTGGGCGCCTGTGCCTGAGCTTCGTGCGGCTGCGACCAATCGATGAATACGAATGGATCGATCGGCGTCACGTAGTCGGCGAGGCGAAGGTTGAGTCACACGCGCGTACTCAGTCCTTGACAGGCTTGCTAGGCGGATCGAAGGTAAGCAGCCGCGCTGTCGATCGCGAGAGTGGACAGCTGCAGTAAGCCCCGCCTAGGTCAAAGGCCGGCGTAAAAACGATGCCGAAGATGAATGCAATTTCGAAACAGGTTGATGGTAAGGGGGGGGGAAAGGCACTCGACGACTGCTACGAGTGATGCGAATATCAGTGGCATTGGAATAGTCGCGATCAAGGGGACGGAGAAGAGGTTGACGGTGCAGGAGTAGGAGGTGGTAGGGGAGGTGGAGGAGCAAGGAGTAGGGGCTCAGCTCATTTCTGCCCTTGGGGCAGGTCCAGCGGCTCCTCTGGGATAGCAGCCCCGACCCCGCCGACGCAGACCGCGGGACTCCGGCAAGTCTTGGTATTGCGTGAGAGTGTCCATAACGGTCCTTTGCATGGTGATTTTGACGTCTTACGCACACAGTCAGACCGAACGAACGCACAAGTGCAGTCGGCCAGGCCTTTTTCGACGCAAGGCTCGGTCGGTGGAGTTCGCATCGGAACCGGGGACAGCCAACGCATAAATTGTCGCAAACGATGCGCAAAGTTGGCAGAACTCTCGTCGGCACCGTGAGAAATTTGGATGACCATTCCCCGCGGACAGTCGGGGGATAGTGCCGACCGTGGCCGCGTCTCGGGTAAAGTACGGTTTGGGAGGAACAGGTGTGAAACACCAGTAGGAAGGTTTTATTCCGCAAAGCAGGACCTGTTGCGACGCGCGTCCTACAGGTGGGCCAAACCGGTGCGGATGTCTAGACGGGTCAGAGCAAATGCAAACTTGAAATGTAGTCTGACGAGAAAGTTGACTCAGCGCCGGCCTGCCGGCGCGTGTGGACACCTGCGCGTCACGTGATGGCGGGTGCCAGTTGTAGACGCGCTAGGCTGAATGTGACGCATCACAGCACAAGGGGACAAGAGTTCCCTGTGTGGATGCGCTGCCATTAATGTGTCTGTAGATGTGTTGATGCCGAACAAGCCGAGATTGCGACCTCGACTGAAAAATTTATCAGTCTGTCATGTGACAGTGGTTCACTAAACTAGATAAACTGATTGATTCATTAGCATACGCGGACAGGAGTTTGAGAAGCGTCTGGCTTGATGGTCATTTATGACCAAGCGGTGTCGTCAGACAATCTTGGCCTTTGCTCGGCGGTTTAAGGGCGGACAGCTAAAAGAGAAGTTTAGGGTCATTTCATGGTCACCTATCACGCCCTACATGGGGTCACCCGGCCTGTGCTAATGACAAAGACCCCGCGAGTCTTTCTTTGCCAGACTGACGCTTCTACCCATGTGAATAAAAAGGCCTCTATTGTTTAAAATTTCTAGATGAGGACCTCTCCTTTTTGGACCAGATTGAAGAAGTTTCGGGTTATGTTTTTATCTACGGAGTTACTCGACCGCGACTGGTATTAAAGAGTTTGCGAATTATCCGCGGGGAACAGGCCGTGGGATACCGCGGCCAGCAGTTTGCACTCATGGTTTCCAGCAACTACGGGATACCTCAACCGGGCAAAAATGGCTACTTCTTGGAGGACCTGGAGTTGCCTTCACTCATTGGTATGTTCATAGTATTTCAAGAGACCTACTATCCATCCTTTTGTTCCAAGAAGCAACAAAAGACAGGATGAGTCAGAAAAGTAGTCTGCGGTCTACATCGAAATGCCAGAGTACAATGCCATCACAAACACTGAAAAAATGACGCCACATCGGTATTTTCGACATATGTGCTTTAAGTTATGTGGAGATGCAGCCTCACTGGTCTGGTTCTAAGTGGAGGAGGGGGGTTGGACGCGTCCGTTTAATTTCACTTGGAGTTCAAGTACAGAATCCGACTCAGACTCTCAGCGGCCATTCGATTCGGGCCCAAATCTCAGAGCCAGCTGATAATAGCAACACACACTTAGGACAAACGAATTTTTAATTCAGCGTGTACGATACGATCCAGTTGACGTCTCAGGCACAAGTGAAAACTCTTAGCTCATTATTTATCACGGAAATGGTTAGAAAAAGGTCCATGGAGCCTGGAGATACGTGATTCTTAACGAAAATTGCCAAAAATAATCATTTCCGTCCTATCTGGAACGTAAAGAGGTGCATAAGTGATCTGTTTCGTCCCGGGACTGGAACAGGGGGGGTTCGCACCATGTCTGGCAAACAAGGAAACGAGAAGCAAATTATGCTGACCTCTTTCTTGAGATGATTCGGTTACGTTCCCACCTCTAACTGAGACATATTGATTGTTGAACCCAGTTAGAAAAACTTCGGGGCGAAATAGGGTTACTCACACAGCTCCTGTTATGCACTCCAAAAATATGCGGTGAACGCACATTTGAGGCTTGAAGTTGCCCGAACAGTGGATCAATGAATTCAACTCCACGGTAGGTTACTTGATCTCCTAGCGGTAATGATTTTTAGCAGCTACTGCAACGCACAAGCCACCGTCTCGTTAGCATCCCTGATATTACCTACATCCCTACCCTCATTCTTAGCCTGACTCCGGAAATAACAACTCCCACCATCAACATCATCCTTCCTGTCAGGCATACTGTCCTTATCACTAAGCCCTTGCTTTTTACAGCCATTCTACACAACGGTGTGCTTTTTGTCGACAATCCGGGTCTCTGTTTCGCACCCTTCTCAATCAACTGGCAGGACATTCTGGAGTATCCGGACTTTCAGCCCACTCTCTTTATTCCCGTGCAGGACTCCATGAGCACTGAGGAGTGGCTCGCTCGTTGCTCCAGTCTGCACGAAAGCCCGCCGACGCAAACAACAACACCAACAACGGAGTCGACCAGCCTAGCGAGTCTGGCGACCCTCGAAACCACGATGACCACAGCCGGTGGGGAAGCCAGTCGTCAGACTGATGCCCTACCAGAAGGCCAGTGGACCGAGACGCCTAAAACAGTGCCATCCACGGCATCGACAGGTTTGTAAACCCGCAGTACCACTTTACTAAACTCCGAGAGTTCATCCGTCGGTTTCGACGATGTCCACCGTGTGTTCCACTGCAAGGTGAGGGCAGGGACGGTGACTTGCGCACGAATTACTTTATAGTGATAATAGACTAGCGCAGCATCTACCGTACATTCTCTCTTTTCCGCATTCCCCACCTGAACCCAGTGTCAAGACAGAGCCAAAAAGACCGGAGGTGGGGGGAGGGCACAGGTGGCTGGCACGGCCGGAGCCGCACCTAGGTGTGCCACCACACCCCCTGGTCCACACAACAAATGACCTGGATTTTCCGCCAACAACAACAACAACAGTAAGGACACCCCAACAGGGGTTAGAGCGAAGAGGATGACTAGGCAGCCATGCCCACCGCCTGTGTACATGGCAGAAACGAAAGTGTATCCACCGGCAGGAAACCAAATGTCGGGGAGCTGCCAGGGCCATGGTTTGCTGATACTGGCATAGGACACGCTTACAGATCTTTTGACTTTAAACACACGCACACACACATAAAGACACTTTTATAAATGCACGCTATTTCGTCAATCAGGACCACCGAAGACGTCCATTACATATGTGAAAAGGCCCTGACGAGCAGTGAGAGATTTGAAATCTGATGTAGTGGATTTGCACGGCGTAAACCTCATTCTTTCTTTCCACGTCCACCGGGGGTCAGTGGCAAAAGTAAATCAAAACTATTGGCGACAGGTGCAAGTGTAGTCGGTGAGCCGACATAAAGACCTGTTTTAGCAGGACACGGCAAGCTGGAGGAAGAACAACGTAATTACTGACCGGACTGACACTCGAAAACCAGGCTTTCCATAAAAGACGGCACTGCTGCATGGGAGAGGGGGGAGGTCGTGGCACACCGAGGCACACGTCCGCAAAGCAGGTTAAACTACATGGCACAAAAGTTAACCTGACTAGGGCGTGTCTAGAACTCATATAGGTGCCATTTGGCTTTATCAGCAATTGTGTCCACGCCCACCCCCACTGACCCTGACCCTCTCTCACCATGCGAACGCAGTGAGCTTGGGAAGGTGAACAAGCCAGATGTGGCGTCACCCTACTTTATTGTAAGCAGAATCACGTGCAAGTCATCACTTCGCCTTATCCAGGACAGTAACGCTCCACCACCAAAGACAGTGGTAAGCGCATTAGGTGAGTTGATTTATCGAATCTGGGGATGAGTATCAGTAGGTTGTCTCATTCTTCTATTGCCCTTAAACGTGAGTTTAAAGGAGGTTGACCAAAATCCTTAGCAGTGCTATAGCTTCCGACTTGAGAGGGATTGTGCTTTGGCTGTTGGATGAGTTCGGTGACGTTTCGGTCAGGCCGACAAAGTCTGACCAATCATTACGCCCACACACACCTATCCAGTCATTTTGGCCTCATGTTAATGACAGGGAGGGAGGTGGGCGTCGGCAGAGGGATAGAGAGAGGGTAAGGGGGTGAGGTCCCTGACGCAGAAGGAAAGAAAGGGGCGCGATCATTAGAATAAGAATTTTACTCGCGTGGTGTTCCCAACTCGTTCTCGATTTCACCTCACTGCTGCCGTGTGCTCGGCGAATCGCGTCCGGAGCAGTCTACCAGGTCCCCCGACGAAGGTGCTTTGCCCGCAACTGCGACAGATCCAGTAAACGACTCCAAGTGTCTATTGCCGTGGGATCATTCACAGTTCTTTTTAATCTTGAGAACTCGTCTCTTGATTTCTCTAGTAATTCGAGCCATAATTACCTTATTGCATTATCAGTTATAGTTTCAGAAAAAACCTTATCACTAAACTGCCCCATTAGTATTTTTATGGAGTTAGATATATCTAACTTTTAGTAGAGTTGGCAATCTATCTTGGTTGACGGCTCCTTATGCTCGAAAATGGATGATATATCAGGTTAGGCTACCGGAACATCTTGAATTAAGACTATGTTGCAAGACAGAAATAGATCTCCTGTGTGAGCTCCAAGGGAAACTGGAAATATGGAACCCCGTCCTGCAATCAGTTAAGGTCAGTGAATTCCGCTCTCAAGTGACTTTGCAGTTGGCAGAGGTCGAGTCTGGTAACTCAGGGGGCTAGGGCGACAAAGGTGAATATCGGATACCCATTGGATCCGAGTTCGAAACTGACTGACCAGTAAAAAAGGAGTTGTGTATTTCATTCTAATACACCGAATACCCTTATAGATCCCGCTCTTCAGCGAAGATTCCGTGCTGTTTCCGAACGAATGAACAACGAAGAATCATCAGACATCCTGAATCAAGATGGACATGCGACGACAACACCTGAACTTCAACCTACTTCGACGGACAAGATTCAGGAAACCGCCAGTCCGCCAGCCGTTAAAGAACTACTAGACGCTCCGGGAGACACAGTGGAGTTAAAAGTGAATAAACACGATGTGGAATTAGTAGAAGTAACGATAACAATGACACCTACTAGTTCTGGTAAGCGGTGCACCTTTACCCTCCAAAATCTCGCGTCCACTTTCACTTTCAAGGAGAATTACTTGTCCCTCTTGCTTTATGCAGTTCCTTCATCAAGTTTGTCTCCAACTACGGAGTCTTCGCCGCCACGTTCATCTGTCCCTGAAAACGTGTCAGGAACACCAGAATATCGAGACGAAACTCCTGGACCTACATCTGACAGCTTTACTGATAGCAGTAAGGGCTTCGGCCCGAGTCTCCTGAAAATTCGCTGTCACACTGCCTGTCCTGTCTACAAGAACAAACGCTACTGTTGGGGAGGTGGGAAAGAACAATGCCAGTACTGTAAGTTTGCCAAATGAACACCAGCACTTTGTCTCGAACTGTCTGTCCTTCAGATTCCCGCAAGACACTTACAGTGAGTGACCGATCGCATGGAATGTTGGCCGAAATTCTGAAATGCGTTTTCGATTAGGAAGGATTACTTGGTCGCGGTTGTAATACTGATTATCTTGCAGCATAATCTTATAACATTTCGGACTCGACAGGATGTCAGCTTTTGAATACACTGCTTTTCAATCTCTTGTAGAAACCGTACTCGGTAAAAAATGACTACTTATGTAGAGTGCATTTTTCCCATTGATTTTCGATGGTCTTGCAAATTCAAATATATCTTATGGAAACAATAAACAAAAATATGCTTTCTTTCAGTCACTTAATAGAGAATCACGTCTTCTTTATATTTTATACTCGAAGAAGGAGAATAGTTAGGTTTTAAAATAGTTTTTTTTAATTGGCGAATAATTTGGAGCCTGATCATTCGTTGCATTAGCGCTTAGTGATTTCAGTCTACAAGGTGCATGCGCCCCGCCTAAAGGAAATCGCATATTTCTCTATGCCGTTAGAAAGATATCATACAGAGTCCATAAAATTTTGCAATGAATAAAGATTATGTTGTACATTTCACGAGGAGTTGTGCTAAACGGCGAGGTACGATGCTATGTGAATGGACATTGCGAGGTCCTAAAAATCTCATTATTAACAACTTTTTTAAAACCTAATTATGCTCCTTCCTTGGGTAAAAAGTATAAAGAAGACTTGATTCTCTATTAATTCACTGTCAGAATGCATATTTTTGTTTATGGTTTCTATAAGATATACTTGGATTTAAAAGACCATCGGAAATCAATGGGAAAAATGCATGCCATATAAGTAGTCATTTTTTACCGAGTACGGTTTCTACATGAGATTGAAAAGCAGTGTATTCAAAAGCTGACATCCTGTCGAGTCCGAAATGTTATAAGATTATGCCGCAAGATAATTACTCTTACAACCGCGACCAGGTAATCCTTCCTAACTGAAAACGCGTTTCAGAATTTCAGCCAACATTTCATGAGATCGGTCACTCACTCTATTTTTCCATCTTGAATTGAAGCTTTAAACCTAGCGTTTGGTCACTGGTGCTACTTCAGAAACATTTCCTTGCATATTATCTGTTGGCTGTTCTTGATCAGCTCTAGTTTAGCGAATGGAAACTGTCTGCAAATGCTACCACACGTGTACATAACTGTTTTCTAATTTATTCCCAAATTAATTAATGCTAGTAGAATACGGAGCTGGAAGTGAGTGACAACAAATGACTTAAACTCGGCTTCATGCGAATGACAAGCTGACCGCCTTTTGAATGATTGTATTGAGTAGTTATCGCATTTCAGTGCACAAGTGTCAACAACGCGAGTGTAATGGACCCAACCGCTGCTACAGATGTGACCAAACCGGTCTCATTCCGCAACAGGAAGACACTGGCTCTTGTGAAGGTTGCTGCCACGAAGAATGTGCCGGCGGCTGCAACGGATCTCGCGCGAGCGACTGCTTTGTACGTCTTCAAAGTATATTTAATTGGCACAAAACGGTTTACTGAATGTCATAAGAGGCCTTTCTAGGGTATAACGTGCGGAAGGTCGTTTGTGATAAATCTGTGAACGTTCATTGCCAATTCCTTACAATTAAGACTCAGTAAGAAATATGGCATTTTGTTCTAGCTCACAAAGGTGGTTATTTCCTTCACATCCGAGTTTACAAGTCATGGTTCTGTTTATGACTTACAAAAACTGCCCTAGTCTGTCTGACAGACTAAATACTTCGTTGTCATTCAGTCATACTCCAAGGACAGGTAAGAAGGACATGTTAGTTAAGTGGAGTTTTAATATGTTTTACAGTCCACCGCCAAAATCCTGATTTACGGTCTGCAGTCCGACAGTTATGACTTCACCTGGCTGTAGGAAAGAGTGTGAACGTTTCCTTTGGAGAAGGTCTCCTTATTACTACTAGACCATTAACTATCAAACGATTTACTCAACAAACAATGAAAGTTTTAGCAAGTCAGAAGTGGCCATTTTGAAGGATAGTTTGATACTGTCGGTTAGTCCTAGTAACCACATCCGGAAGCTATCATTGTTTGCAAGACAATGAACTTCAGCGGGAGGAAAACCAACGCTAGATTCTGAAGTCTAGATCCCGCCAAAGAAGAACTTGTATAATGACCTAGCTTGCAGAGAAATGGTTCACTAGAAGGTATTAGAACAAATAATGAGGCATGCACAATGCCACAAAGGTTTACAAACAAAAATACGAATACCAGAATGTCCATTTCTGGCACATTTTTCGTCATCCGCCAGCATTACCTCAAACACAGGCCGCATGCTCTAGTCAGTTTTCCGTTGAGTTACGTGCTCATCGCTGTATTAACGCGCTCGCAAAAACCTTTACATTTTATCCAGCGACCAGTTAGTTTTAAATCGTAGACCACCACCACCACCACCACCACCACCACCACCACCACCACCACCACCACCACCACCACCACCACCACCACCACCAACTGGGTCAGGGAGTCACATGCTGTCAGCTACGATCTGGGACAGCCAAAGCCGTGTGGTAGCAATGGGCACCGGTCTGTGTTAACTCTAGTGGTAAGTGCGACTGTTCTTTATCGCCCCAGCCCATCAGTCGCCGTCAACCAAAACCAGCCAAGGCCTGGTTTTACAGGCATGTGATAAAGATATGGCTGGATGTTAGCGGCGAACAGACTGAAAGTGGCCATTCCGTTCTGTCTGTCGTCACCGGTGGACTTTTGGATTGTCAATTACCCGATGTCATCCCATACTCTGTGAGGATTTATAAAGTGACTCTAGATCAAAACGAGCCGTTCGTATGTCGTGTTGCCATCCAGTCAAATCTGAAAAAGCCATTTCCACATGATCTTTTAATGAGACATTTGGTATAACTGAAATAAGAACTGAACAAAGCAGTACACCTTAGAACCCGAGGCTGGAAGGTTAGCTTCGTTTTTGATCTCGTACAGTCAGTGAAATTGAACAGAAATGACGCCTTTAATGCGACTTTTTGATGCTCAAGCTGCTGTCTAGTAATATGCCTCGTACAATTAGGCCTGTAGGAGGTACTCCCACAATGGAAACTGTGTCGCAGCTTGCCCTGCCACCCAAATCTATGACAGCATCTCCTTCACCTGGAAACCAAATCCGGATGGCATGCTTGCGCTGGGCAGAGCGTGCGTCAAGTCTTGTCCAGGTAACAGACTCTTGCCGGTATTGTTTATTTCCGAAGCGTTGAATATTTGGCTCTCTCAAATCTCTCCTTCACTATTTATATTAAAGACCGTTTGCCAGATATTTATTCACAATCCTCCTTTTGAATTTTTGAGACTTTGATTTAAACATTCCTCTCTCAAACCTCTGACAACAAGACGCTCAGTCTCCTTTTTTCTTAAACTAAACTGCTTTGATGTGCTTCCTTCCGACTTCCTTCATGAAAGAATGTATCTTAAAAAGACAAGTTCGGGGCCACCAAAAGTGTTTCACACGGTCAAGAGCTTAGTTAAAGCAAGGACGAGAGGTAGTCGTCGGCGGATAGCCTCCTCACACTTGACGACAAAACAAGCTCTGCCTTTCGGCTATTACTTGTCAAAACAGTGCGTCTATTAGACTTCAAACGATAACTCGGAGGTTAACCGCACCTAACGCACATCCGCACTTCCATCTGTGAATGCCATCTAAACTGTCCAGCTCGATCCTCCTGATTCTGCATTTCGCGGTCCGACGGAGTAGTCCTGGGCTGCATGCTTGAAAAATGGGTTATGGCATTTGTTGTGTTACCAAAAAATCCGTCCACTTTGGTTATTCAGTCAGACTACAGGAAAATGGGGAGCCATATAAAGGGGAACGTCTGCTCCGGAGCCAACTATCCACGCCGGCCTTCACATTTTATTGAATGCGTTACCTCTGCACCATGGAAGCCACGTCTGCCAACAGAGTGAATTAATTATCACTACCGCCCCAACGATTCGCGCTGCAACCCGGTCCCAATCGGGAAGACAGAACAGCTGTGATTGCGAAGATGTCTATCGCTGAAAATTGGCTGTCAACGCTAAAGCGAAATACCTGTTAAGTCAGTCTACAGAGAATAAGAAAATCACGTAAAAAGAAACGCTTGCCGTAAAAGGAAGTCAAACCACCGATTTTACAAACTTGCTTCCAGTTGATTGCCTCCTTCGAAATATCCCAAATCTATTCAAAATGACCCTTCTGGCTGTTTTTTTCTGTTAGATGGATTCCTACGGGACGGTGATTACTGTGTGACGAAATGCACACGACCTGGAACACATGCGGTTGACAATAAATGCGTTCAGTGCCCAAACAACGTTTGCCCAAAAGGTTGGTTAATGAAAATTTAACCATCTTCATCTTACCTGGCGCCAATCTTTGCTGAAAGGAAACTCCTCGCACTCTAGGCTTCTTTCTTGTTATCATAAGTGGCTTCGTTGCATAAGCTTTTAAGTGGCAGAGAGGTGCTCGCCCAGCTTTGAGGTTTGGGGCCCACTCGCGAGCCCCGCCAGTATCCGCATGGCGGCTAGCAATATAGGCAGAATGACATTTCAGGCAAAGATAAGGGAGACTGGAATGGCCGCTTCCGGTTTGTTATCCACTATCAGCCGGTCATGTCCAATCCCAGGTTTAACATCACTTGAGACTCGGTTCTTCGGCCTGTCGGCTAAAAGTCCGCCGCTCTAACCACTGAGCCACGGGCTGTCGGTTCCGGCCGGGTATATACAGTGGGAGAGAACGACTGAGTTCCGTAACGCGGTCAGTTGGGGCCCCTTTACTGTTGTTAATATACCAGATTGCAACCGACGGACAGCGAACCCCTGGCTCAGTGGCCAGAAGCGCTGGGCTTATAGCCACCGGGTCGCGGGATCGAGCCCTAGGTGTCCCATACTTACGAGATGGATATGGCTAACTGACGATGATTGATAAGACCGAAGTGACCATTCCAGTCCCCCTTGTCTTTGACGATAGTGGTATTCTGCCCATATGCGCATATATTTCGAAGGAAATAAGTCCTCTGGGAAAGATAAAAAAGGTTATTTCGTAGGGGCTCGACCCTGGTTTTCTTCCTTAAAAGTGAGGCAAGTGTGCACAACAGTTAAAACAATTTCAATGAGTCTAAAAATCGATATTGCTCTGTCCTTCCTGCCAGTTAGCCTTTGCTGTGCATTGGTATCGCGTTCTGGTTGGCTATCGCCTCTTCCTCTTTTATTTGAGATTGCTGTACACGGCGACTAATTTGATGTGTCGACTGACTCATTAGTTGTCGGAATGTATGGCCTCTAAAAATTCTCGAGCTTTCTTAGATAAACAGACATCTATAATGCAGGTCTTGTTCCAGGCGGATTTATGTCCAGTTTCTAACATATGCATGCAACTTTGAACATTAACTCTTATCTTTTTACTGCCAACCGATGTTCGAGTATGCATGTCCCAGCAGATTTGCCAGTTTGGCCGAAACAAACTGCGTTGCAGGTGTCGCATGGTATCTTGTAGACGACTTCTGTCTTATCTAAATAGCTAACGCTGTTCTTAGATTGTACAGGTTGGTTGCAAAGTGTAGTCGTTGGTTTGTACGCCACGTATATTTGGTGCTTCCTCAGGTGTCTTTCAACTAGTTCGGACACACTCTTAGTTTACGGAAGTGTTTGAAGTTTTTCCTAGTTTGGGCGCTTGGTCAAAACAATCTAGTTCTTTGTCTTTTTCTTGTAACTCACTTTGCCTCAGATATAGATGTAAAAAATTATAGGATACCCATTTTTGGAAAGCAGTTTGAACAAATAATTCACTTTTGTTTGGTGAATCACGTTGGCAGAGCCGCGAGCTTTTGCTCGACTAAGGAGGCTGTTCATGACATTCCAGTTGTGAAAGTGAAGTAAATGGTAATGTTCTCACGGACTAGCGAATGATATCTCACGAGCCCTAAGTATTAAGAACAGTAAGCAAAACCGACCGGTAAATAATTTTGATATTTAGAACGTAAAATGACCTGATAACAGAGCGCGACAGCGGAGCGAGTCAGCGAAGCGGGGGTTGTCCAGCCGAGTTGTTTCCGTCACGTTAAAACAAGCGATTCGGTAAAAAACGGAATTAGATTGTCAAAGGTGAATTTGTCTGGTACTTCGCCACAGTATCCCCCCCCTCCCGGAAACCGGAAGGCGACGTAAAACGGCGCCGGAGGATATGCATAAGTCTAGAAGAGATGCCTAACTAGACGATCAGGGAAATGAACGTGGCGACCGCTGCCAGTGATATACGCAGGTGGTACAGTGGGAGAGGGTTGAGTGCGTGCTACGGTGGAGGAGGAGGATGTTGTAGTTGGGTACTATGAGCAGGTAGGGAGAGGAAGTATGCGGGACGGTGGGATAGAGGGCAAGGGAGGGGAAGGAGAAGGGAGTAGCGAAGGTGGAGAAGCAGGGGATAGTGGAGGTGGAGGAAGAGGGGTTGGAGGTCAGCACATTTTTGTCTTCGTGGCAGGTCCGGCAGCTCCTCTGCGACGGCAGACTCGACCCGATCGACACTGACCACGTACTCCTTGTCACTGCGAAGGATCTGACAGGTCTTGGTGTTGCGTTCGAGCACACGGAATGGTCATTCGTATGGTCATTCCATTCCAGCAACAATCGGGAGAGGACTCCCAAACACCTGTTGCCCAGAAAGAATACCTACTATAGCTATTTGAGTAGGTGTTAGCTCGACACAATTGTTGTTTCATCTGACCTCAAAGGGAACGTCGGATAGTTAAGAAGCGACCGCTGCAGTCGGTATGTTGTTTCATCTACACCACCATACCATTCCAGCGGCTGGCGAACACAGGAGTTCAGCTGTCCAAGCCTTTTTCGACATATGGCTCGGTCTTTGGAGTTCGATGTGGAACCGTGGAAAACGGGTGCATAGATTGCCGCTGACGGTGCACAGGGGTTTCGTCGGCACCACGAGAGGTTGGGGTAACCATCTGGCCTGGCAGTCGAAGGGTAGTGCCGAAAACCAATTCAGCTGCGCTGCAGTCCAAATTCGACTTCAGTGCCGTGCGAATGCCGAGGAGTACAGGGGGGAAGTTGTCTGACCAGTTCCCTGGGTCTTCTGCGACCCGCAGGGCAGTCTTTAGCTGGCGGTGGAAACGCTCAACCATACCGCTGGCAGCTAGGTGGTAGGCTGGCGTCCGAATGCGTATGCAGCCAAGAAAATTAAGTAGGGTTTGGAAGGGATGGAGCACCGACTGACGAAGGCATTCAAGATGGTTTCAGCCCTCGTTTCGGCAAAAGGATGGCTTCACTCCAGCGGATGTACGACCAATGCTGATAGGAAGATGATTTTAGTCATTGGATGGGAGCAAGGGGCCAACGACATCCAGGTGCGTATGGCTAAGCCGTTTGAAAGAGTACAGAACACGATCTATAGTCATCGCAGGCTGTCACACAACGCGAAGATTCGGGGTTAACACATCTAACTACGTCCGTCATCCCCCAGTGAAGACGACGAAGATCAGGAGGAGGCTAGTTTGCTAATCAAAATGTATTAATACGTTTCTATTATCAGGTTGCATCATGAACTGTAGTTTATATTTCCTGCATTGCACTTTATGCATACTTTATGTGACTTTAGTTTGCTCGGCAAAGGAAATGCAACCGATAAAGGGCATAAACTACTTGCATAGAAGCCTACTTCGGAAGATGGAGAACTGTACGTTTTGGGACGGTGACATAATTCTCTCTTGGCAGTCCTTCCTGGGGTAGGTTTTTTGGCGGTCATTAACTTGTCTTCTGCATTTTGTCTCATAAATGTGCCGTAATAAGCGCTTTTAGGCAAACCAGACAACCGCGTCATTTCGCAGGCACACAGAGTCTTCTGTTGGATAGAGGGGAGGCAAAATAGGAGGACAGAGGGCGCAAACCTCGGGCTTTAGAAAGTTCGGTTTAGTCAATTACCTACATTTTTTCGTCGACTTATAATGCCTAATATAGGATACAGAGATGCTCCGTTAGGAAGACCCGCCATGCACACATACATCAATATTGCATGAAGAGTGAAGGCGTGTCTCAGGTGCATATGCCTTAACTGACTAAGACTCGACCAGTTGATGTTACTTTGTGTTCAGAAGCCAAGTCACCAACCATGTGTTCGTCTACAAATTCTCTTTAGTCCTGCCTAATGCTAAAGCAGACTGGTGTCTGTGTGGAAATCTCAATTTTAAAATCGTTTGAATGGAAAAAAGACTCGTGTATAACATAACTGAAATGTCTCGTTGTCAAGTATGTTGTGACTGGTGCCCACCAAAATGGTTGGAAATTGAGCTGCTATTAATCCTCTATCTGTCGCCGCCGAAACAGGCCACGCGGTAGATGCACTGGACCAACACGAGGGCTAGATCGGAGTCGGCAAAGATTATCGTGAATGCACACTCATAACAAATGCCAGTATTCGGGATGTGGTGGCAGATCCTCCAGTTGCCGGCTCACGTCTCACCATTTGGGATCCCTGCCGCTCCCATTGTTGTTGGTTGAAATCCTGGTCAAACGTTTTTGTGAACCAGGGGTGTGATGGTACACCTAGGTGCGGGTTTACGCCGTGTCAGCCACCTACGTCCTCTCCCACCTCCGGTCTTCTAGACTTGGTCATGACACGGGGCTCAGGTGGGGAAGGAGGAGAGAGTGCGGTAGATGTTGCTCAAGTCCACAATCATTATGAATTAATTAACGCGCAATTCAACGTCCCTGCTCTCACTCTGCTGTGGGGCTCACGGTGGACATCGTCGAGACCGACGGTTGAACTGTCATCTGTCGCCGCAGCCTAGGTTACAGGTAAACCCTAGTCAATATAACCTTCGGGACCGGTCCCGAATAGAAACAGGAGCAGCTGGGCGCCAGTAGAGAGATCATTGAATTCTGTACAGAATGAGTGAATAATAGATTGGAACACTGGCAGCCGAAAGAAAACGCATTCTTGCTGCCTCCAGTGCAGACCTCAGTGCGCCTTGAGCGAGGGCGTCCGCATCGACCTTGAAGTTGATTGGCCGGCCTGGATAACTGTGATTGGACAAAAAGCAGACGGCCACTAGTGTGAGCACGCAAGTGCACGCGAAAGGTACAGTGTTGCAGCAAACGCCCCAAAGTAGAGTCGCTGCGGATTTACCTTTCCCAGCCAAAATGTCGCCCGTTTTTGACTTCATTGGCAGGCCACTTCGACTCGATCAACCAGTGTAAGTTCTCTCACAAGAGCAAGTGAAGGAGTTGTAGTGGGCAGCCATAATGACTGGTTTGGTGTCATTGTTCGAGACCTCGCTGCCTCAAGGTCATTCACCCCTTGCAGCGAGCCGTCCCAGACGAGCTGCCTGAAGCCACTCGACCGACTTCAGCCCGGGCACAATTGCCTCCACACAGCATCGCGGCTAGCCATGAGCCAGCCCCTGCAACCAGCAAAAGAAGCCACTGGGACAGCACCCCTCGGCAAGTGCAACACACGCTGACCGGTCACCACTTGAGCTTGGCCCACGAGCCTACAAAAGCGGTTGCCACCACTGTCTCAGGGACTCTCGGGCCTGACTGGACGCGGTCAACCCCAGTCCTGGCTTCGTCAGTGGCCAATGTCGCCCGAGAGGAAAACTCCGGGTCTGTGCACAATAAACCCCTCATTCTGGTGTTTTCTGTCGTCTCCCTTCAACTTGGGATTCGACCTGGTGGTTGTAGCGCTCACGGCACTTACTCTCATCGCTTGGTCACTCCGCTTGGTCACCACAGAGTAAATGCGCATGGAGCGTGTCTGCGCTGCTAGCCTCTCCTCACTAGTTTTGCTGACCTTATTCCTGACTAGTCAGTGCCCGTATGACCTGCGAATTGGGTTTGGTTTGAAATATTCACAGTAATCGTACCTGTTTGGAAGGGCAGACAGCCATACTTTTCCCCCATAGATCTTAATTTTGTTCTCCTCTTACTGTCGCCCATTGGCACAAAGCCTCAGTTACCCCAGTGATAACTGTAGTTGCTAAATCGGATGAAGCAGAATGGCAGGCGTAGTTTGTCATGACTTGCACATTTTGGTATCTTTCCTTCCAGGGACAAATTCTACAACCTGACTAAAGAAAACGATTCCGTCCTCTATGAAGATCTCGTCAAAGGGCTGTCCAAACTGGAAGCAATCACCGGAGTGCTCTACGTGGCCACCGGTTTTCACGCACCCTGGCTCACAAATTTGACTTTCCTATCAAAATTAAGGATCATTCAAGGAAGTAAGTCTACTTTGAATAGCCCACTCTATCAGATCCACCGGTCAAGTCAAGGACGGTCGACCTAGCATTAACGCAGAGGCACATGAAATGTTCAGGGAAGCGTAGACTGTTTTGGGAGTGTGGAGTCGGACTGGGTATCTGGCTGCCCAAGGTCACCATTCCACCGTCACCCTACACGACAGCGAGTCCTACTTTCTGATCCAACGAAGCTATGCTTTATGCGCCCGAGACTCCCCATTAACCGCTTTGATCGGCGGTCGAAATCAACTGAGGGACCTCCAACGTGTCTCTCTCAAGCGCAGGTGTTTGTGTGTGAAACCCGGTTCGAAGGTAAGAGAGATACTGACCCTAGCATGGGCGAGATCTTTGTCAAGTCTGTTTCCGCGTCCCATCTCAGCTCGCTGTAGCGACCCAATCTTGCCATTAGATGGAAATTGTGTTGGGAAGATAGATTATGGTCGATTGTGTCCCAGTTTGTGTCACTGTGCTCGAATCAACCAATGTTCTCCCTGCTTTTGTATGGGAAACTACTGTCAGGATATCAGCCAAACACCCCATTTCTGAAGACCTTAAGCCCACCTGCGTCACAGTCTGCCCCCTATTTCAGATGTTCCAGAGGGTGCAGCCGACCTGCCCGCAATCAACGTCAACGGGAACAGCCACCTGCGATTTCTCGGTCTCTCCTCCCTCACCTCCGTCCAACGTCGCAGTGTGCTGATTGCGGCCAACCCTCGTCTCTGTCTGGTCGACAGCATTGATTGGCAGGCGCTGACCGCCCGACGGCCCGGTAATGTGGGTGAGTCAGCCGGAGTTGGCGAGGGCCGCGTGAGGCGCGACGTTGAGGCCCCCGGCGGCGGCGGCGGTGGTGCCGACGCTGGCGGCCACGGGAACCGGACATTTACGGACACCGGGGCTCTGGCTAACGCCGCACACCTCAAGGCCATGGCAAGGCGAAAGGCGGCAGCTATAGCTGCGGCCATTCTTATGCGACAGATGCCAAAACGGCCCTCCATCCTCATCGAGACTTCACGAAATCGGCCTGAGGAGGAGTGCAGTACGTGAAGTACATACATAGAGGGGGGTAGTCTTTCGAGTTTTTGAGAAAACGGAAACTTTACTTCCTGACTGATCTCGTTGCATGTCGTCTGGCATACAGTGAGCAAAAGGTCCTGTCGTTACCGATAGACATCTGCTGACTGGCTTTTGAGAAGTGTATATACGACATTCAAATCGACTGAAGCGTGACTCATTCAAATAGAGCGCCTCGGAAAATTTCCAGCATAGTTTACCAGTAGCTGCTAATAATGGACATTCTTCCCTACTCAACAGTTTGCTCCCCTTTGTGGGTATACATGTCTGCTTTTGACGGATGATCTCGCACCACAACCTTAAGTTGGTGTTCATGTATGTGCATAGGGGGAGGCGCTCCCGGTTTACTCCCCACCTTTCAACGCATGTGTTGCAAATTTCTTTCAGAGAAATCCTTGTCCAAGTGTCCAACACTGTCTTGGAATGCCAAAATTTCTTGCAAAATACGGCTGCTGTATTAGCATATCCTCTGAATGCTCTTTTGGTGAGGTGTCGTGTGTGCATCACGCAGAAGGGGCCTCTAGATGGCTGTTTTTGGTACCGGCGAGAATAGGTTGTGTAGCCCACTGATTTTTATCTGAATAACTACCTATTATGTTTGTTTTAGTAGGCCTTGCTTGTTTTATTAACTCGTGCAGCTACATACAGTCTCTCTTTGGGTGTTACCTAGCGCACTACTCACTTGGATTGTTTAAATTGCCTTTTTGTTTTGGGTAGTGTGCTATCAGGGGTCGAAACTAAAACTCACTTAAATGGCCATTTTCCAAACAAAATTGAGCAGGTAGTTTGCTTCCGCCAGCTGACTAGACAAATTTGATTCAACTGTCTATAAAATGCACACAATGTGACCAAAATAGCCCATATCTTAAGGCAGTGCTTAAAGGCCTGTGACTGGACTCCGAATAAGTTCTACCGAGACAAAATGGAGTTCGGCACTTAACCACCGAAGTACGGATGTGCTATGTTGCCTGCTGTGGGAACGGTGTAAATCCCGAGGGAGTTGCGATAACCGATATGCCCGATCGGATGATACACCCTTACTTCTCTTTGGCGGACTTTGGTTAAGAAGGCGGCGGCCTTTCGTATATATCAGAACTTATAAAGCATTGTGTCGTTCCCGAAAACACACTCCAGATTCTTGAAATAAGTATGGGATCGTAAAACAACGGTAGTTATTCACTGGACCATTGCCAAATACGCAGTTGTAAGACAACAAAATGGAAGTACGTGCCAAAATGTATAAGTCCCTTAGAAAATCTACAAATATTCTCAATAAGTCCTATGGCCAAATTGGGTTTAAAGCATTCCAAAGCTTCGATTATAGCCCAAACTTAACGCTTAGACCACGACGTTTCCACTTTCATTTGAAAAATCTTGTCGGCACTGAACTCGATTAGTTTTCAGTTTAAAATTATTTTCCCTGAAAATAAGTAACATCTATTTCCCTTCTGGGAAGACGTCTGTGGGAAAGTACACCTTATTGAGGCGTTAACACTGAAAAAGATCAGGGTTTAGCATTTTTAAGGCGTTGCGAGTTCTTAAAGTCCCAAATAACTCCATATTCAGATTTTCTTAAAATAGTTCCATTTTTTGCTTCCTAACGCCATGAAGAGACGATAACTCGATCGACACAGGCTACTGTATCCACCATTGTCCCACGAGGCTGACACACTCGTGATTGGTGCGTGGATTCGTTTACAGTGGGACAGACTTTCGAAGCACCCTGATCCCCCGCCTGTAATTCCAAGGCAAAGTTAACACTATCAGAGTTTGATGCGGACTCAGTGTCAGATAAAAACAACCGTCCAAGCGCGCCACATACAACGTGGGCCCTGACTCCACATACGCTGGACTGCATTCGGGGGATGTCTCGGATCCAAAGGAAGTGGAAGTGCCATGTAGTCTGTACTAAGGAACCGTTGGGGCCTGAACCCTAGTCCTGGGTGGGATCGAGTTCGTCCGTAAGTAGGTGGTCCTCGAAGGCATGACTGGTAGCGCGCCGTTGTAATGTCAAAGCGCTTTCATTTGTTTATGAATAGGACAGAATCAGTACTGGGTTGACTAGACTTCCTCATCCAATGACGAGTGATCCCTCATAGAATGAATTAAAATAACCCAAAAGACTTCCTGGAATAGGGTTCCACTTTTGGCCATATGCCCCTTACCTCAAAAGGAAGATAGATCTCTATGACTGGCCAAATAAACGTACCGGCTGTCTACACTTGCTGGTTTGCACCTGCAATTTCATTGTGAGAGAGGACATCGAGATGGTACATTTACCTGCGCTATCTAAGTATATGTTCTACTGGAGTAAAGTCGAAGTGACTCTAGGCGACCCGGTCTGATTGTAGGCCAGGCGCCCCTTTTTGCCGTGGGAGCAAAGGATTTAAGGCTCACAGGTCGTCCCGTAGCGACAAACAATCGATATTCGATAGGTCCGAGGCAGTAACAGGGGATATGAAATTACGGGGTTCAAATCGTAGATTTTTTGTCCTTGTTTTTATAGTCCTTGATTGGTGTCGGCGTACAGCACTGTCCTTTATCGCGAGTGCGTTTATTTGAGGGGAGAATAAAGTGAAATCAGACTAATTACTTGGAGGGTGCGCCGAAGAGTAGCAGGACGCTGTGACAGGCGAATTATTTGTGTATCCCACCTGCTTGCATTAGCTCATCTTGTCAATACCACTTGCAACTAACATCTCATTCACATGTCTCCACAAATAGCACTAGACGGGGACGTGTGTGCCGACGTCTGTGTCCAGGAGCACGGTTGCTGGAGTCCCGAAGCCGAGCATTGCTCCAAGTGCGCCTACTGGAGTGTTCACCGGGAGGAGGGAGGCTGTGTAAGGGATTGCGAAGCACTGCCGGGCGGCTTCTTTTCTGTCCCGCTGGGCAATGACAGCTCTACCGAGACTTCAAACAACCGCCGGACTACTGGCCTACTAGGGCACTGCGAAAAGTGCGACCCCGAATGCGGCCCACATGCGGGTGCCTGTTATGGACCCCGTGCAGATCAGTGCAATTTCGCATGTCTACATGTCAAGGTGGGTTTCCACTGATGCATGAAAGACGGTGTTTATTCCCCATAACATTTAGGATTCATGCCTTAACTCTCTACCGGAGATAATTCAGGTTGAGCAATGCACTGGAGGGCTGGTATTGGCCAGGGTAGGAAGAACGTTCACCAATCGGCTTACGTGACGCGCTCGTCCCGTTGCACTTTAGGGTCCAAAAAGCGTCATCGTAAGCAGCGACGTGTAGGTGGCTAATGCGTGCAGGGATAGAGTATCGACAGAGACGGGGAAAACTGGAATGACCATTTCTGATTTCTTAGCCGTCAATTGTCTGCCCTTCCTGGCCTAAGGCCTACATGTAGTTGCGTAACAGTCACATACCTGCTACCCGGTTGGATATGCCTTTGTTGTAGATAAACGCGAGTTTTTCGAATTAAGTTTCTTGGCTTAGAATCGGCCAAGGAAGGCCTTGCAACGTCAACTGCTCCTTAGTCACAATGCAGGTTCTCACGTGAAGGTTAACCCAGGGGACCGCTTCTTTGGGGAGGGAGGGGGTGGTGGGGATCGGGGCACCGAAGACAAGCAAGCATCACAGCAATTATGACCACCTGTGATTAGTGCAAATTTTACGAATTACTAGGTTAACGGTGCAAGAACAGCCATCGTCTACAAATGCGCACCCTGTTGCTTCCACCACCACGAATGTGAAACAGCAGTCGGATATTGTTTGTGCTCTGGTGGTCGAGTCTGCGTCTTCGATAAATAAGTGTTTACTATAATAATAATAATAATCATAGTGTTTGTTACTAACATAGCAATCTCCTGGAAAATGAGAGACTTGTCGTTGTCCAGTTAAGCAGCCGAAAGCGGGCTAACGCACGATATTTGCCCTAACCAATGGGACATTAACCGAAGCAGTCCCACAAACTGCAAACTAAGCTGGGCATGAAACAAAGGTCGGCTGATCTACCTAACACATCGAGAACCGCCCAGCTACCTCTGACGGTCGCAACCAACAGAAATCGATTGCTTATTTAATATGCAGATAGATGGCCAGTTTTTTATGGTTATGTATATCGGACCACTTTCAAGTGTTACTTTGGAAAAACTTGCTTTGCAGCTTTCTCAACATGTCTTTAGTTTTTCATTTTAGCTGCTCATGCAGATTGCTTTTCGTGTACTTTTAAGACTACTAAGGTTTGCTTTCTGATCTTCAGTAAAGTAAACCCTCCTTGCTGACCAATCATAACTTCTCATTCACACTTCCAAACACACTAACAATTATAGGACGGTCCCTTTTGCCGAGCCAAATGCCCCTCCTCGAAGTACGCAGATGAGAAAACACGCATCTGCCTGGACTGTTCTCCTGTCTGCCAACAGGCCCTTTCAAAACAGCCTGACTTCCTCCCAGGCTTGGTGCAGCACCAGGGGAGTCAGTTGGACGTGTGCAGCGGTCCAGGGGACTGGCCGGGACCAGGTGGCTGTAATTTCTGTGAACAAGTTGTCGTCAGTCCTGAGGCGCCTGACTGTGGAACGAAGGAACAGTCCGAGGGACGGGAAGTGTCGGACGAATGTGTACCGAAACTTCATTGTTTAATTCCCTATCAGGTACATTAGTCGTATCTTCAAGGGCTCAACACACACACAAGTTGAACGTAGTTGAGTAGTACTTAAGTACGTATTTAAGTTTAGCCAGTATAAAGTAATACTTGATAAATATTGTGCGGGTAGGATATAAAGTTCGGGTGCAGCTGCAGGTTGACAAGCCCTTGGATGAGTACTTAATAATTATCCACACTAACACAAAGGCCTCTAAAGCTGAGTACATCCGGACTTTCGTCCAAGTAGAAAGTCAAGCATTAACCCACTAAACCAAGCAAAATTGACTGGTCAAACAAGCTATTTATTTTGAACTCCAAGGTTTTTTAAACAATATATGGCCTTCCAGTCCAGTACATCCACTTTCCGTCAATTATTTAGAAAAAGACGAATTCCAAAGTTCTTTAGACCCAGTGAAGGAAGAAATTGTCACCAAAGCCTAGACGATGCGAATCAAAGTCTTTTAAAGCAGAACTCGACATAATGCATCCCTGTAAATGACAACGCCGAGTATAACATCCAAATTATTATCAGATTTCTGTTGTCTGTCAAAACCAGAGCAATTGGTCGATTCTTGTACCTCTGTCTGCTTTGATAACGATATTAATTTTTCTTCGAATTAGGCATGTCCCCAACAAACGTTTCTTCACCTGCTCCATGTAACCTCCACCCTATCCGGGACCCTGGGCAACAATGACACCGACTATCGAAACCATATTCTGTTGACGCTCTCGCAAGACGCCTCATTTCAGTACTTGTCCTCGAGAGTGTATGGGTTGGTAGCTGACTGGCTGCTATCTCTTCGTGAACACTTCAGCACACGTGTGGTTCGCCTCTGTCTACCATGCCACGCACAGTGCTCACCGCTCGTGAATCCAGGCTGCACTGGTCCGTCGGCGACTCAGTGCACATCATGTCGCACAGCCGTCTTCCAGGGCCGCTGTGTACCATACTGTCCCAATGGTGAGTCGCCTTTGAAACGTTTTATCGGCTGTATCAATACTACTGGTTCCTTGTACTGGATACTGCGTTGGGCAGTCGATTAGGAACAATTTCGTTGCAACGGGCGTCCCGTAACTGCTCTAGTTACACGGCCACAAATTATGCATCTTGTTAGACGCAATCTAATCACCGAGTCAGAAGTAGGACAATATCGACTACTCGCCAGGCCGCAAGGACGGACTCTGGTAGTTTGGATAACGGAGGCCTCGAGGTGGAGTCAAGGGGATCTGTGGTTCATCGCGGTCCTCATGCGAGAAGTTGACGGACCTAACGCAGTTTCCATGAGACGGCTGCTCGCAACCAGCGCACATCTTCGCACGCCGGAGCGTGTGCATGAATACGCTGCAATTTTTCCGGCCAGTGTACGTTTACTAGGCAGGTTGTCCCTCCAGGTCAAGTAGGCCGACAGTTCAACCGCTGCCGACGACGATGTCCACTGCGTGACCCACAGCCTGGTGGAGACGGGACGATGACGTGGGCGTGAATCAGTTTATAGTGATAGCAGATCCGCGCAGCATCTCTCGCCTTCCCTCTTCCCCTATCGTCCCGGGCTCGGTGACAAGACTGAGTCCGGAGGCGAGACCGGGCGTAGTGGATGACAAATTAAAACAACCCGTCTACGCGTGCCACTCACGTCTGGTTCACGTATGATGGACTAGGTCTTCGCGGAAACATGGTGGACTGCTCAGATCCCATCTAAGTGGGAGTGCCATCGGTGCCCCTTTGAGAGGGAACCTGACTTTCTTCCTGAGGGGACAGAGTTGTCCCATTGGCTGGCACTCCTCCAAGCCACGACTTTTAGCACGTCATGATGGTTTAAAATATCGGCAGATTGTTTATGATAATAATAAGAAAACGCTAGTATGCGCTGACCCAATTGCTTAGGGTAGCTAGGTGCGACCTTGTAAATCGCACGGAAAGCTTCGTTGTCTGATTTACTCCCGTTTTAGTGCTCCAAAACAACCGCATAAAGTTGATTTAATGAGGCGGTTTTGTGAGAGTAGGCGTTCCCCCAGCGTGCTTTTAAAATAAAACCGTTTACCCATTCTTTTAGATACTTTCTCCTTCAAGAACGATTCCGACTTCCTGTCGAACGACAACTCAGAAGTGCGCAACGAACTTAACAACTCCTCGGATCCTAAGGACTCCACGGTAATCCCTGACTCCCACAAGGTGGAATACTGTTTGCCATGCCACAGCGAATGTCACGGCGGCTGTACCGGCCCCGGGAGTGATCAGTGCAAGAATTGTCGTTCCTTTAAAGTCTTCACGAACGCGGAAAGAACACGGGTGAGTTGCCCGTTCTCGGTCTCTCTAGAACATAACTGTACCATCCCCACTAGTGTTTACGTTAACATCACCGCGAACACTGTAGTACCGAGTCCTTTAGTTTCTTTTAGCACTTTTTTTACAAACATTACCTTTCCAGTGGAAGTGCGTCCCGTCATGTTCTTCACAAGAGGCCAGTGGAACGAAAAATACTCTCGGTGATATCGCAGACGCCAGCATCTGTGCATACGCAGTGGAGTTGCCAGGCGAGACTCCGGGACGGCAGTTGAATACGTTATCAGGAGGTGTCGATCTGGATTCCTTGGGTGCTGGCCTCTTTCCCCTGAGACCTCAGACCAGGCGCTTAATCTCCGCCTTTGCTGCCACCCTCTTCACTCTCATTGCCTTCTTTGGTGTCCTCTTCGTAACTGCCCTTCTCTTCGCCTGCGGTCATTTCATCTTCAACGTCACTGATCACTCCGGCAAGGAAACGTGTCACTCACTGCCACCACCAGCCCGTCTAACTTCAGAGGAGGAAGACGAGCAGGCGGTCGGCAACAGGGATGCCTCGTTCCGTTGCGCGCCGCTACTGCATCTAAACTGTGAGAAGTTTTGGACGAGAGCTGTTTACGTGAAGGCAAGAGAGGAGGACATTGAGGGCCGCGGCTACGGACCCGACAACTGTCCTGGGGAGACAACGGGCAAAGGGAAATGGCGTCGGTCACAGGGAAGTCTGAAGGAACAGCAGAAACTTCTGGCTCGTCGTTCCTCCTGTAGGAGCGGCCAGACTGGCAGGACTCCCTCAGGCAATACACCAGATGAGGAGGAGTCTCTGTGGCGCTGTGAGAAGTTGGTGAGTTGGTGTCTCTTAGTCTACAAACTGTCCTCATTCATTTCCTTCTCGCTTCTACTGATAATCTGCGGTCGATGCATGCGAGATGACCGGATGAAAAGAGAGATGAGGGACAATGGAAAGTCTTGTGCCCCTACAATGGGCCACAAGGAGGGCGCAATGGACCAACGCAGGGGCTAGATCGGGGTCCGGCAGGCGTTGTTGGAAATGCGCACCCATAACGAATGCAAACATTTTGGTTGCAGTGGGACGCCTATTTGCAGACTCACGCCGCGCCAATAGGGATCGGAGCAACCCCTTACTTTTATTGTTTTACAAAATCCTGGTCAGAGTACTTCGTGGACCACGGGGTGTGGTGGTACGTCTGGGTGCGGGTCTAGCCGCGCCGGCCACCTGCGCCCTCTCCCGCCTCTGTCCTGATAGCGGGCCCAGGGGGGAGGAGGAAAGAGTGTGGTGGATGCAGGCAAGTATACTGTAGTTTTAAACCGAATCACATGCAAGTCACCGTCCCCGCTTTCACCTTGATGTGGAGCACACAGTGGAGACCGTCGACAACGACGTCAAACTGCCGGTTACGCCCTGGTGGGAGGGTTGCAGACTGCGGCCGGGGCTTACGTTCCAGACTGATGCCGTCTTCCTGATTATTTGGACATTAAAGTGCTTAAAAACGCCTAGTAAGACATTCTTGCACTGACGTCTAGGTCACCTGAAAGGGTTCCGCCGTTTTGACTTGTTCGCTTTGAAAAAACTAGTTTTTGCGAAAATGTCCGTGCTACGATTACAAAGCCAGTTGGCAAAAATATGTTTTCGATAATTCATCATCAGAGCACAACAATTTGTGGCTTTGCGGCTTCGTGAAAACGGCCATCCAGCGAGATTCATCCTCCGGAATATAAGGGAGTGTGCCACAAAGTCTGCCGTTGCAAATGCAGAAAATAAAGGCATATTTCTAAAACTACCGCTTTTAGGAGATGCAGCAGACGAATTAGCGAGACGACGCCTAAGGACAGCTACCACGAGTGCCCTCCTCAGAAAACTTGCGCGTAATCTTTATAAACTCTCCCTCCTACGGTTGGGGAGCAAAGACCGACTGCCGTTGCAGGCCACATCGGTCTGCATTTATTAATTCACCTGCTCCTCCGGAGCGGGATATATTGGCCATACAACGAGGCGTCTGGAAGGGAGGGTATGCGAACACACACCGGCCTGGCTAGGTAAGGGGGAAAATCGATCGATTTCAAGTTCAATTCTCCCACATCTAACCGACACGAACCACCAAGTTGACGCCAGAGCAACCTTTGAAGTTTTCTACCGGGTGCCAGCATACTACTCCATAGGCCTACGCAAGCGGGTGCTAACAACAGCCGAAACGCTGATCATTCGATTAGTGAATCCAGAGACCTGCTGTTAGAAGACGTTGATACAGGCAGTCGGTCCTCCCTAGCCTACTCCGAGTGGTGGTCGCACGCCTTCCCAACCCCCGGAAAACAGTAACACGCCCTCCGCCCTCAGCAATCATACCCTACGCCGACTCCGTGGGAGCAACGAGTGTGACCAACCCTCCCCGATACACATATAAACCCTGTCCATAGCTCACAGATTCATTCTCCACGTAATTGTAGTGGTCTGGTGATGAATTGTCGAAAACATGTTCTCACCAATTGACTTTTTAAAAACTAGTTTATCTGAATCCATGACTCCAGATAAAAACCACACTGCTGGAATTCCGTTCACTAGACATGCTCTTCCCGTTGTGCCTTGAGCTCAATCTGGAATCCTCGTATGCAGTCGCGTAGCGACAAACAGTAAGCAATAAACCCGGATTCAGATCTCGGGTTATGTGAACCTGGGATTGGATGAAGCTGACTAACAACGACTAGTAATTCAGAAATGGCGGTCCCGGTCTTCCTTGTATTTTTCAGTACTCCTCTTATGCAAATACTGCTGTATTCACCAAACTGCTGTTACAGTAGTGAAAATTGATTTAAACCGTTTGCGTAAAAGTGCGAATTTTTGGTGTTAACATATTGCGGGAAGGCATGTATAATGTCCCACTGTTCACGATAATGCTTATTTTACAGGAAGTACAGTAGGCATGCTAACTCATGTTAAGCAAAATTCTGAGATGCGTTTTCGATTCGAGAAGATTATTTAAGTAGGGTTGTAAGATTAACCACCGCGCAGCATAATCCATGATAATTCAGTTACTTTCGGATGCCGGCTTTTGAACGAGCATCTTTTCGGCCGCCTGCAAGAGCTAAACTGTAAAAAATGAATACTTGGGTAGCATAAAATTTTCTCATTGATTTTCGATATACTTATAAATTTAAATATACCTCATGGAAGGCATGTGTGAAAATATTCTTTCTTCTATTCATTTGGTAGAACATTACGTCTTCTTCAAGTTTTATACTTGAAGGAACGACATAATTCGGTTTTAAAAAATACTTGTTAAATTCCCGAATAATTCTGAACTCGACCAGTCATAAGATTTGCATTCTAGGTTTCAAAACTACAAGTTGCATATTTCCCGTGTATGGAAAACCATACTTTTTCGTACAGTTTTAACAGGAGACCATACAGGGTTCAAAAAATTTAACAGTAGATTCGAGCTACATTGTAAACTTTACATACAATATTAGTAAATGCAAAAACACGAGATTTTATGAGCGGGCATTTCATGGTCTTAAAAAATCTCATAATTAGGAACAACTTTAGAACCGAATTATACCCTTTCTTCAAGTATATAATCTTAAGAAGACGCAATTTCTACCAAATGAGTAAAAGAATAAATATTTTGCGCATGTTTTCCACGAAATATATTTTAATTTATAAGGACATCGAAAAACAGTAAGAAAAATTCATGCCCCCTATGTAGTCATTGTTCAGAGTGTAGCTTTTACAAGCGACCGAAAAGAAGTTCGCTCAAAAGCCGACACCCTGAAGTAACTGAATTATTATGGGATTATGTTGCACGGTGATTAATATTGCAACCCTACTTAAGTAATCTTTTCGAGTCAGAAACGTATTCCGGAATATCGGTTAACATTTCGTGAGTTGGCACATCTACTGTAGACCAGAGAGGGGCGAAAGCGGAAAAAATGTAAGTGCGAATGAAAAAGTGAATCCGACAGCTCAATGTCTGATGAATACGGAGAATGGTATAGGACTCCGGTACCCAATTAGCGCACGTTTTGAGTCATCCAAAACATACGGTGTTAAGTTGCCAGAGCCAATGCCAGAAACAAGATGGGCTTATCGAAACAGGTTTATTAGAAGTGCTGACGTTTCTGAGAGCTTGGTCGGCCCCCATTGTCAAAACTTAAAATGCACTTCATCGAACAGAAATTTGAAGTGGCTTGCCGGGCTGGTCGGCCTCATGCTGATTGATTTTCCTCTCTCGGGGGATGTTTGGTCGGCTTTTTAGGTGCGTGCGTTGTGAGTCATCACCTCGTCAGGGGGTGGTTGAGTCTCGGTTGGGGTTAATGGGTCTGACGGCTCTTTTTCTTCCTCGTCGAGTAAACCCGTCGTCTGGCTGTGTCTGCGCGGCCTTAATTTCTGTGTGGTCGTCTAGTCCTGAGCTTTGTGAAAGTAATGACGCAGGACTCTTTGGACTGCAGGGAGGTCCAGGTGCCGCTTATTGATGGGGCCAGATCAAAATCACGACCTTAGTCTTGGTGATCAATAAGCAAAGTCTCAATCGCTTGAAAGCTTGTTCATGGCATGATTGGTTGAGGCAGTTTTCTGCTAAGTCATTTTACACAGTCCCACATCTGGTCCACCTTACTTAATTTCGAAAGGCCACATTGAAAGCTTACGTGGTTTTCAACCGTTGAAGGTAAGGTGTGGTTATGTGGCTCCACCTGATGGACACAATACTGTTCGGTTGGGATTAGGGGTTAGAGTTAGGGCTAGGGTTATGGGTTAGGGCAACTATTTCTCCACCACTCGAAGTACAACCACATATTCCCAATAGCTTTCGACCTCGTCGCCTGTACGGATCCCGCCCCACCTGTAAAACCCCTATTACCACCGGTCCCGTATTACAGGCAGCTGGGGTTTGTTTACTTTAGGTGGGGCTACATAACCACATCTGAACCCGTTGAACTTGCAGGAATTTAACTCGACCGAAAAGCATAAATTTTACTCAAGCTAATAAGCACGGTGCAGCCCGGAAAGAAAGCCTTCGAGGCAGAGATATGTTCTCAAGATCAACACTCTAAGAACTGTGAAGTGCGGTACTAACCTTACCACCGACAATGAAAGCTTATTTGTCCTTAAATCGCCAAGACAGTAAAATCTTGGTGCAGTGATCGCCTTTTATTCCTGGTTATTTCCGGGGCGTCCGTTTTTGCTCTAATTAGCAGTGTATACGGGGAATTTTACAACTCGTGAAATGTGTCGAAATTTACCAAAGACTACTAACTACTCTCAAACCGGCACAAACAAATGGACCAAAACTCCGGTTTAGAATCGAACGACTTCAGGTGAATTGAAAACGTAGAAGAAATATTAAAAGTAGTGTTATGTTATTTAAAAATACCAAATTTTTAGAAGAGCAGAAATTCAGGAAACGTCGGTAGTCGTTAAAGCTGAGCAACCTTGAGTTATGGATGTACAGGAAGCCTACCCATACAAACAACTGAGTAAATAAAACAGCACAAGTAAAATGGTGTTTGTAAATAGTCCTTCAGTGGAGTTCACAATTGAATCCCTGTTGGAATTAGTGTGGTATCAAATATGGTGGTTAGTCAACAGCCTATGATTTAAATTTAGATTTCAAGATGGTTTCGCGAGAATTTGTTGCAATTTTTCCGTTTTTGAATTGTTCGAGATGCGCTTGACTAAGTCAGACAGGAGTTTGCTTGATTTCGTCGGCTGGGGCGTCACAGGAATGCAAGTTTTTCCTAGGTTCCCTGTTGATGGGTCGGTCAGTAATTGATAAATTCCATTAGCATTGACAGGTGCAATCGTAAATATATCAGAACAGAAAAATGCGTAGTCACCCAGCGCAGATGCCCAACAGATGTGATTTGCCATATGGGTCATAAGCACATCATCGAACTGAAGTTGATCATATCTCGTCAACCAACACTTTCCGTCGCCACAGCTCGGGCTTTTATTTGGGTAGGAATTAATGCATACTGTTCCATCGGCTTCTCGAAGTAGACTAGATTAAATTTACACATCCAAGCTAATAAGCAGAATCACCCGCACGCAGCCAGAGTACCTCAGGGGAACGCATGACTGGACTGTTTTAAAACCATGCTGACGTGATGCTACTTTAGGCAGAGGGACTAGGGTTCACACATTTTCATTCAAAACTAACAGCTGCTTACATCTCTTAATAGAGCGAGGGATACAAACCGAATATGGCAACGCTTTTGGTGATACCTGAGAACCAACTGCGCCGTGGATGCCTAATTGGCGCTGGCGCTTTCGGCTCCGTTTTCAAAGGCATCTGGCGATACGGATCTTCCTCTCAGGCCAACGGTTTTCACTTGGACCAGTCACCGTCTCTCAAGACTGAGGGCAGCTCTTCCGTGGAGCCACAGACATGGCAACTGGAAGCTCAAGCCCCTGACACCTACGAAAACGACTCGGCCACAACCGTTGAGTATCAACCCCCGAGCACCGAACTCCTGGCTTCAACCTCATACCAGTCTTTCGAGGGCGCCAGCTGCAGCAACTATGCCTACGTTTCCATGACCCCTGCGGCGGAGGAGATCAAAACTTTGAAACCTGCGTCTCCAGGGGCCAACAGTACCTGTACGTACTTTGACAACTCGCTCTGTGACGAAAGCACCGGCGAGGAGATGCTCGTGGCTATCAAGGTCCTCAACGATGCCACAGATTCGAACACCTGTAAGGAACTGCTTGAAGAGGCCCGCGTAAGTGTTCCTCGTGTTGATCTGGTTTACTCGGCTGACAGGCTGAATCGCAGTTAAGATCTCTTCCTTGATGCCGTGAGAGAAAGAGGGGAAGAACAGAAGTGAAAATGTTGGAGTTAACAATGACCCATTTCTTATCCTTGCCTGATTTCATTCACCCTAGATTTCAATTTACTAACTTTGTATGCATCAGGAAGGAGGATGTATATGATCCGGGAGAATAAACCAGCAATTTTAGCTCTGGTTCTGACTTTATCTCTCTTCCACCCCGAACTACCTGAGTCCTGAACGCTTGCCTCTTTTTGGGATTTGAAATATCTCAGATGATGTAGTTCAGACTTCTGAAGTGAGAAATCACATGTCAAGTCTCCTTCGGAAAGTCCAAAATTTGCTTGCTACGATTGCGACAAATTTCATACGATTTACTTACCTGTGTTGTGCTCGTTGTTGCACCTGATATTGACATAATGACCTTGGATTTGAGAGAGAGAGAGATAAGAGCGACTTCACCGACAATTACAGTAGTTGGGCTAGCTCATGAAATGCCAATCGAAATTCCGAAATGCGTTTTCGTTTCGAAAAGATTAATTAATTAAAAAAGGTTGTAAAACTAATCAGCCGACAGTATAATTCTATAATAATTCAGTTACCTCAGGATGCTGGATTTCGAACGAAATTCCTTCCAGCTGCACAAAAAATTATACCCCGTAGAAAATGACTACTTTTGGCATGAATTTTTCTCATGGATTTCCGATGCCCCCAAAAGTCAAATTATATTTCATAGAAAACAGGCATAAAATATTCATTTCTTCGTTCAAGTGGTAGGCGATTACGCCATCTTCCAATCGTATACTCGAACGTAGGGTATAATTCGGTTTTCGAAAACTTTTCCGATTCCCGAATAAGTTTGAACCCCCTCTGCCGTCACACTTGCATTCAGGGTTTCTAAACTACAAGCCGTGTATTTTCCGCGTACGGAAAACCACACATTTCTGTACGGTATTGAGAGGAGACCATATGGGGTTCATAAAATTTAGCATTGGATTTGATCCATATTACTAAATTTACAATCCGCATTGGTAACTGTAGAGACGTCGTTTTATGAACGACCATTTCACGGTATTTAAAAGTTTCACAATTATAAACTTTTATAAAACCGAATTTTGTCCTTCCCTCGAGTATAAAATTGGAAGAAGGCGTAATTTTCTACCGAATGAGCGAAAAAATAAATATTTTTATGCATTTGTTCCATGAAATATAGACTTTTAGGGGCATCGGAAATCGAAACCCAGCCTGTGTTTTACGGCGAACTTTAATCGATTTATCTTATCACTGACGTGTTTTACTTCTTCCCCCTTCCCATATAATTGTACTGGCCCGACGAGAATTTATCGAAAGCTGCGTATGCTCGTCACCTCGTCTTCTGATTACTGCTGTGGGAATTTTGGCAAATCAATGAGAAAAATGCATGCTATTTAAGTAGCCATTTTTTACGGAGTATAGTTTTTGTATGCATCCGGAGGGAATTTCGTTCGAAAACCAGCATCCTGTAATAACTGAATTGTTATTGAATTATACTACAGACTTTTTAGTTTTACAACCCTACTTAATCAATCTTTTCGAAACGAAAACGCATTTCGGAATTTCGGTTGACATTTCATGAGTTAGCTCACCAACAGTATATCTGGAGTGATGCCAGGGAGGAAAATGAGGACGGAGATGATCGTTTCTGCCCTGCTTTTCGTAATCCACAAGTGTCACCTCAACATCTCAGGCCAAAAGACCCGTGATTTGTATTCGAGTACGATTGGTTTCTGAGGATGAGCCGGCCGCTTTGCCGTCTGTGTCACAGTCACACGGAGGAGTCGTTCGCCGGACCGACTCCCTTTGCATCAATTGTCAGTATGTGACCGCCTGTGAGGGCTCCAGGTTCGAGTTCCCGGGCAAAACGGAACGACCGTGCTCCTTCTTGCGAGCGCATCCGCGAAACACCATTTTCACTTGATAGTCACATTCATTGAGGCGCGTACTCATTTCGCTGTGGTGTGTTTCGAAAAATACCTGTGGCACTTTACTCGGCGTGGCGGTAACGACCGAATCAGCCTTGCCAGTTGGTTGGTTGCGTGGCGCATGACTCAGCCTTCGGCTTGCCGACGCTGTGATGCTGATCAGTATTTGGACGTTCAGTGATTGGCTGCAGCCAGACGTGGCACGTTCGCACCCCGTGTTGGCTAACAGAGCACCAACGACTGGCTCTCATCTCGGTCAAAAAGTTGTTGCCACTGCTTTCTGAGTCGCGTCTAGCCCTTTTAGACCCTAGACACGCAGATTATCCAAATCTGAGGTTGGACGTGGCTGGCTGACGATGGCTGGTAGTCCAGAAATGGCCATCCCAATCTTTTTCGGAATTCTTTCCTGCCTCAGTACTAATCGCTCTGAGAGCGTCTGCGACGGCTCCAAAGTCAGCTCCGGGACGCAATGAGACGAGTAGGTCATGTAACCTGATCGGTGGGCCCATTTTCAACGATAGTAGCATTGCTTAAATAATTCTGTCTCTCTGACTAATGCTTTGGGGAACTTTTCGTTATCGACCTTCGCACCTCGATAAAGGATCAGTCTTCTATCATCGAGGTGGAGTTTTCCATCAGATGACTAGCCCTCCTTTGAATCATAGTAGTACCGACTGTGACATGATGAGTCATGTCCTTATCCGTGGACTCATTTAAGAGGAAGCTTGACCAGTACAGGGATATGTACCTCTACAGCATCAGAAACTAACGAGTTCCCCCCCTGTGTCACCCGCCCCCATCCAACGTTTTATGTTACAAAGCATGCTACTCCCTATATTTTAGTAACATTACGTTTTACAATTTTTGCTATCTCCTGACCGCCACATATGCGCTTGCTTTGATATTACTTGGTCCATTCAGTACCGTACTGGATATTGTACAATTTTGACATGGAAGGCATTCACAGACAAATTCATACCAGTGATCAATGTTTGTTGTATGTAACTACTTACCTAATTTTTTTCACACTTGCCTTACATATTGTTTTCTTATGACGTTATTTGTAACCAAAAGGGAGTTCAAAGGCGCTCGCCTACCTTTCCCTTAATAAATCTGATCTGATCTGATCATCATTGACTTTCTCCCCAGGTCATGGCTTCCGTGGATCATCCCTGTTGCCTCCGACTTCTCGCCCTCTGCATGACAGCAAGGCCCCAGCTAGTAACCTCCTTCATGCCACTCGGTTGTCTCCTAAACTACCTGATCCGACAGAGGGTCCCGTTGCAGTTGCGGGCTCCCGGCGACCGAACACAGGTCACGCCGACAGGTATGCTTCACTGGGCCGAGCAGATCGCCAGCGGAATGGCTTACCTCGCCTCCCGAGGTATTATTCATCGCGATCTCGCAGCACGCAATGTCTTAGTAGAGAGTCCCAGCCAGGTAATTTGATGAGGTCCCACGTTCATGTTATGTTGTATCCTAAGTTGCCCTTAAGGACCCCACTTCAGCGTAACTCAGAGTAAGTCATGGTTCTTCGATCAATATATCTGTTCATGCTGTAAATTTGGAAACCGCAAACATATCGCAACTGTTGCAATAATTTGGTTGACAAGACGAGAAGACTGTTAAATGTGCATTGAGAAGTTTTGTTGTAGGTAAGTTTGGAGTTGAGGCGTCTAAAAAGAACCCGTGAAATGCAGTCACAGTGTTTATCCTCAAAGTTATTTCAGTGTCGCAGTTAGTCCCTGACGAATCTGGAGGAAAATCGTCATGGGTTAAGAGACAGAATGTGACATGAGCAGGAGATTTGAGACTTCTAATGGACTGGTATGACTAGGCTAGCAAAACTCTGAGCTAGCAATCAGTAGAGTTCGATTCATCAATTAGTTCCCAGGCTTTATCCGAATGGTTTTTCGCAAACGAGATTTCTCAATGTGCTGCTCCTAGCTTTGTGTGAAAGTACTGAACGAACGTGGTCTAAGACGGTCGAAGCCGAATTTGTCTCTTATGACAGACATATATTTTGAGGACAACAATATTAAACAGTGTGAATGTTATTTAATGAACTGTCAAACTTGAACGATCTTTAGACAAAGAAGCATTTTCTATTGGATCCAGGAAGTTTATAGGGCGCACACCTATCACACTTCCATGTATGCACAGAGTTAAACTTATACACAATGCCTACCGTCTGCCAGCCTTTTCATTCCGATGCGATTTCGTTAACTTATTAAATAAATGTCCCAATCATATGTGTTATTTGAAAATCGGAAGTTTTCTCCTTTACTGAGCCTATCTATGCTAATAAATCAGTTCTAATGAAAGTTGTTGTTCGAAAAATGATGTTGTGCTCGACTCCACTAAGTTATTTCCCATAATTTTTCTAGTTAGTCCTTATGTTCATTTCAGATAAAAATTACGGATTTCGGCTTGGCGAAATGTCTCGATAATGTCGGAAGCGAGTACAGGGCGCACGGTGGACGAATGCCGGTTAAATGGCTTGCTCTAGAGAGCATACGATTGCGTATATTCTCCAGCAAATCTGATGTCTGGAGTTACGGTGAGTGGGGACAGTCAGTTTTCAGCAATGTATGTCGATTAAAACCAAATATCTCCTACTAAAAATATGTCAGTAGGTACCTTGTGATCGTCTTCACATGGCATACTTGTTTGAATTTTTACTAGGTGTAACACTCTGGGAAATATTCACATTTGGGAAACGGCCATTCGAAAATCTCAGTGCAAGGTCTCTCCTGCAGCATCTAGAAAGTGGACAACGTCTCTGTCAACCACCCAGTACAAACCTGGATTTATATGCTTTGATGGTTAGCTGTAAGTTAGTCGAAATGTTTTTTTTAAATCGGGTCCTAGAATTCCGGACGAATGCTTCTCGAAAGTCATCTGACAGGGTTGAGTGTATCCAGAATTCTCGCTCCCACTGTGTGGCTTTAAGGAATGAAAGTAACGACTATCAAATAACAGCCCGACTAATATTCGGATTTACTTTTACTTATTTTTACGGTGAAAAATTGCACTTTTTAGAATTGTAAGCATGTTGTACCCCATTAATTAGGAATCGCTTATTAAGACATCCGACGTGCTTTCTTGCAGACGTTTTGTGATAGGAATAATACGATTTGTTCAAACTCGACGGTTCATTTTTTATTTCTTCAAATATCTGCGGTATTTGGGATTACTTAGCTGACAATCAGGTGTAGCACATCTTATGAACGTAAAAGCCACGGCTCTCAGGCGCCAAATTCGACCACGGATTTTTAATTACTCACAAAACATGTTGCGCCGGTTAATGGTGTGATGACGGCACTAGTAGAGCAAACGTATTTGGCTTCGGAAGGGAACTGTGTCTTTACAGAAGAAGACACGGTCTCTGGAACAAGAGCTTTATCCGCCTGACGTTTCAGGATTCCTGTTCGAACGCATCATCATGGACAGTGACAGATACGATTAGTTCGTGCACAAGGGACTGCAGTATTTATAAGATGCAGTCCGCATGCTGCCGCATGAAAATTCGCAGCTCCTGCACTTCCTCGATGGTCGACTTTCGAGCCATCAATAATTGGAACTTCATCCCGGGTGTTGGATATTGGTGTGATGATTTCCTGACCATCTGGCCCAACGACCCCGGCGTGTGGAACAGTGTTCATCTGTGCATTCCCCGCGTGGCTACTCACGCCGCTAAGTCTCAGCACCGAATATGGAAGGGGAGGTCATTGCACTTGTTAATAGACTGCGGGACAGTGAACTATGACCCAGCCAGCCCGCCGCTCACGCGATTGTCACCTCTTTCGACAATTTCGGCCTCGTCGAATTGGAATGTGTGGCCGGATCTCGTTGAATGAGCCGCAACTTGAGATCTGACTCTTTGTCTGGGCTTTCCCCAGCCCAACCCGTAGAAATCCCTATTACTACCGGTCCCGTGTTACAGGTGGTTGGGGTTTGTTTACTTCAGGTAGGGCTAGCTACATAACCACATCTGACCAGAAATTGTTGTATTTATATAATAGGACATTGCATCTTCCATTTGTGCTTGAACTGGGAGTTATTTCCGTTTAGAAAATTTGTGATGCTGGTAATTTCCGGGACACTTGAATGTCTATTTGTTTAATTAAAATGGTTAATAATTTCTGCCACCAAGAGTATATCCTGATTTGCATCTGTAAACACCTCGAGTCCAACTCATAAGACACAAAGGGTTACATGAATTTGCTCAAAACGAATTACATTGCTGAAACTTTGGAGACAGAAGCGCTGCTTATGCTTAGAAATATTTGAGTGCTCATGAAGCGTTAGCCGAAATTTTGAAATGTATTCCGATTGAGGAGGATTACTTGCACGGGATTGTAATACTGACTATTTGGCAGCACAGTCCGACCGGTAAAACTGACTACTTAGGTAGTATGGTGTTTCTCCACTGATTTTTAATGCCCGTGTAAATTCAAGTATATTTTATAGAAAGCATGCATAAGGCTATCCTTCCTTTGGCTCATTTGGCAGACAATCATGTCTGCTATGGGTTTTCTTTAAAATATACTTGAATTTATGGGAGCGCCAAAAACCAATGAAAAACTTCATACTACCTAAGTAGTCATTTTTTCCAGGTGTGGTATTTGTGGGCGGGTAGAAAAAAGCACATTCAATTTTGCAAACTAACTGAAGTGCATGTTCTCCTTTGGAAGGGACATCGGAAACTGTTGATCAGTTTTTTCGGAGAAACGATGTATAGTGTATTTATCAACCAGTAGTCTGAGTGAAGTCTGTTCCGTTCGGTTCCAGGAATCAGCAAGACAGTGCCCAGTATGCCTGTTAGTCAAAACATCCACACTCAAGGCCGGCCATCTCGAACTAGTCATTATATCGAAACACAGTGTGGGTGAGAGAAGAGGGAGTGAGTTAGATGCGGTAACTGGCCCACGTCACCACCATTTTCCAGATGCAGTAATGTTTATCGTCTCGTTTGGTTGCGAAAAACCAGTTGGTGGTGTTGCTGCTGTGTTAAGCACAAAAGAAAGTAAACATTCGGTAAGTACAGAGGTGACTGCGGGTCAAGTCGACAGCCTGATCGCCTGAGCCAGGGGTGCTCGAGGGAGAATGCGTGATATTTTCATTTTCTATGTAACCTAACCCAGGTGCCTACAATCGCCTCTTCCCTGCTTTCGCCTGCTATATTTGGCTCAGTTATATTTATCGTATCTAAGTCCTCCTAGTGATCTACGATTTTGGGAAATGGAAGTGAGGCTGGGTGACCTGTTTACATAGCCACCACCTTAACTGGTCTAATGTTTTAACTAAATCCATTTAAACTTATTCTCCTATTTTTTTTCTCTAAAAGGCTGGCAAGAAGATCCGGACCTGAGACCCGATTTTGAGTACCTTGTCCAACGAATGAGAGAGATGAGACCTAATGCAGAGACGTACCTCACTTTTGAGGTAAGAACCCCCTATCTCCGAACGGGAGGCCATTTTTCGTGTCTATGTTTGGTTGAAGCAAAATAAACGCAAGTGAAGGGTCGAACCAGGGGAAACCTGAATGTTCATTGCGATGCCTTTAGATTTCGAGCCAAGCCAAAAACACTCCGTCCGAGGACTTCACTGAGGTGGGTTAACTCATTAAATGTCAACCCAACTTCCGAAGTGCGTTTTCGTTTTGAAAAGATGAATTATGTAGGGTTATAAAATTAATCATTGTGTAGCATAATCCTATAATAATGCAATTATCTCAGGATGCCCTCTTTCGAAAGAACGTCTTTCCGGCTGCATGCAATAACTGCCCTCTGTAAAAGTTAACTACTTATGTAGCATGCATTTTTTTCATTAATTTTCGATGTCCTTAAAAATTTAGCTACACTTCATGGAAAAAATGCATAAAAACATTCATTTTCTTGCTCATTCGTTAGAAAATTACGTCTTTTTCCAATTTCATACTCGAATGAAGGGTAGAATTTGGTTTCCAACAACTTTCTTATTGTGAACTTTTTGAAGACCGTGAAATGGCCATTCATAAAACGTCATATCTCTGCATTTACTAATGTGGCTTGCAAAGTTAACAATATGACTCAAATCCACTGCTAAAATTTATGGACTCTATATGGTTTCTTCTTAATGCCGTAGAGGTTTTCCGTATGCGGAAAATATAGGGCTTGTAGTTTCGAAACCGTGAATGCAAGTGTAACAGCGAGTCGGGTTCAAAATTATTCGGGAATTGGAAGTCTTTTAAAACAGAATTATACCCATTCTTTGAGAATAAACTTGGAAGAATGCGTAATTTTCTACCGAATGAGCAAGAGAAGGAACGTTTTTATGCATGTTTTCTATGAAATATAATTAAATTTTTAAGGGCATCTAAAATCAATGAGACAAATGCATGATACATAAGTAGTCATTTTTTTACAGAGTATGGCTTATGCATGTAAGTGGAAAGAAGTTCGTTCGAAAGCCAGCATCCCGGAATATGCTGCAGGATGATTAGTTTTACAACCCTGCTTCATTGATATTTTCGAAACGAAAACGCATTTTGGAATTTCGGTTGACATTTCACGAGTAAGCTTACCTACTCTATAATTTAAAAATTCGTGGACGCCTAAGTAAGGTACTTACTAGTTCCAAGCGGTCGGGTCGACTGGATGCACAGTTTGTTTATTTTTCCGATTATTGGACCTCTTGTTTGAGTCCCCTGTCAGAGCGAACACGCGGAAATATTAACTGCTAATTAAGTGATGACCTGCTTATTTGATATCACGTAATATGACAGTTCTACCGTCGTTTCCGTCGACGCCCACCGTGTGCGTCACAACAGGGCGGACGCAGGGACGGAAAATTGTGCGTTAGTTAGTTTATAATGACGGTGCATTTGCGTTGTATCTACCGCACTCTCCTCCTCCACCCTCTCGAACCCGGTATCCAGATACAGTCAAGAAGACCGGGGGAGAGGATGGGACGCAGGTGTCTGGCGCGGCACGAGCATGCGCCCTGGTGAGCCAACTCAGCCCCACGTGTGGCATTTGCTACGGATGTGCAGTCTAATAGCGCATACCGGATCCTGATCAGGCTCCCCGTGTTGGTCCAGCGCAACCCTCGTGCGGTCCGTTGTAGGGGGCCATACCACGTAATGTAAATAAAATATAATATATAAATACATTCTCAATTGTCGAAAAACAAAATTTTTGCCCACTTGTGCTTCAACAATGCCGGACTGGCAGACGACAGTACACCTAGTAGAAAAGTAGAGAGGGCGAATACTTTAATGTCGCTATCGGCATAATTGCTCGAGTAGACTTCTACACTCTTAAGGAAGAAGAAGACCCAGAAATTGGACGTTTCGGTCAGTGGCCAGTGTGCAACTCGAAACAAGACCGACTGGCTGACTCGTGAAAGTCTACGTCCGTTTCCTCATCTCTGATGGCTGATTTTTACACGAACCCAGATGCTCATAGAGTAACTACGTGCTCCCAGCACTGTTGTCCTCTTTTTCCTAGCCCACGGTTTCGTGGACGAACGAACTGTTCCATCAAAATCACAACTTTTGAGGATGGTCTGATTTTGGGGGCGTCGAACAAAAAAGAGATTCGTCGGAGCATGTTGCTTAGAATTTGTTGACTGGTGAAATATACACACACGTCAGTTGACTTCTCCGCAGTCCCCTTGTCATGTGGTTATACAAATAATATTTCATGATCTTATGATGCTGTCATACCGTAGACCAATTCCCTTGATTGACTCAATCAATTTACGGCTAGTGACCTAACTCATGAAATTTGTCGAAATTTACGAATGATTACCAATCACTCGCGAACCGACACCATTTCATGAGTCTAATGTCTATGTTAATTAAGCAAAAGTTTAAAAGAATAAAATACATAAAAGAAATATTATAGGCAGTGTTGCGTTGTTTAGAAATGCCGTTTTATTTTGAAAAGCGCAATATCCCGAAAACGTCAGGAATGGCTCTAATTGAGTAAACTTCGTTTTTAGATGTAAAGAATGTATTTTCATACCAAAAGCATAATAAATATGAAAGTAGACATAAAAGAAAGTCCAGTAATAGAGTTTTTGTGAAGTTTACATCTAAATATCGTTTAATAAGTAGTGTGATTTCATATATGACGGTTTGTCAACTGCCTACATTCTGAGTGTAGATTCCAAAACAGTTTCCCAGTGATACGTGTTATTTTTGATTCTTTTGAAGTAAATAAGATGGGGTTCAACAAGAGAAGCCGGAGTTTGATTGATTTCACCAATGGGGACGTCGTAGGAACAAAAGTCCTCAGAAGGTGACATGCCATGAGGCCGGTCGATGTCTAATAAATTTAAATAGAACTGACAGTCGTGATCGTAAACATAGCACTTTGTAGATATGGTGATACCGACAAAGACAAGGGAGACCGGGATGGTCAGTTCTGGTTTATTAGCCGTCATCAGCCAGTCATACCCAACCCCAAGTGTGGATCACTTGAGATTCAAACCCGAGATCTTTGGTCATGTGGTTGTAGAGAGAACGTCTCTTCCGTTAAATTAATTTATACTTTTCCTTCGCTGAGATGCGTAACCGGAGTCTTGGACATGTATTAGCATAGGAAATTGCACGAATATATTCCAACGTCCATTTTCGCTAAAATTTACTGATATTTTACTTGATATAATTACGTAAACACAATTTCTGCACAAGAAAAGGACATTTAATTGAAGGAAGTGGATGAGCGAACAAAATGCTCACCGTTAAAGGCTTCCAGAAATTTTCTCATCAGTTTCCGTTATCAGATTTCATGAGACAGATCACATACTCTAATGTTCTTTGATTTATTAAACGCCTGCAGCCACTTTCGGACCCAAAAGCCTGGAGCGAGTCCAGAGTGCAGACGGACTCTGAGACGGTCAAGTATATCAACAGTCGTGACTTGTCTTGGATGCCGCAACTCTCCACAAAAGAGACGGAACAAAGTGCCTACACCTCCATCGCTTCTACCAGTCCGAATGCCTCTAGTCTGCCCTGTGCTGCTGAATCAGAGTCTGAGGCAGACTACGAACACCGGTACGAATGTCTCCCGTCAGCGGAGAAGGCGGACACAACGACAAAATCCACAGGCTATGGACTATTCATAACCCCAGCCGCTGCCACGGGCGTCCGCCAGCTAGGCTCCATTCCGGAAGCCGAAGAGGTCATCAGCCCCGCCCCTGGTCTGGATGTAGAGACGGGAGAATATCGAAGTCAAACGCCCGAGCGAACCGGTGGACCGTCCGGTTTGACTGGAGGCATGTCGTGCACGACTAGGAGACCCACATCCTTGCCTCTGCCTGTATTTCCTGAAATTCCGGAAAATGTAACTATTTATTTATATATTACTGTAAATCATTTAGTAACCTTTGTAAACATAAGGCAGGGGAGAGGCGTCCTTGTGCGTCATGCGTACCTTACAAGGCAAGTTGCCGAATAAACACTAGTGTCGGAAGATGGGTAGTCGAATTCACTGCCCGAAACGGTAGACACTGAATACGTCCCTTCCAGTGATGGCTTCTACGTCTGACATTTCAAATAACAGTATATTTTTATATGGCAGTATTTCATGGGCGTCCTTGGGGGAGAAAAAAACAAGTTAAGACAGCGCTCTGTCCTTGTTGGAGTGCCTGACCAAATCGCAGCTCAATTTTTAGGAAATTTGAAACTAGAAGTCCGAACGGCTTTATCATCGGTCCAATGACGTTTCAAATGTGACTAATGGTTTTCTTCATAATCAAAGTGAATAAAGTTTAGCCTTTCTCGTGACCGGACGCTTTGCTTTAAAAATAGGAAAATATCACTTACTCTGAAGGTTACTTATACCGTCTCGGGCTTCGTATCTAACAGATTTTGTTTTAAATTTTCCTTTTCAAAAGCTCGAACAACACCAGTCAGCGTCTAGCACTTCATACATATCGGGCACGGTGCCGGTGGAAGAATATCTTGAGCCACGTGACGAGCTAGAAGCGCTGGAAACATACCATAACGATGATATTGTTGCAATCTCAGAAGGTGAGTTCGTGATTTGACTGCTCAGATATGTAAGCAGTCTAGGCGGATGAGTGTAAAAAATGTACACAGATTCTTCTGTCATGAGAATGTACAAAAGAATAAATTGTCACTTTCCATTTCCACAAATTTCGCAGCTCCAACAGGAGATCAAGCAGGACTGTAGACCTCATCTGGTTTCTACCACCTTCCCCCGTTCTTCACAAAAGTCTTCAATCATAAAACATGACGCATCAGTGTTTGTGTCAACTGTTCAGACGCTTTCTCTACGCTGAATAGGTGAAAGTCCATTGGCAAAGCTTAACCGGGAGCAAATCAGATAGAAGCGGGAACAACCTCAAACCTACCAAGCCTAGTGCACAGCCGTAAGACACTGCTACAAGTAGTAGCAGCTCAAAGGTTGGGGTACAAGGGGATACTAGTGCGGAATTTACGGTCAACGCCAGTCGATAGGGCGGAAGACAACGCCCTGAGGATGACCCTGAGATTCACGCTGGTCCTTATTTTCAGTGCCAGCCTGACCTTGACAAACGTACAATCGCATTCAGACAACCTGTTCAATAGGAAAGCAATCTTTTAGGTCTTTTGGGCTGCAGATATAGCTGGGTAAAACTAGTGGATCTGGCCCTAGTGCTACGGGTGAGGCCGATTTGAACTGAATGCGTCCCAGCGCTCCTTTGTTAAGAGAAGTCTTCGAAAATAATGTGCTGCCACAAAAATTTCCTGGACGTCCTGCCAGCTCAAAGTATTTGCCCAGACAGCTTTTAGAGTTTTTTAAACATGGAGCAGTGTGTCTTAAAGGCCCAGTAAAAGGTTTGTCTGTTTTGTTTTGTGTGGCAAAAGGCGAATAAAGGCATTTATTTCTTAACAGAGCTATTACAGTCAAAAACACCCTGAGCACTGTTGACCACTTCAAGCAAAATGTCCAAATTTCACTTCCAGGAAAATAGGCATGCAACTGGAACAGTTAATGTTCTGCTGTCGGTGAATTAGAAAAAATTCCGATACATTTCTTGTTTTCATGATGCTGATCCCCCAGACCAGCAGCAGTAAATATCTTTTGGTCAGTTGTTTCGAAGAAGACCAGCTGATTCAGAAGTTGGTTCTAGAAGCATCTATTTTTTGTAAGTTATCTTTAAGTTTATGCATGCAATTTGGCAGATTACCCACCTAAATCCCATGGAAACCTTTTGAATTGCTTCAACTTAAGAAATCACTCACCTCTCTTCTGCAACTTATGCTCCGGTAGGAACTTATTATACAGGGTGTTTCTGGATTGTGGAACCATAGAAAAGCAAAGAGTGATTGCCCAAATGCTTTTCTTTGTATACTCTGTTTAGTCTATGCGCCCTTTCTGACAAAACACGCCTTATGACGTCCACTCTGGTGAACAGGCGTACAATGGATAGCTTCAGTCGTTGCGTGCTATGACATGTGTCCACAACGCGCTGCCGCAGATGATCGACACTGCTTCTTGTCCCTCAGTGTACAAGCACTGTTAAGAGACTTTAGAGGTAAAAGTCGGGTTCCATGATGTCCGGCTTCCTCATCGAACACTTCGCCGGTCTTTGATCAAAAAAGTGCTTGGTCCAATAACTTTCATAATGCTGTGACATAAAGTGCGGAAAACGTCTTTCAAGGCACTGGAGGTTTCTTCGTCCGGGAGCATGTGCATAATGGATGTTTCAAATGACATGTTCACTAAGATTCAAGTTAAGGATATGCGGTCCATCCGGATGCTATGCGATTACCTGATTTCCATTCTGTTCCCGTGAGTTAGTGAAACAGGGTGTTTGGGTGTCAGACCGTTTGCAAGTATGCTGTCAATTTATTTTGCCGCCTTCAGGGAAAATAGTCTTAGCTGGCCAATCAAGCAAGCTTTCAACCACAACAAGTGAGGGTCACGCGCTTATTAACAAAGGCAAGGAAGAGCGAAGTGGCCGTTTCTGACGTGCTAACCACCACCAGTCAGTCACTCTGTCATCATATATATATTTTTGAAATCAAATACTTTCTTTGGGAAAAGGAGAAAACTTTACTGAGTAAATTTTCAACGTCGGTTCCCCGTATCGTCGTCAGACTAGAGTAAGTGTGCAGAATACAATTAACATTTCAAACGTGCTACAAAATCAATACTCTTTTGGTGATTTAGGTAGTAAGTTGCCGTCGTATGCGTCAATTCGTATTGATCGGCTTTCATCTTTTCCAATTTTCTCTGAGATTTTTGTACGTGGCATCTTACGCGATACGCTTGTTAATGCATGACCCATCGGAGTGCCGATCAATACGGACTGACGCATACGACGGCAACTTACTGGCTGAAGCACCAAATGAATATTGATTTTGTAGCACGTTTGAAATGTTAATTGTTTTCTGCACATTTACTCTATTCTGACGACGACGACAAGCGGAAAAGACGTCGAAAATTTACTCAATAAAGTTTTCTCCTTTTCCCAAAGAACGCATTTGATTTCAAATTATATTTCTTGGGATGCCTGTGTTCCAATATATATTTCGAAAGAAATAAGTTCTTTAGGGAAGATAACGCGATTTATTTGTAACTTTTCGACTTGCGAAACCAAAGTCGAAAATTTACAAATAAATTGAGTTATCTTTCCAAAAAAACTTATTTCTCTCGAATTATGCTTCTTGGGATACCCATTTTCGAATTCCTATATATATATATTTGAGGGTATATCACATAATCTAAGGGGTAGATTGATACAGCAATGTTTCGGGCTTGTTTACCCTCATCCAGCCAATCATAACCCTGACCACCAGCTGGGACCGGAAACACAAACATGCGCACAGACACTCCTGGCGCAGGTGGTCCATCACTGGGGTCCACCAGATGCGTCATAAGCATTTCATTAGACCGAATTTCATCAGTGCCTCGTTACCTGCCATTCTCTGTCGCTGCAGATCGTGTATATGTATATTTACGGCATAGTTCAAAATTTCAGTGGGGTCTAGTATGGTTCCGCGCATACTGCACTCCGTCTGGTCTCAGACCGGAGAACTCCTCTATGAGTTGCCACACATACAGATTCTGCAAAAGATAACTGCCGATCGACTGTCTTCTTATATTCCCAAGCCTCGAAATGTTCTTACCCCAAAGATCACGATGTGACCGTCCGTTTGGGAAAACTATGGAATTTTTTGAATGTAATTAGCATTTGTGAGTGGGCTTCCCTGTCCATCGTAGACCTTCACAGTTTGTGTGTAAACCGACAACATGCATTGGGCGTGACATGAAAACGCGACATAAAAATATCCAGATACGTCAGTTCTCATCCCCCCTTCCACTGCTCATGTTTTTCAATTTTCCTATTTCTTAGGCAATCATGAAGACGTGTGCATCTGATGGGCTACGAAGAAGCCAAATGAAAGGAATCGAGTCCCTGAAATACCACCAATCAACAAGAGTACCTGACTCCCCTCTCATACCCTTAACGCACTGTCTTCAATTACCATCCACAACCGTCAGTGTCATGTTAACACTCACACACATTACTGGTCCTCGCAAACACATTCACATCCCTAAAGCCTCTCGTCATAAATCCATTTTTTTTAAAAAGGCAGTCTTTTTTAATGCAGTAATCCAGCATTCCAGTGTACCTTTAAATGCATTTTGTTAGGCGATTTTTTTGCAAAATATTAACTCCTTAATAACGCACTATAAGCTCGCATAAACAGGCCTTCCGGTTTTATTTGACTTACAGCTCCCTCTTAGAGTTTACTGGCACAGGTGGAAGACCAAGTTTTATTAAGTACTAGGGTCAAAGCAAATTAACAGTATGATGTTCTGCTAATTCTTATTTCGGCCTTGTATTCCGAAAACGTCGTTATATTCCAAAATTAGATTTTCCGTGTTTCATTGCTATTCTGGTGCAAGTGCAGTGTGTTTTATGTACAAATGGGTCCCTAAATATCATCGTGACTTCTGATGGCAGTTTTGTAATTTCATTGGCTTTACATAGCTCTATTGCACCAAATATCGGGGTTAGCAAGCACAAGCAGATCTCCAAAACCCCTCTTAGTAAGAGTGTTTGCCGACCAGGTTACGGGACCGTGTGTCTTGGGGTTGAATCAAGATTCCTCTCGGGCATTCGTATAGAGACCAAAACTATGTAGAGGAAAGGGCACCGCAAGGACCGGAGACCTGGATGCTCGTTTCTGGCTTGTCTGCCGTCATCAGTCAGCCACGCCCAACCCCATGTATTGATGGCATGGGATTTGAACACAGGTGCTTTGACCATTGACCTTTAAGTGTTCCAGCGCTTGACTATTGAGCCACGGGTTATTGCCCCGTCGGTTGTGATCGGGATCATTAACTATGGGGGGTTTAGAGGACCCGCCCACTCCGTTGGACTGAATCTAGAACTGCCGTGGACAGCCGTATAGCTACCACAACTGCTGTTACTGCCGCAGATTTTAACAGGAATCTCAACAGTTCGACCGTGGCGGGTGAAGATGTCCACTGTGCACCTCACAGCAAGCTGAATGCAGAGACGGTTACTTTCGCGTGAGTTAGCTTACACTGATAGTAGGCTTGCGAAGCATCCGCCGCACTCTCCCTTCTCCCACCCACCTGGGTCCAGCGTCATAAAATGTTCAAGAAGACTGGATGCGCGATTAGGCGCAATAGCTGACAAGGCTGGAAAATCTGCTTACGTGTGCCACGCACGTCTGGCCGGCGTATAGCAGACCAGATTCCCACATAAAAAGAGAGGGCTGCTGCTCGACTCCTGGCTGGGCTTGAATGCCATAGAGGTCACACCAAGAAGGCACCATTGCAGTCTGAATCCCCGTCCTGAGAGGAGAGAGAGTTATTCCTTTAGTTGGAAAGCTTCCAAGCCGCGGCATTCAACGTACCGTGATAGTTTGAATGTGCTTCACGAGGTTTAAAGTGAGGAATGTGGATTGAGTGCCCTAGATGCGGGGTCCTCAGAGTCGACCTCGGTCTCTCTTCCCTCTTCCAGGGATCCGCCTACCCTTCGAGACGGTCAGTTGTTTGATGCAGAGATTGGGCGCAAGTGTCCAACCGTTGAGTAACCCGCCTACTCCTGCCTCGAACGACCTGGCCCCGTACAGCACACTAGGTTTGTACACATGGGATTTGCGGCTCGAATCTCACCGGCATGAGAGAGCCATAGAGGCCACGTAAAAAAGCACCCATTGGATCTGATTCTCGGCCCATTAAACACACAGGGTTGGCTACCAGGTCTGAGCTTTACAGTCAGTTGACAACATTCTGAATACACGTATTATATGAGAGAATGCAACTCGGGACATTGTGTAATTTTCGATAGGCCTTACTCATTCCTGCCAGTTGTCCTTGGCTGGACGGTGAATGACGAGTAAGGTTGCTCTGGCAGCCTGGCCTCTTTTGATTATTGTAAATCTGACAGGGCCAGGCTGTAAGACCTCTTAATATGGCGCACACGCCTAGGTAGGGGAGTGTAGCTAGCGTGGACTGAGGCGTCAGTGCGTCTTGACAGGGTGTCCCCAAAATGGGCCACGTGGTAGATGCGCTGGACCCACACGGGAGCCATATCGGATTCTGGCAGGCGGTCTCGGACTGCGCACCAACATCTCGGGGTTCGGTGGCAGGCCCGGTTGCCGGCAGACGTAGCGCACACTGGGACCCCTGCCGTCCCCAGTGTTGTTGGTGGTCAAACACCTGGAAATTTGCTGTGTGGACAAGGGGGTATGGAGTGGAGCACCAAGGTGCGGGCTCGACCGTGACATCCACTTCCGCCCTCCCCCACCTCCGGTCTTCCTTACTCTGTCTTAACACCGGGTCCAGGTAGGGGGGGAGGGCGTGCAGTAGATGCGGCGCAAGTCTACCGCCACTATAAACTAATTCACGAGCAAGTCACTGTGATTGCGGCACATTTTTGTGCAGCACACGGTGGACATCGTCAGCAACGACGGTCGAACTGTCGTGTCTTGACAGGGGTATAGCTCTTCTCAACCACAGTCGTCCTGACCAGATCTAATCACAAAAAGCTCATGAGAGAGAACTTTTCTCAAGGGAACATTATAGGCGTGAAACCAGGCATGTGCTCGAGGAATTAATTGTCGGAACGCTATCAACGATGTCGTGGACATAGCCATGTACACTGGATGCTGGAGAGCTTATAAATTAAAATTCTGCTAGCGGAACCGTCTTAAGCCTACTCAAGAGCACTACAATTTCACACAAATAATCTCACATTCATTGTTCAAAAAACATGTACAGTACGTGACCTATCTCATGAAATCTGATAACGGAAACCGATGAGAGAATTTCTGGACGCCTTTAACGTTGAGCATTTTGTTCGCTCATCAACATCCTTCAGGTAAATGTCCCGTTCTTGTGCAGAAATTGTGTTTACGTAATTATATCAAGTAAAATATCAATAAATTTTAGCGAAAAGGGACGTTGGACACTGAAAATCATGAAGTATTCAGCAATATTTTGAGGCCGATCTGAGACTCAACGTAATTCAAAAGTAAAGAAAAGTATTAAATAATTTAACGGAAATGAATCTCTCTATGCAAACACCTGTCAGCTTTATTTAAATTTATCAGACATCGACCGGCCTCATGGCATGTCACCTTATGAAAACGTTTGTTCCTACGACGTCCCTATTGGTGAAATCAAGCAAACTCCAGCTTCTGTTGTTGAACCCTGTCTCATTAACTTCAAACGAGTCAAAAAAACACGAATCACAGGAAAACTGTTTTGGAATCTACACTTAGAATGTAGGCAGTTGACAAACCGTCATGTATGAAATCACACTACTTATTAAACGATATTTAGATGTAAACTTAACTGAAACACTATGACTGGACGTTATTTTATGTCTACTTTCATATTTACTATGCTTTTGGTATGAAAATACAGTCTATACTTCCAAAAACGAAGTTTACTCAATTAAACCAATTTTTGACGTTTTCGGGATATTGCGCTTTTCAAAATAAAACGGCATTTCTAAACAACGAAAACGGCCTATAATATTTCTTTTATGTTTTTTATTCTTTTAAACTTTTGCTTAATTAACATAGACATTAGACTCATGAAATGGTGTCGGTTCGCGAGTGATTGGTAATCATTCGTAAATTTCGACACATTTTATGAGTTAGGTCACTAACTGTAAATTGAATGAGTCAATTAAGGCCTACGGTATGGCAGGATCATAAGACCATGAAATATTATTTGTATAACCACATGGCAAGGGGACTGCGGAGAAGTCAACTGACGCGTGTGTATATTTCACCAGTCAAAAAATTCTAAGCAACATGCTCCGACGAATCTCTTTTTTGTTCGACGCCCCCAAAATCAGACCATCCTTAAAAGTTGTGATTTTGACGGAGCAGTTCGTTCGTCCACGAAACCGTGGGCTAGGAAAGAGCGGACAACAGTGCTGGGAGCACGTAGTTACTCTATGAGCATCTGGGTTCGTGTAGAAATCAGCCGTTAGAGATGAGGAAACGGACGTAGACTTTCACGAGTCACTTGTTTTCTCTGGTGCGATATTCAGCAAATTTTCTGGTTGGGTGAGAAGGCTTGGCCAGTGGTTGCTTGCCGATGTGCGACCCCTAACGATGAAACGAAAAATAGGAATTTCCTTTCGTTTGCCTTATGTAAGCTCACCACAAAGTTCTTTTCATCCGAATTTCGGCTTAAACCCTGTGATGCTTTCATTCGGTCAACGATATTAAGGAGCATAAAGTGCTGATGAAGCAGATGGTTGGCCTCATACTCCTTGTTCTGAATTTGAGAGACACATACAGCAGCTGATCGAATTATTATTATCCTCATTATTATCCTCATTAGTATTATTATTATTATTGTTATTATTATTATTATTCTCATCCTCCTTGCTCTGAATTTGAGAGACGCATGCAGCAACTGGTCAAATTATTATTATTACTATTATTAAATTCCGAGGGGAGTCCTGACGAAGGCAAGGGAGACTGGCATGGCCATTAGCCGTCATCGGCCAGCCATACTCAACCACATGTTTCGTCGCGCCTGAGTCCCCAACTCGCGTTCATTGGTCTTCTAGCATTAAAAATCCAACGCTCTGTTAATTGGGTGACGGGCGCGTTTTACTGTCGGTTGCAGCCGAGAATGTTAACTTCTGTTGGAGGTGCCTTTGTCGATTGTGTTGCAAGACATGCATGTTCCGTCAAGTCCTGCTAAACTTGAATTATGATTTCGTTACTCGAGGGTAACATAGAAGGCATTTGAGAAGGCGGATCTCAGGATTGAGAGTTATCAAATGATTCAGCTGCAAGATGCGCATATTTGTGAAAAGACTGCCGATGATAACTGAAAATGCATGACAGCATGTCAGCCGCGAACTGAATATCTTATTCCTGAGCCAAATAATTCCAATTTGCCAACTCTCTCTGGTTACTTTTACATCAGACACATGAAACTTAGGCAAAAAATGCATGCATAAATGCGCAGCACCTCAGCTACAGTCGTGAATATATTCACACCCAACCAAATCTGTATGCTGACGAATAACCAGTTAAAGTAATATATTCCGACTACAGTCCGGCTCATCCACGACGTTTAAACAACCACACATCTGAGAAAATGTAAATATCACCATTGCAGGGCAAAAATTCCAAATTAATTGCCAAGACGCAAAATCATGGAAGGCAGTTGATAGTGCTACACAAGTAACGTCAGGGGCAACTCGATACCGAGCGCGCAATGGGATTCTTCTGAACCGTCTAGGTCGCTCGACTCTTTTTCAAATAGGCCACAGCAGCTGTGTGGAGCTTTGTGACGTTTTGAATTTCACGATTGCGATCCAATGCGGATTGGGCGACGTGCTCCAGCCGAGTCTGCAGGAAACTAATTCGTTTTGCGGCTGCCTGATTTAGACGACTCCTTTGGGCTGTTAGTTCGGCCACCTAAAGTAAATATGCACATACGGGTTAGTCTCGATTGGGAAGACGGTGAAAGCATACATTAGCGGGCTAAACATTTAAGAGAGGAGAATGTGATGACATCATACTTAGCACCCGGACCCAAAGTATTCAGCGAAGTTTTGGTGTTTGTAGAAGCCCTAGTTTTTTTGTATGACAGTCACTCCATCATAATTTCAACTAATTAGTACGTTATAAGCATGATGGGCACTGGGTCACATAAGATCATAATCATACGAGTTCTGCTCGGTCGTAACATGTACTGTACGCGGCGATACCGCAGAAGTCAGTTGTATTCGAGTCTGTGACAACCGCGCCAGCGTCCACAACCGGACACCACTGGCCGGCGCGTTGGTTAGCGTGGCTTGTCACAGTCGACCTTTCGTCCTTTGTGGATATACTCCTTAAAATTACCCCGTGTAACGGACAACCAGCACTCCGTTTATCACTTGCTCGGGCTGATAGGTTGCATGCAGGACCCACGTGAACGACGCTCCATTCCGATACTTACGCGCTCTCGAAGGGACTTATTATTCTGACCCATAAGCAACCACTCTATTTTCACAGTGCGTGAGTCACTGTTTACAGCTTATTTATTTGTAGCCCTGAGAAGCCTAGAACATACCGGCCTATAGCGTTCTGGCCAGGGATTGGCTGTTTTTTCGCAAGGCCTCCCTCGCGGAAAAATCTCGAAGGTTCGATCGGCCACTGTTGATTGGGCCGCATGCGTCACGCGTGCTCGGTGATGCACTACATGCTGATTGGCTGCCTAATTTCGCGCATGAATTTCGCGGCAGGCTTGGCTTTGGCACGCGTGATCGCGTCTTTATTACGCCCGGGGTCGTGACTCCACTTCGTTTCCCTTCTCCATAGCAGTAATTTCTGGTCAGCTTCCCGTCATCAATGGAAGTTTTCACTTGTTGATTACTCGACGGTACGTGACTACCTGTGTGCGTTTCGGGTCTGATCTATCCTGCACGATGAAATATTCCGTACTCAAGGTTACAGTCAGCATTACTTAGCGAGCGCCACTCCTATGTGACTATATATACTTCCGATCGTTACCGACCAGATATGAGTCTGTAGCTTAGTAGGTGAGCGCCTGATCAAACAATGGTCTCCACTCAGTGCGAACTGAGACGAAATTAGAGCGGAAAACAGTCAATCCATCGTCCCCTATATTTGCAGATAATATTTCTAAACCAATAAATGCACTATGAGGACAGGAGCGGTAAACTCTCCATAATATGTCTGTGTACAGCCTCTTATTAACTTAATTCGGTCCCTTCACCATGCGGCTCCCTTGCTGCATATGTGATCGGAGTCTGAGACGAGGGCGGTGCGTCGAGCGATGTAGCTCGGAAGGCAGCGGACTGACGCCCACACTCAGCCCACACAGTCTGCCCGGTTGTCGTGTGTGTTGTTTAGGATGGCGGACTGGTGGGCTGGGAGCCAGGCTGTCGCGGCTCCTCCCCCATGTACGTGAGAAGAGTGTGCGTACTTTATGGGTAGCACCTCTCAGCTGACGACTGTTTGGTCACCCAACTTTGAAGGGTGACGACCCAGGCTGAATACAGGGCCAGGTGTCGTCCTTAGAAGTCAAAAAGTCTGAAAGCGTGTGTTATGCCATTATCAGCAAAGCATGGCCCTTGCAGCCTGGCATGCCTTGGCAGTTACCTGACGGTGGATGCGTTCGCGCTCCCGCTGGGTATACAGGTGGTGGACTTGGCTGCCCAGTCATCATCCTCGTCCTTCTGACCCCTGTTGGGGTGTTATTGTTGCTGTTGGTCAAAAACCTGGTCTTTTACTGTGTGGACAAGGGGCTGTGAAGTGGACTGCCAAGGTGCAGGCTCGATCGTGCCACCCACCTATGCACTCCCTCGCCTCCGGTCTTCTTGACTCTGCCTTAACACCGGGTCCAGGTGTGGAGTGGGAAACAGAGAGTGCGGTAGACGCTGCGCAAGCCCACTATCACTATAGATTAAGTTACGCGCAGGTAACCGTGCCTGATGCATCTTGGTGCGTGGCACATGGTGGGCATAGTCGAAATCGGCGGTCGAAGTGTCGTGTCGTGGACTTTATGCATACAAAAAATAAGTAAAGTGTACATACGGAAGGAACCGAGGTCTTATATGTGGGCTAGAAAAAAGAATTGAACTTTGAAAAGATGCGTAAAACAGTGGCCATACTGAAAACAACTGTTAAGGCTGTATAAATGCGTACTAGGAGAAATGTCTAACTATTAGCTTATTTAAAGCAAGCAAGGACAGCAGAATTTAATGGTACCACAAAATTTCGCGACGGCTTCTCAACTGCTGCCGGTCGTTGCATAACAGAAATAACAAATAAGAAATGTACAAAGGTTTGAATTTCGACAGAGAAAATCGATGGAAAACAGCAAGGTCAACGTGTACTGCGCGTAGACTAATCGAGTGTGGATGCAAGTACATTGGGCCAACGTAAAGGCAACTGGCAGCCAGAGCAGTTGAGCACCTGCCTAAATGGCTTCTAAGGCAGGAGAACAAGACTCCACGGTCTTCCATTACAAAACATCTCCTTGATAGTGGCCATTCGGTTGACCCTTAGACGTCTTTTCGAATATTAGTTCGAGCACGAACTACTCGGTTATTGCGCTACCTGGAGGCAACCTATATACGGCGGGAGAAACCCGACCTATGTAAACAGTTAGACCACGTGGTCAACCTCAGCTTGCCCTGGTAGACCCGAGCCCCTTTTGAGTTTCGAAATCCCTCGGCATGCCAAGTTCCCCATTTTCATTCCTATGTTGCATTTTGAAGTTACCATTTTATCGATTAGTCTACGCGCAGTACACGTTGACCTTGCTGTTTTCCATCGATTTTCACTGTCGAAATTCAAACCTTTGTACCTTTCTCACTTCTTATTTCTGTTATGCAACGACCGGCAGCAGTTGAGAAGCCGTCGCGAAATTTTGTGGTACCATTAAATTCTGCTGTCCTTGCTTGCTTTAAGTTCACTCCGGGGAAATATTCCTATTAGCTTATTGTCGATTAGCTGTTTCTCAGTTCCACAGATCGGAGCGTCTGTTGTAAAGACTTCAATTTAACCGATATCCACTTCTGCTGGGTTGCTGCTACTCGTAAATTCCCGAATATAATAGAAGTCACTACAGAAAACAAAAAGTTATGTGTACACTACCTACCTTCGCTTGTAGCTCTCTGACCTGTTTCAACATGTTCCCCTCGTCCAGTCTACTTCGTTCTTTGCGCAAAATTTCGATGAGACGATCGCGATCTTCCAGGTGGTTTTGCAACTTCCCCACAGTGCTCCGATACAATTCCAGCTCCTTCCTTGATGCCAACTCATCAGCTGTCTCCACGTGGATAAGGGCCTGTGTGGCCTAAAATTGATAACCCAGCAGACAGATCTGTCCTTGACGTAGGCAATGAGAAGTAGCCAGACTTATCATTCTTTAATTACCAATGTATATGTATATCTACATGTACATATGGGTATGTCGTGTTTAGACCCTTTGGTTAAAAGCCCATATCTTGGTCTTGCTAAACTGTGGAAGAAGACTTTTAACAATTGTTCGCACTACACTTGGAAGTAAATAACATAAAGAAAGAACAAGCCTGTACAAGATTTAGGCCTGTGTGTTTTGACAGCCACAGCTTCCAAAATGTTTGAAGGCAAGAAACCTCGTTAAGATGAATACTGCAATGTCATTGTGACCTAGAAGCACTGTCCAGCAGACTAATGGCAGGCCCACAAACGAGGGTGGTTGTCCGAACGACATTTAAGGGATGGACAGGAAGGATTACTTGTTGTTGCTTTTCAACTTCCTGAGAAATTAACTGCGAACTTGGAGTAGATCCGTTTATTCGAGGTCTATAGGCTCAGACCGAAGTTTATATGCATGAATGTTTAAGCCAAAGTCCATCAGCCACAGCAGGTAACCGCGTAATATTCATTAACTACCGACTGACAGCTAGTAATATGCTTCAAGATAAGGGAAACCAAACTAACAGCACAGGTACTAGCCACTGATGAGCCAATGTGTCATGCAACGGCAGAATATCGGCGAAACACGCGTGTATGGGCTTTTGGCTGCTACTTTTGCTGTCAGTACGATTTCCCCTTACCCTAAATATTAGGTTTGCTATTAGAATCGTAGAGACGAGTTCTAGGAAGCAGGCTTGAAGAAGGAGACACGATCGCCAAGACAGGGGTGATACGGCGATCGAGCTTTATTTCTTCAAGATTAGGTCTGACTTTTGAGTGAATGCTGGGCAGTGACTCGTCAGAAGTAACAGGTTTAAGCGGCTGACAACAAGCTCGCGTGAGTTGTACTACCATAGTACAACTCAGGACTGTACTATCAACACGTATTTCAGTTTCCTGGCATCATTTTAAAAAGTAGGTCATCCACCGGAGTTCGTGAACAGGCGCTGCAACTGCGTTGTGGACAGATTCCCCCAAATGTCGAACGCCTCTATCCGTGGAGTCAAAACGGATTTAGCAATGACAATGCAAACCATACTTTGAATTAACCCTGTCAAAGCAGCATACCTTTTCGGCCAGTTTGACCTCTCTAGTGTTGGTGGCACGTGCCTCCACTCGAACCGGCGTCGTCATGGTGGCCTTGTCCTGCGTCGTTCTCATTCTCTGGGCAATGACTTCCTGATATTCTGCCTTCATAATTTCCCGTTCTATTGCAAAATCCTTCACCTGGAGTGACTTTTCAAAGAGCTCCTTACGAGTCTTCTGTAACTCCAGCTTTAGGGTGTCACGCTCAGACTCCAGCGTGATGAGGCGTACCACGGTATGCTGAAAAGCATATGAATAAAATGGCGGTGATCTCTTAGCAACTTTGTCTGAGGTGGCTTGTGGACGAAAGAAAATTGGGTCGGACAGTTAAATATGGCTATCCCACGTTAAAATGAAGATGGTGTCCATTCCCGTTCCTCAACATTCCCCTAACCATAAGCCCTCCTGGAATATAAGGCAGAGGCGTCCGCATTCCCCTGGCCAATCGAAAATTCTTGCGCATATGGCCGTCATGCATCTCCGCAGAACCTAAAATGATTCGGATGTGACCTCAACTGCAAATCTATCCACGTAGATTAAGGTAAAGAAGACAACCTAATAAATTTCATTTGCTGAAACGTTTTCCCGCCATACTTAGAAGTGGGGTTTTGGTTGCATCATTCAGGGTTATTTTAGTAGTCCAGATGACGGAAATGGTTCGATTTAAATGCCCAGATGGATTATTTGTCGGAACTAGAACTCCACTTTTAAGGTCGCACATGGCGCGAAAAACCAAAGGGACAGGTCACCTGAGAGCAGCATGCGCCCACCTACTTTCAAAGTGCAGATCAGAATGAGCCTTTCTGACTGGCCCTCGGAGAAGCCGATCTAAAAGTTGCTTAGGTAGCTACATACGACTAGCAATCAGTAACTAAAGTTTTTCACCCATCGAGAACGACACAAAAGGCAAAACAACCTGTTTTTGTCGGGAGCACTTTTGGATTTGCTGATTACTAGTTACCAATCGACTGTATGAGGAGTCATTAGACCCCTATCGCCAAGATAAAACGAAAATCTTAATCTTTGTTCCTCAGTCGGCGGAATAGGTGGATGTGCATATGTCACATGGAACTGCATGTTCTTCTCGATCCCAGCTGACACTACGTGCATTCTTAGTTCAGGGACTGAAAGGTAGCCTGATAATCAATTGACGGTGGGAGGCTAACAACGCGGCCGTACTTTGTGACTTATTTTTGTCACTACTACTGGGATTGTTTTCGGTAGGTGTGCTGATGTTCATGAAAATTAATGTTCGGTAAAAAAGGCAGGACGGTGTGGTTTCGCCTAGAGCCAGTTTTCTACATTTTTGGTCTACGGAATCATGTCTGGTTTTAAGGGTGAGGGGTGGTAAGGGGGTTCGGGGTTAGCCATGGCTGTTGTCCCAATTACTGAGGACCTACAGCCCGCTTCGAGCGGAGGTTGGGATTGTGTTACCGGCTGTTGACTTTTCCTATAATCAACTGTTGGTCTTAGCAGTCGGAGTGAGCGTGCCGGATTGGTATTAAAGTAAGGGTTAGGACTCAGAGATAAGGGTTAGGGTGGATGGTGGGGTTAATGCTAAGTTTGAGGGTTAGTGTCGGGCCTAAAGACTAAGGTTAGGGCTAGGGCTGATATTACGCGAATTTGTAGTTCAGGGAATGGAAGGTAGCCTGATGATCAGTCAATTCAGATCTAGACGACGGACTTCCACCCCAGGGTCGTAACAACACGAAATGACGACGGCCACTGGATCTGGAATGATCATTTCAATGCCCTTAACCTTGTCTGCAAACGTTCACAGCGGGTACGAATGCAAACATGTAGGAAGGGAACACCAGTCGGTTGAACCACATATTAATGTGTAAAATCGGTTTTGCAGCAAAATTGATCGTCCGGGCGGTGCAAGAGCTGCTTCAAGTGGTTACAGGTAATACAGACTGAATAAACGCTGCAGGATTTAAAAGCTTCAACCCACCCAGCAGGATCTAGTCGGTAATACAAAAATGGAAATGTTCAACTTCTGCCTGAAAATGCTACTCTCGTTCTTGTACTAACCTCATTAAGCTTCACTAACTTCTCAAAATCCGCCTCATTCAGTATTTTCACTTGGACCTCTCTGTCAACATGCTCAGCGACGATGGAGTGGGGAAAACGACTGTCAATAAAGAGCTTAAAGGAGTCTTCCACCGACTCTTCCTCAGAGGCATTTGCATGGTTTTCTAGTTCGTCAATTCGCTTCTTGCATTCTTTCAGTTCAGTCTTCAATTTGTGAATGACTTGCTCCTTTTGGGCCTTGAAAAAAGAATAATGGAACAATGATAATCCTCCGAACGTATGGCAGAAGTGTATTTCATTTTTAAGTTAAAAGAGGATTGGACGCGTAGTTCCTGCGTTTAAAAGTGTGTAAATGACAGCCTGCAAACGGACTAGTGTGATAGTACGACATGTATGCGAAAAACGACTAGGGTGACCGAATAAACATTCCTTGGAAGGTGGTAAAATGAAAGTCTGGATTGGAAATAATAGCCATGCACAGACCAATTCCATCTCTTACATAAAGGGCGCACGAACATGCCCCTTTGCATTATTTGTCTTAAACTTTTACGCATTCAAGGCGTCCTCCGCATAACCGTCATCTCCCTAGGCGTCTCCAGAATCACCGACGTAGCAGCATGCGTAGTTAATGTAAAAAGTAACTTAGAACAACGCGAGTGCCCTAACCTGTGACTCCTTGGCGCAGTCGGGTCGGTTGTGACACACCAGACTTACGTTGAGCGTATGCAGAAACGCCTTGAGTAAAAGAAACTTAGAGAAGTTCCATCTGTAAACGTCTATTCCCGTGACGTCCCTGGTGGCCAAATCAAATGAAACCCTCTGTGCTTTAGTCATTTGCAACCCAAACAATGCAAAAACGAAAAAAAATGCGACCAATCCTTCCGAAAACGTTTTGGATTCTATAATCAAAGTGTTGGCTGTTCGATATCGCAAACCTGTTATTTTACTAAATTTTAAAAACGACATTAAAGGGCAAAATGCTCTTAAGAATCATGTTGAAACGTTATTATACATGTGCTGCAGTATATACCCCGTCATTTGCATCTACAGATTTTGCGTAATTCTAAAGCTTAAGTTTGCTCCTTTGACACTGCTTTTAGCATTTTTATCAACATCACATACATAAAAAAGTGTTGTCTCTGGACAGAGTAATACTACAGCCACTGGGCGATCCCATAAGGTGTTAACCGAAGTTCTGACATGCGTCTTCAATTAGGAAGGATTGCCTAAGTGGGGTAGTGACGTTCGTTATCTTGAGACACAACAGAATGTAAGCTTTTAAACGCACTTCTTTTCGGCTGCATGCAAAAACCGCCCTCCGCAAAATGGCTTCTTATTTAGTATGCGTTTTTCCATTGATTTTTAATGCCCTCATAAATCTAAATATATTTTCCAGAAAGCGTGCACAACAGTAGTCTCTATTGTACTCGTTTGGTAGCGAATCCGGTCTTCTTTAAATTTCGTACACGAAGAACTACCTTCCGGTTTTAAAAGTGTTCTTCACTTCCTGGATAATTCTGAGTGAATCTGATGTGGGTTTAGCGTTTACGTTTTTCAGTCCACAAGCCGTATACTTTCCGCGTAGGAAAAAAACTTACATTCCTTCATTTTTAATGACTCGAGAAATTTCGCAACGGGTGTGAATTACATTGCACACATCATGAGGAGCTCTATTAAACAGACAGATGAGATGCTATTTGAATTAACACTCCACGATCTGGGAGGAGGGCGCTCGCCGATCGCGCTACGGAACTCACTCGTCCCGTTGTGCCTTGGGGTTCTCTCTCGAGCCCCCTCAGCGGCCGCACAGCGGCGCATGATACATAGGCAGAATTGCATTGTCAACAAAGGCAAGGAAGACTAGAATGGCCATTTCTGGCCTATAGGCCGTCGTCAGCCAGACACACCAACCCCGCGGTGTGGAACACCTGGGGCTCGATCTCGCGACCTGTTAGTTAGAAATCCAACGCCTCTACCACTGTACATTCTCGACCGGAGAATGAGCCCGTTGCTCAGTAGTTTGAAGTGTTGGACTTCTAACTAAAAGGTCGCGGGATCGCGTCCCAGATGTCCTACACTTCGGAGTTGGGTGTGACTGGCTGACGACGGCTAACAAGCAAAAAATGGCCATTCCAGTCTCCCTCGCCCTTGTCCCGTAATACTATTCTGCCAATACTACACGGTCTGAAATAATCACATAGTTTGAAACTTTTGAAAACTGAAAGATGTACTTTCTCCGGACGTAAAATTTGAAGAAGACCTGATTTACTACCAAATGCGTATGACAAAAAACATTTTTGTGCATTTTTCAACAAAATGTATTTGGATTTATGAGAGTATTAAAAATCGATAGAAGAATACTTAGCATTTTAGCAGCTAATAATATCAAATGCGGTTTTAATATGCAGCCGAAAAGAAGTGCATTTTTAAACCAACATTCTGCTAGTGATCAATATTACAACCCAGCTTAAGTAAAACTTCCCAAACGAAAACTTGTTTCAGAACTTCGGTTAACATTTCATACGACCGGTCAGTGACTGTGCTTTAAATATTAGTTTTTTTTATTTTCCTCATAATATCGTCAATTTCCACTTTCTGTTTTAAGTAGGGGCTGATTTTTGTTTGGCTAGGGAGACGAAATAGATTTATGTCGTCTCAATACTATTGTGATTTAAAAAAATATGCTATATAAATACCCAAGTAAAAGAAGCATGGACCATATGGGAACACAAAAAACAAAAGTTTGTCTGGGCTCTGACAAAGTGCACCTTTTTCTCTTGACGAATACACGTACCGTTAGAGTCAGCCTTAGCTACTACCCTAGGAATTTTGATGAGCGCTCTTTAAACTTGCCTTTTCGGCAATGAGTTTGGTCTAAAACGTGGTTCGCGCCTTTACACACGCACCTGGTTACATCATTTCATTACTGTTCCCTTAAATTCACGACCCCCAGTGGGGCGTAGTAAGTCAGATGGTTAGAGCGTCGGGTGTACTTTAGCCTTGACTTGCTGTCGTGGGTCCGAATTCGACCGTGGCCGCCGAGTTTATTACCATTTGTTCACATGAATGAATACTCCAAAGTTTAAATAGCGTTTGAGTTCGTGAGGAATTTGCCGAAATGTTTACATGTGTGCAAATTAAAAGCAATACTTGCTTAAGCCTGAAGCAATTATTCACAGGAAACAGACCTGGACCAAAACACATGCCCGAGGTGGCCGCTATTATCTGAAAATTTTCGGCTAAACCTCACTAGCGGTGAAATAATAAGCACTCTTTGGTCACTGGGCATACACATGCACTTAACGGTCATAGGCAAAAAAGCAAATTTCTTGTCAGCTCACTAATTCGGAACTCAGTCGGCTTGTTTGGCCTCTGTTGAACGCATCTACCAGCTTTCGCTCATAGACAGCGATTGTGTTTCTTAGCTTCTCACGAGCCGCTGCTCTAACCTGTTCCACCTCAGCTTCCTGATTGGCAACTAACCGCGCGAGGAAGCCGGTGGAGAAATCGGTGCGCACTTTGGTGGTAAGGTCGTCACAGCTGTATTTCACCTGGCGTACTATAGTGCCGCGTGTGGCCGTCAGCTCTGAACGCATTTCAGTCAGCTGAGCTTCCATTTGGTGCACTCGGGCATATAGGGCCTTCAGATCTGGCAAGTCCGAACTTTCGGTCTACAAGGAAGAAGTAATTGGCATTACAGTAGATTGAGGTAATCGTCCTTAAGTGTATTTACTGATGAGTGGAAATAACCAAATCTTGTGTAAACACAGGCATAATTTTAGGCAGTTAGTCGCGATTATTCTCAAAAAAGCAGCACTAAGGAAGTCTGCTGGCATATTCTTCGCCGAAAAAAATCTGGCACCACGGTATGCCCAGTACCGTGGCCTAAAAGGCGAAAACCGACGGGATAACTCGTTCCTTCTCTCGAAACGGAGAGTCAGACTGCAATGCCACATTCTTGACGTGACTTCTCGCTCATTTGGGGTCCGAGACGTTCCATCTGTCCTGTGCAGAATCCTGGCCCTCTGTGTGTAGACCAGGAGGTGTGGTGGGACGTCTAACTTCGGGTTCACTTCTTGCCAGCCATTAGCGCCAGATCACGCATTCTGTCTCCTTGCGTCTACCTTGACACCGAACCCCGGTGGGAGATGGGAGAGTGAGGTAGATTCTGTGTACTTTAAACTAATTCACGCTTAAGTCATCGTCCCTGCTCTCACCACGCTGTGGGGCACACATTAGATATAAGCCGAATCGAAAAGCGAACTATCATATAACAAGTATGCGGAGGAAGTTATCAAAAATAAATGAGCTACTGAGCCTTTCACAGTAGGCACGTTGTGTATACAAACCAATGTCCAACCGCAGGTAGACGTCTGCTATTGCGCAACCGAACAATTATTTGATCAGTTACCTCAAAAAAATCATGAATCCTCGCGAGTAAGAAGGAAAATCCACTCGAAAAATATTTTTTCTGGATATCGATATTTGGGAGGGTAGTAAAAAGAAGTGAAGGTATTCGGACAAATGCCGGTAGGACACGACGCTGCCCAGCGCTCGATCAGTCTTGCGGATTCCATTAAGTAAATATTCCCATCTGACAGCCCAAATACTAAAGCTTACAGTCAGCATTTCATGGGTGTAGGTGCTCATCCAATGAAGTCATAAGCATTCCAGAAGTCCGATTATTTGCTATTTCTGACAACTTATCGATTGACGTACATGTCCTAGAAAGATGGACACAATGATCAAAAGAAAGGCACTTATGCCGTTGCGCATACCTGAGTATGTATTTCCCTGAAGAAAATCAAATCCTTTGGATTGATGTCGTCCAAACTGGTATCCACGGGGAGAGCGACACCAAACTGGGGCGTGAGAGAACGCAGATCTTCCATCAGATCATCGCAAGCCAATTCCAAAGACGTCTTCCTGTGAACTCCACGAGTCCTGTCCTATAACCAACTCAAATAAATTAATTCCTACCAACAGATAACTATTGTAAGCAGTTTAGGGACGAAATAAATTACATTGTCCTTCTAACCAAGTCCTCCAAAGGGCCTCTGCTGGGGAGAAAAAGAGAACTCCCTGATGAGCACTGGCTTCGATTTGGAACTTTAAAGTCATCTACGATAAATGAGCCACGAAATGGTCCGAGCTTGCTTTTTAGGTCTCAGCTGCCGAATTCGGGAATATCGTGTACTGCATAGCGAATTTCGCTGCTTTCAACTGATTTCGATTTATGAAAACTCTGACTGAGAGGTTTAGACAAGGATCCAGTGGGACTGGAATGGCTGTTTCTGGCCTTAGTGCACTCATCAGCCGAACCCTCTCAGAACTTTGATTGAGGAAGTTAGGGGTTCCGTAGGCGTAGCGCTCAGTTATCTCCCGCAGGCCATGAGTCGCATTCGTTCGACTGCGATTGGTGTGCCGATTTAATTTACACGCAAAGTGGACAGAAATGGCCACCCCAGCCTTCCTTATCTTTTTCAATAAGTTTCATTCTATTACTTAGAACTTGATGACATGCCACCACTCGCAGTGTCTCAGGTGCAAAGTGAAGAATAAATAGACATGCATGGACTAGCAGCTTTAGAAACATCGACCCCTAACTCGGTTATAAACTCTGTTATAACCTAACTCTGTTAAAAAAATCGAAGGCCCCCTCAAATAGCCATCCAGTGAGCTGGCAGTCTGCCTGGAAGGACACAAAATTGCTAAATGTCAGTTTTACTGAAACCCTGTTTTTCTCGCGCCCTGCTTGTAGACCCTGCTGCCTTGGTCCTCTTGAGGACAGCGCGCATTCACCACTTATTGACGACGTACCTGCGTAATAATTTTGAGTGCGGGACAGCGAGTATTTCTGTGGTAGAATGGGTTGCAATGACGAGGTGGTTATTTGCATTCAACATAAACATTATCCTGGTTATGCATGTCCTAGTATCAGAGGAGTACCCCATCGTAGCCATGGATGTGCAATATTTGTACTATTCCCCTCGAAAATTACGAAAGGGGTAAGGTGACCTCCCAATCTTTGATTGGTTAAAGCTAGAGGAAATGCCAGCAGATGCCAACACGAAGGAGGACACTAAGTGGACGGTGATGTGATTCAGCCGTGACAGCGACAAAACAGTCAGTACGTACGAATTGTCCAAACGAAGGCCAGGTGGGATAAGCAGGGACTGGTGCGTGTGAGAAATGAACAGGGCAGCGCCCCAGGCCACCGACGCATGACGCGAAAGTTTGCCCCACGAAAACGGTTGAAACTCAGTTGTGAAATGATCGTGTAGTTGCGGATAGTACAGCGGATCTGCATAATATCTGCCTCCGTCGCTATTCTGTGGCACAGCCAAGGGGCGGGCATATTGTGTAATGACTGGCAAATCGAAACAATCAGTCTAGATGTGTCGTACACAATCAAGCTCACAACTCCGCAAGTGCTAGGCTCTCCCGAAGGAGTCCTAGATCCCACACAAGAAGGGGCCATTCCGGGCTGATTCTGAAGCCTGAGTAGAATCAAGTTATTTCGTCTGCTGGCAGCCTTTCAAGCTAGGAATTCTGGCGTATCGTGATAGTTCCCAGAGCGTCTGTTCTGAATTTCCATGAGTGCGAATCTCTGTTAAGGCCGCATTCTCTGTTCCCCCTGACGTCCAGAGGGGGCCTGATCGAGCCTGTCCGCAGAATGGTGTTGGGATTGAATGCAGCGGCCAACATGGCCTGAGTCGCCGTACAATACGTCACCCTCTTTTTCATCAACATTTAAGGACTCAACCGAACTCAGTGCAGTGCGACTAGCACATGCCATAAGCCAAAGTGCCTGCAGTAGGTGTGCTGACTCATGATATGCTAGCGGAAATTCTGAAATTCATCTTCTCTTCGAAAAGATTACTTAAGTAGGTTTGGGTAGGTGGGCATTGGGTACCAAAATTCTACAATAGTTCAATTACCCGGGGATGCCGGCTTGCGAAGGAGCTTCTTTTCGGTCGCATACAAAAAACCACGCTCTATAAAAATGCCTACTCAAATAGTATGCATTTTTTCCATTGGCTTTGTATGTCCTTAAACATTCAATTATATTTCATGGAAAACATGCATAAAAATATTCATTCTTTTACTCATTTGGTAGACTTGCGTCTTCGGCAAATTATATACTTAAAGGTGGGATATAAAGAGTTTCTAATTATGAGATTGTATAAGACCGTGAAATGCCCGTTCATAAAATCTCGTGTTTCTGCATTTACTAATATAGCTTGTAAAGTTTACAGTATAGCTCAAATCGACTGTTAAATTTTATGAACCCCATATGGCCTCCTCTTAATACCGTAGAGATATGTATTGTTCTCCGTACGCGGAAAGCAAATGGCTTGTAGTTTGGAAATCCTGAATGCCAGTTTAACGGCATGTCGAATTCAAAATTATTCGGGAATTGGAAAAGCTTCAGAAAACCGAATTATATCCTTTCTTCGAGTATAAAGTTGGAAGAAGACGTGGTTTTCTAACACATATGTCAAAGAATGAATATTTTTATGCATATTCTCCATGAAATATAATTGAGTGTTTAAGGGCATCGAAAATCGATGAGAAAAAGCCATGCTACTTAAGTTGCCATTTTTTGTAATTGTGGTTTTTGCATGAGGCCGGACAGAAGTTCGTTCGAACGCCGGCATCGTAAGGTAGCTGAATTATTATATAATTATGCTGCATGATGACTAATTTTACAACACTACTTAATTAATCTTTTCGAAACGAAAACGCATTTCGGAATTTCAGCTGACATTTCATGAGGTAGCACACCTACTGTATGTTTTGGTTTACCACAACGACTATGCAGTCCGCTTGGTGGACAGGACACACGATCCAACAGCCACACGACCCTACGGCCATTCTTCGACAGACCGCCTAGTACGACGAGGTCGGCCAGCTTGTGCTGCCAAAGGGTATGATGACAAGTCTGAGGATTCTCCCCGGTTTTATCGAGTTTTAAGTCGAGGAAGCTCAACTGCTGCGCGCCTGCGTCTGAGGAATTTGGAGAGGGTACAGAAGCGAGGTGTATGGGAACTGTGCGTACACGAATGGAGCCTGTTAGAGGAAAACTTTCAATCCAAATATTTCCCAAGCGCTGTATTCCCTACACCACACACCAGGCGATGTTTGGCTACGAAATAGGAATTAGCTGTGAACAAGGACAGAGGCGTTCAATAGCTTAGCTTTCCTTCTCAACCGGCAGCGGCCCCACTCTTGGCAGGTTCTGTTCGCCAAAGGGATCACAAGTTCGCTAGTGAACAATGCGAAGATTGTTTGAGGCAAGTCAAGTGTTTCTGCAGAAAGCACAAAATAGTAGTTAGGAGACTCTATGAAAAGACTGAAAGACGACGACAAAGACAGGAGGGGAGTGCTTATAAAGCCCATTTTCTTCTTTGGACCATCAAAAGGATAGAGAGCCTTCGGACTGAAAAATACATTTCTGCTTTCTTTTCAAAGCTGGCTGTCTTATTCAATTCCTGAGAGCAGAGATAAGGTCCGAAATTACCATTAAAGACTACACAACCGTCGGACTCATGATTGAATACAAAAAAATTAAATCCAAGAAAAGGGCGTGGGACAGGCATAATGCACACAGCAAACTTGAGCTTTTTCCAGATCGCTATTAGCTGTCGATCTAATGGCCATCGTTATCGACTGGAAAGCTCAATTGGTGCCATATGTCCCTGTTGCAGACCCGTAGAGTGGACCACCCGGCACCTATATTTTTTGGTTTCCGTGAGACTTGATCATTTAGACAAATTTTGAGTCCATGATCAGAGAGAATCGGGTAACATTATCAGCAACAAGTCAGGACAGTCTTTCTAAATTCACCTTCGCCTGCGTAAACTTGGCTCAACAAAAGTGACCACTTAATGGTATGTACTTATTCTATAGTCAAATATATTTAATTGAAAACACGTACACGAATAGTCTTTCCTCTACGCATGTAGTTGAAAACCACGTCTTCTTCAACTTTTAGACTAAAAGTAAGGGTTTCTTTCGGCTTTCAAGAGGTTGCAACTATGAGATTTTTTAAAGGCCGGTCAATGTCGATTCAGATGGTATCTTATTTGCCCTTTTATTGATGCCTATTATGAAGTATAAAACATAATCCATAGCTATCGCAAAATATTCTGAGACCTACATAATATATTCTTAGAAGCAAAGTGGAATTTGTGATTTTTCTTACATGGGAAATATGCAGTTTGTGGACCGTAAATCCTGAACGAAAATGCAACGACGGATTGGGCTCAAAACTATTCGGAAATTAAAAAACTTCATTTAAAACTCAAATATACCCGTCCGTTGAGTATAAAAATTTGAAGATATGATTTGCAATTAAAGGAAGAATATCCTTGCACATGGCTTCAATAAACTGTGCTTGAATGCAGATTACTTAAGTAGTCATTTTACCGAAGGCGGTTGCCGCAGCCGGCCGAAGAGAAGAGCACTCAGAAGCCGCAACCTGCTCTGTCTGCAACGGTTTGAGTTTGCGCAACATAATAATATCACAACCCCACGTATGTACTCCCTCCTAGCCGAAAACGCATTTCAGAATTTCGGCTAACATTTCATGAAATCGGTCACAAACTGTACTTGAGCTGGCCCAAAATTATCACAACCCTGAGATTTTCATCGAAACCGTTGGTCAGTAACCACTCTTAGCAAGATCAGGTATCTCAGCTTGCAGACATGGCACTAAAAGAAGCTAGAATTGAATTTATAAGCGCCTCTTACATATCTAACAACTAGCTGACAACTTGGATTTTCGGAGGTATTTTCGATAAACCTACCCACCCTCCACATATGATCGCATTACCCTCATTCTCAGATGAGCAGCTACTTGGACTAGAAATGGGCCTCTTGTCGTTCCAGAGGGGAATAACGACATTCCCTCCCCGTACACATTTGGTTAACCAGACGGTGAGAGAAATTCTCACAGAGACTGGCGGCGACATCCGAGCAACTGACTTTCCTTTACCGCTGTCGCGATCATGGTATCCTGCCGAAGTCTCTTCGCTTCAGGCCCACTCTACCAAATGAGACAGGACGGCTACTCGCGCGCAAGTACGGATTCCGTGTTTTGAGTGCCATTATATCAGACGTGCAGCATCGGCTTTCTAGATTTGAGACAACAATATCCAACTTTAAGAACCAGTACTTTCCATCCTTATCTGATGATATTTTCGAAGCCATACTACAACGTATAAATTCGACCACAACAGATGCCAGAAGGAAGAAGCGAGCCGAATTGAATGATAAATTCCAATCCCTTCTCTGTTCTACAGACAAGTGCAGAATGTCTACGAGAGTCAATCTTTCGAAAAGGAGTCTAACACCCGCCGAGATAAGCCTACTGTCTAAAGGACTTAAATTTAATCATACCGATGCAGCGCCCACAAACTTCCTAGCGAGTCTTGAATCCATCCTACTGGCTTCTGCTATCCCTGAAGACGTGCGTGCGGACATACGCAGTTGTGCCAGTGGTCTTCTTCAACAAAGAAAACGCCACCGTAACTTGACCGTCGATGAAGAAAAGGAGTTGAGATCTTTAAAGGCTGATGACAGTATTGTGGTTGTACCTGCTGACGAAGGAGGCGCCACCGTCATCATGGACAAGGTTGAGTACGTGCAAAAAGCAAACACCGTCTTTAATGACAGCAAAGCTTACCCGCCACTCGCTGAGGACTCAACGAAGAAGCAGGCCGCGGATATAAAGAAGAAGGTGAATGGACTCGCTCGACTAAATCTGATTAATCCAGATGACTCTACATTCAGGACTCTCAGTGACACCCGTATCGCACATGCATATGGCCTTCCAAAAGTGCACAAACCAGACGCCCCATTGAGGATAATAGTGCCAGTCATCGGATCGCCCACTTACAACCTAGCCAAAGGGCTATACAGGCATCTGAAGCACCTCGCTGATGGATCACAATACAGCATCACAAATTCTCAGGCATTCCTTGAAAAGATTGAAGGTCTTAAAGTAAGTTTTGATGAAAGCATTCTATCTTTTGATGCTGTCGCTTTGTTTTCCTCAATACCACATGACCTTGCCATTGAGAGCGTGGCCGAACGTCTACGAGACAATCCCATAGACCTTCCGACATATCACGTTTTAGAAATGCTTAAGCTCTGCCTCAATAGCTATTGCCAATTCGATGGCAAATATTACCAACAAGTTAAGGGCAACCTAATTGGTTGGCCAATTTCGGCGCTACTCGCAGAACTAGTCTTACAACGACTAGAAGAAGATGTACAAAGTTTCCTACCGTAAACGTGGCTCAGATAGGTAGAGGACATATTTGTCATCGTTGAGACCTGTGAAGTTGAGCGATTTCACTAGAGCTTGAATGGCGCGTTCCTAGCGCTAAAATTCACTCGTGAAGAAGCAAAAGGCGGCACCCTCCCGTTCCTAGACGCTAGCATACAAAAGCTCAGTGACGGCGGCATCGCAATAAGCGTTCATCGGAAAAGCTCTGAAGCTGAGATCATCCTGAACTATCAGAGTAACCACCCAGCAGACCATAAAAGAAGCTGTGTTTGGATCCTTTTCCACAGGACCTATCGTTACTGCAGTAGCGTCGATTTACTCAAGAAAGGACTGGCGTACTTGTATCGCTTTTTCCGACTCAACGGATACCCGATGAGCTTTGTGAAAAATTGTCTTAGACGCCAGAAACAACCACAAACCGTCGACTCTAACGGAGACAGAGTAGCACGGAAATTCTATTCCCTGCCCTACATGCCGAGAATTTCTGAAGCGATCGTTTGAAAATTAAATCAGTTCGGCATCTCCATCGCCCACAAACTGGCGTCTTCACTGCGCACGACATTATCCCGAGCAAAAGACCCCATTCCGAAGGAGCAGCAAACAAATGTCATTTACCGCATTCCATGTTCAAACTGCTCTAGCGTTTATGTTGGGCATACCGGCCGACGACTTGGGACCCGCATTAACGAACATAAGTTGGCCATCCGCCGACGGGACCCCTTGTCTCTCGTGTTTGCGCACTCCCTTGAGTGTGACCACCGCTTCAACTGGGAGGGGACTGACGCGATCGCTACTGCCAACACCAAACAGGCGGGAGAGCTTCTAGAAGCTTGACACTCTAATATCAATAGCATCAACCGCCATATAAACTTGGACGCTCACTACGAAGGTTTACGTTCACGGTTCGCCGGCTTGCGCCCACCCTAAGACGCCAAATGCTAATCCGTGTTCGGTCATGTAGAATATCACGGCTTCAGCACCTCGCCCACAGACAAAACCATGTGTGAAACCCTCACACCTCCCCTAACGTCCGTTACCTATCCAAACACGTTCTTCACCCCCACACATAGACGTCTTTTTTGTTGATGCAACCTCGATGTCCCCCCAGCTCCTTAGTGCGATTATATCCCTCACACCTCATTTCATCTGACGACGGGTTGGTGAAACCGACTTTAAAATTCACGAGTATACCTCGATTTTCCGAAGTCTTCTCCTTTTAAGATATACATATCTCCAGCTAACCGTCAGCCGTCGGGAGTGCCAACGCAAATCCTCACCTAGTCGTCGCGTGGTGTTTCTGGTGCCGTGCCGGGTTGTCCCATCTTGGATTTCCGCCTTGGGCTTTCGCAAACCAAATGCATATTAATCCCATAAGGGGATTCTACTCATGTTTAATTACTAAGATACTAATGCCGCAGTGTCCCGCAATCCACCTACCTGCTGGTTTAACAGTATCCCTTTGTTAAATTTTAAAGTTATCAGGGACCTTAGTATAGTATTCGAAAGAGACTAACTTATGACCTCCGGTTGCAAACTCAGTCGAGGCCTTGGTAGGCGTTGGACGGCGGAACGATGCGACAAACAATTTTTCTCGAGTCCCTAAGAAACTGGCGGCCAGTCAAACTGGCATCTGCACATCAGACTAGCTCACGACGGCGCGCTTAGACTGGCCCTGGCTCCGATTGTCCTTGTTTCGTGATATTATGGCTGCGTGCTCGGCCGACGAGAATAAAGGAGGTGTTCTGTCAAGGTACATTGAGAAAAACGACCAAAGGGGACATTTGGCAGCCAAAACCCCCGTGATGGCGCAACAACCCTGTACTCTGCTCCAGTCGCAGACATGCTTGGACAGTTGGCAGTCAGCGAACCATAAGAACGATTATAAAAAACCTTAATGATAATAAAATACACCCAGACGACCATCCGCATATATCAAGGTGGACAGACAAAAAGCATTGTGGGCAAAATCGATGCGAAATCTACAGGCCCACTCGTGTGAAAGAAGGGCAAGTATTTGTGTTGCTGTATTTGGATGAAAAATGCTCACATACCAGACTTTAATGAACGCGGAAAAGACAGTGAAACAAGCGAGATTTGGGTAAGTCTGAATACAATACCCATATAGGACCCTACAAATAATAAATGCACTTGCGATTTCGAGGAGATTACGCGGAAGAACCCGAAGTACCTTCCGCCTAGACTGGCATACGCGACTGTACGTCATCGGCCGACCATAGCCCAGTCCCGGACTGCGACAATCGCGGTGTCCGACTCAGAAACCAAAACTGCAGGTATCTTCCAGTCGGAGTTACGATTAACTGGTGAGGCATATTATCAAGAGGGCGCCAACCCACTCTAACGGTCCGTCAGAAATACAAGTGATTTACTACGCGCTCCTCAGTGTGTCACCGCCTTCGAGGGCAATAAGTCCGAGCATAGGAGGAAAAACGGAACGCCCCTACCCGATTCTTTAATTGGACAAGAACGGTGGACGCCGCTCGCCACCCCCCCGCATTAGTCCACCCTCCACAGGAACTGAAATTTCCGATAAAAATCAATAAGGGAGACTGAGAATAAAGAGAACCAACGCATCATCATGGTCAGCGCTTAGAGCAGGTTGTGTAAGAGTGGCCAAAACTCCCAGAGTGCTTTTATTTCAGTCAACTTCTTCACGGCGGATGCAGTCGATTGTGCGTCGCAAAAAGCCATTTGTTAGTAGTCAAAACGGCCGGCCCCAACAGATAAATGGTCAAGTCTGTAGCGATTTTGGCTCCTGCGCTAGAGATCGCGCTTCGCTCAACCAGCAGGTTGATTCTCTCACCAAAAAACAGGCCTAACGGCAAAACGTAACAAGAGTCGTAACCGAGGGAATCTTAGTTGACGGTGGGTGGCCGCGCGATCAAGCCGACGCCATTTTCGTCGTATTCTCATCCTCATCCGACGCCGGCGCAACGACGATTGCACATTGTGTTCGTCGTCCGACTTGCAACAGACCGAAACCTAGACTTCGTCTTCGACCGCCAGACATATATCTTGACTGATTGAGTTTTTCTTGTTTGTCAACAACGGTGTTCGGAGTACTTTCCCGATGGAAAAACTTGCTCCCTTTACAATAACCGCGTTCTGTATACCAGACTCGCATGACCGAAGACAGACGGAGAAGCAGAACAAGAGCGCTGCGGTTCAAAAAGAGGCCTCCGAGTAAATCTCACATGATTGGAGTCTACAAACTAAAAGAGAGCTTCTGACAAGGTGGGTGTTCGGTCAATCACGGGCTGATTAAAAACGGAGTCTATGAGATCAACGAGCTCATACATCCGAGAGCGGAACAGATGCAGCTTAAAAGAATAGCCAATACCGATACAAACGGTGATTGAAACATCACCTATCACTTGACCAAGTTGTTTCATCCAAAAAACCTGCCCCGTTAGGGTGTCTCGGGATCGATGTGCGTCACGCTAGTGCGATTGTTATCGCACCTACCCCAGCGAGCAGTCGGGCACAACACTAAGGCAAGTTGCGACAAAACGCACGTAAGTCCCCGTCGGAAAACCCCAGAGGACGCACGTTTCCAGCAAGGAATAACTTTCAGTCGAAAAACATGCTTATTAGGGAGTCAAAGGAAAAAAAGACAGGCAAACAGGGAAGCGGGGTTAGAAAGCACACTTAGGCGGTAAACTGGGAAGACACAGTACCACATGCGCATTGCGGCGCAAGGGCAAAATGCAACTGGAATGAGAGAAGACGCGGTGCACGTTTGTTGCGGCAGACCGGAGGGTCACTTCAACTCCCAGTTAAGAGTCTCAAGAAGGCTCTCACAGAGTTGAGGTGAGCGGTGGCAATCCTTGGCTTTCAGAAGCACCTTGCGCACGGTGTCCGCGTCCACGCGGGAAATGCGCAGCACAATGCGGGCCACGGCGGTGCGTATGAGGCTGTCCGAGTCGTCCAGATGGATGACCACGCTGGATAAGAGATCCTCCAGCACACCCACGAAGGCGGGATTCACTTTGGTCCACTCCTCCGGCGGCGGAACGGGAGTATGCTCCGACTTGGGTACTGGGGGCGGTACCGAAAGGAGGTTCGGTGCAACTACCCAGAACCAGGTAACAAACACGTCGGCCACGCGTAAACGGACCTACATTTCAAAGGCGTAAGAGGGTAGACCAAGAACGCCCTTTGGTAATTAGCAATCTTGGGTAATGCAGGTAAGCAAAATGAGCATCTCAGGTATATCGTAAGGTCTGGCGTTGTTGGGAACGACTGAACCAGACATGGTGAACCTTGAACATCGATCAACGCATGGAAAGGACCAACTAGGCGGATAAAAAGAAGTGGAATCTTGAGTTGCATTTACTGAAATGCAGCATGCCTTTGGAAAACCGCGAAACAACAGTCTTCTCTCTAAGTAAAGAAGACTGGTTGAGCACCGGAACCCTTAGTTTATAGTTCTGAGCTTCAGAATTCATGCGAGAGAGAGATGGCAATTACATAACCAATGTCAATTATATGGGGAGCTAGTCAATCATTGATCGATGAAGCCAAACCGGAGGTGACTACGCATGGCTCTGTATGCCGACGTCAGGTCGGCAAATTGGTTTACTGAGTTCGCATCCGAGGCCCAGACCTCAGCCAATACTCGGCCTGTTTTGGTCCCACTGTGGACGATTATCTTGGCGACTTCGAAGTTCCATTCAAGACCCATTTTGTAGGTGTGGACGGCTACTTGCGATAATTTGTCGTCCCGTCGCACAGCCAGCTTATGTCCGTGTATGCACAGTGCGAAAGGCATCCAGTCTGACCTGTGTAATTACAAGGACAGTTTTGGCACGGAATGCGATTCACTACTTCAGATTGCTCCCCAGGATTCCGTTTTCATGACTCTTCTGTGCATGGCGGCTTTGGACCGGAGGGCAATTCCAACACCTTGTTATACAGCAGTGAGCCCTGTCGCTTCTGAAATCTCCTTAATGTTTGACATGGAACTGAACCGGTGCTCAACCAGTCTTCTTCTTTGCTTATGAATACACCTGAAACTCAAACTCTCGCCTCCATTCCTGAGTTCTCCCTCTCCTGGTAAACAAAATCCTGTCATTGACACAGTGACAAATACATGTTCATACTTACCTCATCCGATACATCATCAAGTGCCTTCACAAGGCAGGGATAAAACCTGTAGACTTGATCTCCAATGGATCCGGGCAGAGGGGTGCTAAGACCTGGCATCTTATCCCCATAGCCACTTATGTCAACCTCCTGCTTGTCCGTCTCAGCGGCGAGAGGAAGGAACCAGGCGGGTGAACGAATAAAGGTTTGTGGTGCTGGCGGGCCCTTAGTGACAGGCGGAGCCGTGTCGGCGACATGCACTCCACCGCCAGCGAAGATGCCGCCGAAGAAGAGGGTCAGACCGGTGCAGGCGAGGAGACGAGTGGCCTCTAGATCGTCTGTGAGCATACTGCCTAGGCGTGCGAGCAGATGGCTCATAAGCTTTGGCGAGGCCGCGCTGACGAGACCGAGATTTGGCAGTTTGTCATCGGTCTTTACCTCAACCAATCGAATCCGTCGACTCAAAAGGCCTGTATATCCGAAAAACATTAATAATATGATGCAGTTGAATAGCCAATCGGTGGGTTCTGTAACCTAGGAAACCCCTAAATAAACTTCAGAAGAGTGCTTTGACCTGTTACAAGTCGAAATGCACGCGAAGAAAAAACAATTTAACAAAATGGGCTTAAGGACGATAAGTAGGCCCATGAGCCATAAACAAGACAAGTTTCTGGAGTAGGGTTCGGAGAACAAGTAGGTTGATGAGGAAGGAATAATCAGACTTAGAATGCTAATTTAGTTACATTATAACTAAGCCAGGATTCTGGCAGGGGCGAGTCCCGCAGTCTTGTGGGTGAGCTCGCGACGTACGGGAGCAGACGTAACAGGCAGCTTTAGGCTCTCAGTCACAGTTTACAGGATAGGCTCATCGTCAATCCCGAGGGAAGATGATTTAGCAATCTCTAAAAATCAGAACTGTAAGGGAAGCACAGGAGATGCTCTCTTTCAGTATCAACATGCAGCTAGGCAACAATAAGAGCACATAGTGCGACGGTGACAAGGAAGTGGATTGAATTAGACTTATGTAAACAACAAAGCAGGAGAATAAGTCGACTGAAGTCATCCTGAATTTCACTTCACACCTGCATCATCCCGTTCTGATACTCGACCAAGCACAAGCTTGAATACGCTGCCATCGGAGTAATGCCCGAGTTGACTTTAGTTTTTCCGGGTCTAAGAACAAGGCTCATCTTTCGTGGCAGCTGGAATATCGAAAGCAAGTTCAAGATGTCTCGGTGGGAAGGAAGGTAGGACAGGAAGAGAACCGGTTCGGAGGACAAGCACTTTATTGGAACTTGCGGACAGGAGGGGGTTCCAACTCGTAAGAAAAGTGTGCTATTTATATTGGCTCCTGTGCGTTCTGGAAGATTCCGTCCAATGACGTGCCAGCCGTTGAGGGCGTTCTAGAATGTTCCTGCCCCGAGCGTGCTGGTCGCTGATTGGCCACCGCGTGCGCGATAGCCTCCCCCCCCCCGCGGAAACGTCTGGAATGTTCGACCGGCCATTGATTGAGCCGCACACATGAGCAAAGCCACCACGCGTCCTCGGCGCTGCAGTGCGCGCCGGCCGGTCGCGTGACTCACGTCGCCGGCTTGGTCCCCTGTTTAGCGCCTTAGGCCGTGGCTCTACGCTGCTTGCACTCTTCATAACACTTATTGGCATATTAAGTCCTGAGACGAACGAGCAATCTAAAGAAACCTAGGGGAAGTTCGTGGAAGGATTTCGAGAAAATGAAAAATGTACAGACAAGGATAGGGACTAGAGAGGCCACGTGTAACTATCTGCGATGAATATGAGCGCTGCCAATCTTGAAAAACATACTGTGGCATAGCAACGGCACCCCATAGATACTGCAACACCTGTGCAACTTACTACCCATATCTGATTCTACCTCTGATAATGGATTCGAGTGTGAATCCGAAACATCAAGCGAATGAAGCTCTTGCTATAACGAGCACGGCTCATTTGCGTTTTTAGTCGTCGGTCGGCTTTCCGAACGTAGTTGCACATCTCGCAGTTACACTGCAGCTGGTAGATAACGGTCGACATCTCGTACTTAGGGATTGGGTCGTTTGGCCGCATCACCTTCCGTCGGGTTGCTGAGTCAGCCCTATGAGCAACTTCCTTTCCGAACGGCGCGAGGAAGCTAGCAACGGCCTCGGGTACCGCCGTCACGTACAGAATGCTCAGTCACAATTATGGCTGCTACGTTGGGGAAACCAACCGACAACCTAGAGAAGTGCGTCGCGCTGCGACTCAAAACGACTGGAAGATCTGACGGAGAGGATCACCATTACCAACTTGGTGGAAGGTGCCTTTCAAATGTAACAGAACAAAAAGATCTTGGGGTTAACATTCTGTCGACCCTTAAGCCTTCATCTCAGTGTCTTAGGGCGTCCAAAAGAGCAACTAGTGTTCTCTTTGCCATTAAACGATCTTTCGTGGACATAGACAAAGAGTTATTTGGAAAATTATACGGAGCGTTCATTCGCTCGCATCTGGAATATGGAATCTAGGCGTGGCGCCCGTGGCTAAAAAAGACAATAAGTTGCTAGAAAGAGTTCAGAGGAGAGCAACAAAAATTGTAAAAGGCCTCAGGACTTTACCTTACGACTGCCGACTTAGGGAACTTAAACTTTTTCCTCTTGAGTACAGGCAGGTTCGAGGAGATCTCATACAGGCCTATCGGATATTGAGGAACCGGGAATGTGCCCTAAACCCCGACGATTTCTTCACCCTGACCACAACAACAAACCTGCGTGGGAACTCTCTAAAACTTAGAGGATCCCAATGCCGCCTGGACGTTCGCAAATACTGTTTTTCACAGCGAGTCGTCGGTGCCTGGAGCGGGCTTCCCGAGGACGTAATAATGGCGGATACCACGGAGACGTTCAAGCAAAGACTCGATGCATATTTGCTTGGACACTATCGCTTGTCTGAACAGAACAGCTCTGTGGTGCTAAACCAACGCCTTGCATACTCATACCCCTAATGCGGATGACTGTCATAACATCTTACTGAAATCATCTACAACTGAATGTTCAAAAGTTTTGGTTCTACATTTCCACGGAAAATATTCTGTTAAATGTGTATATTACTGACAAAATTTCAGTACCATGTTTATTTATAGTGAGATATTGCATGTACCGTTTACAATAGGGTTTTCAAAGGCATTGCCTATTACTCTTAAAATATACTGACCTATACTGACCTACTGACCTAACTACAAACTCAAACGCACGAACATCAGTGGGTCGTGCGAAGGTTGAACCGAAAGTCGAAGGTAGCAATCCATGCCGCGTAAATGGGGACACACCATCAACCTTGAGGCCGTTGAGATCGTAGGTGGAGGCGACGATTATACAGCAAGGCAGGTGCAAGAAGCCTGAATGTCCACCAAATGCCCTGTCAAACTCCCCCTCCCCCCTCTCCCCCTTTGCCTCCCCCCTCTTTCTGGTTGTACAAACATTCTTGATGGAGGACAGCCACGGCGCGGAACAATCGGGGCCGCCAATCATCTGTGCGGTCAACGAGAGCGGTGGCGACACACAGGTCATGGTGAAATGTGGGTCAGATGCAGCCACACAGGCGGCGTTGGCGGGCTACGCACCAAACGAAGTGCATCATATAATGAGGGTTGTGTGCGTGACTTTTTAGCCTCCGAAGATGGGTAGGCGAAGTAACTACTCGAAACGTCAGATCCCCATTAAACCCCTCCTGGTGAACGACCTCCTCTTCTTTAAATGTGTTTGGTTACATACATACATGCATACACACATACCCAGACCTTACCGTTCTTGCCCATAATGTCAGAAATTGTGTTCTTAGTGGGTTCTAATTTCTTGTCGAGCCAGTTGTCCAGAATCTCCTCCTCCTTGTTCACAGCCTCTGGTGGCGGATAAAGACTGACGGCTCGTTGCGGTCTGAGTGAGGGGTTGCTCAGTGGCACAACGGCAGCCAGCAGAGCCACCAGACTCGTGCCAGCAGCTTTGCGCATCGCCTCGGCTGTCCGGCCGCCACGCCAAACAAGCGAGGGAAGAATGAGGCTGTTCAGGCAGTAGCGGAACAACTTCGGTTGTGTCAGTAGTAACTAAAAAGTGGATACGTTGAAAGGTACAAAGACAGCAAAGACAAGTGATGATAGTGGTGCCCGGTGAATGGTTTTAGATGTGAGGCAGAGTGCTTCGACACAGACTACACAAATTAGACCATGACACAGCATGACGGGCGGTTTCAAAGTGGGGAGAGTAATCGAAAATGCGGAAAGTGCACTTAAATATAGTAAGGGTCCTCGCGGTCGTTTCCAGATTTTATGTAATCATTAGCGAGTCACAATTTAGGGCTGCCAGAGGACCAACCCGAGCGATTCCATCTCGAAAAGAAGCAAAACCAACGCCTCGACTGCTTAGTAAGTTTGCTCTATCAATCAGTGCGACTGCAGTGGGAATTTTGGAAGATCCTGCTGGACAACTAAAAGGTGACGAATGTGGTGAAATCGGTATTCCCGGGTGCCATATCACGAGACAATTTATCAAGACAACCTGACCTGCAGTCTGACGCTTCGAGCAACTTACTAGACCAGGTAGCATCTGATGTGAGCATCTGGCACAACTTGCGAGTCGTGCATGCCAACCTGTCCGTCGGCCGCGAGTTTGACACCGTTCGGTAGGTAGGTTAGGTAGGTTTGCATCGGAGGAAATAGGCGGGTTGATACTGGTACTAGTGATCTACGGGTCCTTCACAGTGGTCGTTAAACCAGGCAGGCTTATAACGTCCCAGCCTCGGATGGCAGTTGGCTTACAACGTCAGACCGTGAATATACCCATTCCAGCGGAAGACTGATTCTCCAAGAAAATTAGTGTTCGAAAAGAGTGAGTGCGAGGTTTTTGTCTAATGTGTACGGAACCGCGAAGATGCAAATGAGATTTTTTAAAGAAAAAACCCTTTCCGAGTTAAGCACTTGTTCCCACCAACTAGGAAAGTGAATCAAGACTGTTATAAATATCAAACGGGCAATTTTCGTCTGCATCGTGAAGTAAGAAGTGGAGGAAATTCCCAGTGGCTCACCCTAACACGGGCGTGTTCGGTGAGTCTAACGAGTAGGAGGAGACCACGGAGATGTAGCTCGGCTTCCGAAGCAATGGACATGGGGTGCGGTTTTTCCTCACCACTGCCCTTGGTAGTCAGAGGTTGGTTCAACTTGCAGCCCTGTTCCAACAGCTGAAGAGTCGGGAGCAGGGAGTTCTCGGGCAGCTCGTCGCTGATGAGCGGCTTACAACACTTGCAAGGTGGTTCCAGACCAGCGAGCAGGGCGGGTCCGGCTGCAAGGACGGTATGTGTGAAGATGGCTAGACCTGGAGACCGAGGATACCAGCCGCCTCGAGCTACGCGATCTTCGTCCAGACGTTTGAGCACCTGTGTGAAAAATGATAAATCGACATGGATCGTAACAGTTAAATAACATTTCTACTTACACTTAAGTAGTAGACATTGCATACTCACCACAAACTCATGAAGTACGTACAAGCAATTCGGACTCGGAACCCCCTGCACAAAGTAACGGTAGTGAGAAGCGAAGGTTAGTGTTATTACGGCTTCAGCTTACACCCGCGATGTCGTTTATGACGTGATCATAGATGGAAAAAGTAGGCGATGACTGGGAAACGTCAAATTGCCACTGTTGTTTGACTAAGCTATGAGAGGTGCATCCTTTCCTGGGTGTCCTCTACATTGCCATGCAGTCCGCGTCACAACTGTAGACAGCATGCGAAAACGGATAAATGCGAAGTAAATATGTTGGAGCAGAATTTTCTGAGCTTGATATGCGGTCTCGAAGCTGCGTCTACCTTAAAGCCAGTCTTGTGCAACAATGAACAATGACAAAAAAATGAACAACTGTCTTTTGTTTGAAGGACTGGTGACGTTGTAGCGCTCTGACAAGTCATGCATCGTACCGTGACCCCCTGCCTCAAGTGCGTCAATAACTTGAAAAGTAGCGCGGTTCAGGCTCGGCGGAGAGCTGCAGGCAACGAGGCAAGGAAGACCTATATGTGTAAAATCAAAACAATCAAGCGCAGTAACTAATCCTTCCCGGGGTCAAGCCTTCTCTGACTCGTGTTTTGTGGCCTACTTCAAAAAAAAGACATTATTGCGTGCTGTTTCAAGTGTTTGATAGTGACCGCAATTTTTCGGCACTTTTCCCACTCAATACCGCGTTTTCCCGACACTCAACGGCGCACTACAATTTTCGCATAACTCTCCTCTTTCTCTGATCCCTCCCTCCCTCCCAAAAACACGTGTCCGTGTGCTTTGAGTCTCGTCAAACGGTACCAGACAATTGTTGCATTTTAATTTCCTCGTAAATGAACTGCGAACTTGGAGTAGATCAGTTTATCCTAAGATCTATAGGTGCAGACCGAAATTTAATGCATAAATATTTGGGCCGAAGTCCATCAGCCACAGCGGAATAACCGCGTAATATCCATAAATCAGCCAACGTGCAACTAGTATATATTGGGGGTATAGGATGCCATACTGACTGCATAGGTACTAGTTAAAAGCCAGTATGGTATCCTACATCCACAATAAATAAATAGGATGTCTGTTATTTTGAATATATAACTACAAGCGCGATTATGTGTTAGAATCTAGGAAATGTTGATGTATGAATATTTGGGCCGAAGTCCATCAGCCACAGCGGAATAACCGCGTAATATTCATTAACTGCAGCTGTGCCATGCAGCGGCAGAATATCGGCGAAACACGTGTCTGGGCTTTTTGCTAGTACCTGTGCTGCTAGTATGGTATCTTGTAGCCACTCGGAGGTGAGACCCTAACTCTCAACTAGCAACACACGTTGGAGAAACGGGGCATACTTTTGACCTCCAGAGGGCTACCATCTTAGGCCGAGGCAACACAAAAACAGAACGGCTAACTCTCGAGGCGTGGTTCTCCGATGCCCACTCTATCAACAGGCATCTGGACCTTCCTGCAGCTTACAAAGTCCTACGTCATCACAATCGCAAAGCTCAGGACCAAACAACCACACCGGACTTAAGAAGGTCGCACGGAGATAGCCCGACGCTGAATCTACTCGGTGAGGAAGAAGAAGAAGCGCCAGACCAACCGCCCGACGGAGTGGTGACTCACAAAGCACACAGGCAAAACGCCCGTCAACCATGTCCCGAGAGGCCGAGGCAGCGAGAGGAGGGAAAAATCGATCAGCATGAGGCCGGCCAACATGACTGCCACTTTAAATTAAATTTCTGATCGATTAAGTGCATTTTACGCTTTGACAATGAAGAGCCGACCCAGCTCTTTGAAACGTCAGCACTTAAATAAACCTCTTCCGGAGAGCCTGTCTTCGTCTTCAAGTATAAGAGTATCAAGTACATGGGGAATGTCCGAACAACTACTGTGATATAGTACAAATGTTCAATGAATACGTCCCTCGAAACACGATTGTTCAGCCAAGCATCTTGCAAGTGGCGTCAGAGACCAGAAAATGCAGGCTAGCTTAAAGATCTTGAGCAACCTCACTTCATGACACACCCGAAACACTAAACTGCCAAGGCTCTTGTCGAAGGTAACGGCTCGAGATGTCGCATTTAACTTTTTCAATAAGTAGAAAGGGTTTATTTTCGAAAGTCGTATCTACCTTCGGCAGCTCCCTTGCATAAAGCTTCTCAAGGATCTGACCCCTACGTCTGGCCGCAGCGATAAGTTGTTCTTCCTTGCCTTCTGGTGTATTGTCGTCTTCGTGATGGCATTCACACTTCCTTGCACTGGTGCCTGCTCTGCTGCAAAGGGCATCAACACTGCGCGCAAGGACACAGAGCAGGCGTCCCACCTGCTCATTGAAGGCCACAGCAAACTCCGTTCGTTCGGTTTCGGGATTCCAATTCGCACTGATTGACATCAGCAGGAAGAAGACCTCGTCGACGAGCTAGATGCAGGCAAAGAGAGAGAAAGCAGTCAGCGCGGCATGTATCTTGTCGATTTATTTGAAATTTGCTGTCGTAAATAGTCGTTCACTGATGTAAGATAGTTAAATTGGGAACGCTGTCATGATAGATTGACGGATGTTTATAACAGCCCTCCTCGAGCTTGCGTTTCCGGGAGCCCTGGTTGTAGAACCTAAATGGACTTACTGGGAGACAAAACTTTAGGAGTATTGCAGTGATAAAATCAAGCTACGAAGCTCCAGTCTTGGCGCAGTAAGATTTCCGAAAACTGGATGAGGCTGAGTATAAGGATTCATTTTTGTCACCAATCAATCATTAAGTTCATGTTAACAAAATTAGTTATGAAGATCCAATTATTAGTACGCTTACAGTTGAAACCGTGTCTTGTTAGAAGGAATAGGGGAGTGCTGGCCGATCTTTGACAGGTGAGTATCCGGACACCTCTTGAACATACCCACGGTGTGGAATAGCACGGCATACGTCGACAAACACTGAAAACTTGCAAGTGCTGGATATTGTCCCTACGGACTGTTTACATAGGAGACTGATCAGCTGATGGCACCAGTTGCTTGCCTGTGCGTTAGAACGTCCTGGAAAAACAGTTCAGTATCAATTTTCCTCCCAATTGCTAACTGTACTTTTCGGAATTGTTTCTTGCAAGTAAAAAAAATAATGAAAGCCTTGAAATAGATTACGATTGTGAAAGGCGCACAGTCAAAAGTTTGCATGTGACCACGTGGGAAATGACTTGAAATCCCGCTGCCGCAGGATTTATACCTACAACCATAGCCATGTAGGCTCCTTTCGTTCGAATAGACATATTGGGGAGTAATCGTTACCCAGCACAGCACTAGTCAACGACTTAGGGCAAAAATCTCGACCCAACAGCCATGCAACGACTGACAAAACGGAAAGCCTGTATTCAGTTCTGCGACTAGATCAAATTTATAAATGCCATTTTCCTGTGCCTTTGAATGTTCTCGATCGCAGGTGATGGGTGCAAGGCTCAACGACGGCAGCTAAACCAGGAATAATCTCTCAAGCCTCCCTCGAATTTCCGCCTAGTTTTTAGACTGGCGTAAGTTCCTGACAAGTGCTCATGGGTAATAAGAGGGAGCGACCTACCAGGATTATTTTATAAAGGGCCTGTTCGTTGGTGCTTACTCTAGACTGCAGTCAAAATGATGACCTGAATCGCTAACGATTGCTTCCAAATCGTGTTTTTAACAAATTAATTCGACCAAATTACTTTAATCGAGTTGTCCATTCATAAATCATATGTGTTAGCAAAACTATCGGCTGGGCTTGTTGGCCAATAAATCCTATGGAAGGAAATTTTCATATACGACGATCAGTGAGAATGTCATTTTCAATACACCTACGCACTCGTCTTCTAGATCTAAAGTGTCCGCACGAAATGATGAGTGCTGATTCATAAAGTGGCTTAGATGCGTGGCTGAATTTGCGTCTGGTGGATTCAATCCTAGACATAAACAAATACCTTAGAAGTTGCAATTGAATGAATTCACGGTGACAGCAAACATTACTTATCTGACCAGGAGCACGACGGATAGCAGGGCGAAACAGCCTACGCGGATCCAATCAAGGATGGTAATAAGTGAGGGCTAAGCAGTAACGTCAGTCATTCACAGAACTTGATAAAGTATGAACGCGTACTAGCGTCCCCAAAGCACATGGGTTCTGATGGCATTATTACCACCCTAAGAGGAATATGTGTGTCCTTCGCCGTTCGTGTGCGGAGCCGTAATCGCCTTCTCAAACTCTTATTAAGGCCACAGGGAAGAACTGAAATAATTCCAATCCAAGTGGACGACGGCATAGGATAAAAGTGAGTCGGGTTATTCAGTGTCTTCAAGTGTACAGAAGTACCTGAATGCAGATGGTGTCCCAGTTGCCCTTCAATGGGAGGGTCAAATTATCCATGGCTGTGACGTCTGGCGCTGGCGGGCCCTCCTCACTCTGTCCCTTCAAAGCTGCTTCTTTGGCGGCGAGAAAACGTGAAGTCATCTCCTCCACCAGAGTGCAAAGGGCGTTGGCACACTCCAGGAGGCCGGCTTTGTTGGCAAAGGCCGCACAGCAGAGCAACTCCTCAGAGGTTAGGTAGGCAGCAATGCGTACAGCAAAACAAGGCAGTTCGGGTTTGTCCGCGGCAGTAGAGGTCAGGTCGCGCGTCGACGAGCCCGAGATGAGGTTGGCCAGCATGAAGAGATTTCCAGCTAGGCTAGTGGGTGAGGTAGCTTCGTTGCAACGACGAGTGCTCTCGTAAGCGAGTTTCCACCACACCTGAAAAGGAAGCGAGAAAGCGCACTAGTAGATTCAAGGCGCTCGTATATACATGTACATACATCCTCCTCGCCCCCATAAACATAAATGCAAAATAAGCCCGGCCCAGTACTGTTCACCCTCCTTGCTGCTATTATGACTTGGCCGACCACGGCCAAATAGTTGGTTGGACGTTCATGACCTTTGGCATCCATACGGAGATTGCTTACTTCGGAAAGCCAAAAGAGCGGCGTGCGCCGATTCCTGATTGAATATATATATATATATATATATATATATATATATATATATACATGACAGTGGGCGCTCGCCGATCAGGTTACGGAACATGCTCGTTCCGTTGTGCCTTGGGTATGACTGGCTGATGACGGCTAATAAGCCAGAAATGGCCATTCCGGTCTCCCTTGTCTTTGTCGGCTCCATCTCATATACATATATATATATATATATAGGCAGAATAGCATTACCGACAAAGACAAGGGAGACTGGAATGGCCATTTCTGGCTTATTAGCCGTCGTCAGCCAGCCATACCCAAGCCCGAAGTGTGGAACACCCGAGCCTCGAACTCGCGACCTGTTGGTTTAGAAGTCAACGCCTCTACTCACCGGGCCACGAGCCCGTTGCCTTGTCGGTTTTCGATCGGGAATATACAATGGTAGGGGGCGCTCACCGATCGTTCATACGGAACTCACTCGTTCCGTTGTGCCTTATGGACTCTCTCTCTCGAGCCCAACCAGCAGCCGCACAGCGGCGCATGATATACAGGCAGAATAGCATTACCGACGACGGCTAATAAGCCAGAAATGGCCATTCCAGTCTCCCTTGTCTTTGTCGGTAATGCTATTCTGCCTGTATATCATGCGCCGCTGTGCGGCTGCTGGTTGGGCTCGAGAGAGAGAGTCCATAAGGCACAACGGAACGAGTGAGTTCCGTATGAACGATCGGTGAGCGCCCCCTACCATTATATATATATATATATATATATATATATATATATCAACATGAGTGAAGATTCGAGGTCCAGATAGATTATTCCGTTCATCATCCCCAAAAGAAGAATCCACCATCAGGCAGCAGATAATGAGGCCCAAAGACCAGCTACCTGCAACGGAACAATCAGCAGTGGTCTACAGCATACCTTGCCAAGATTGCGGTGCAAGGTATGTTGGTGAAACGGGCAAACGCCTCTGCACAAGATTGCACGAGCACCAGCTTGCAGTCAACCGCGAGGATAAGCTGTCACTGGTATATGGCCACATACAACAGGAGAAGCACAGTTTCGCCTTTGGGGAGGCGAGCGTCATCGGCCGAGCGAGCGACAAGATGGCCAGACTGGTTCTCGAAAGTTGGTCCTCAGTTGATACAATCAACAGAGCCATTGATCTTCATCCGGCCTACCAGGCCCTTCGTACGAGGCTCCAGTCAGCTCGGACGGGGCCGACAGCACTGGCGAACAAATCGCGGCTCTTTCAACAGTTGTCACCTTCCCAGCAGGGGGAGAGAGCCAGCCGGGCGTCAGACGACCGACGCGAGATATCGACCCACCGACGCGCCCAAACAGCCGACCCCGATTCCCACATGCAACGGCAGCTGATCAGCCCGTCAAATTATGGGGGGAGGGCCCAAGGGCACACGGACCTAGCAGCGACAACAGCGGCCGGGCAGGGGGCAGAGGTCACACCAGCGCCCCAGCGGTCGGCCACGGAGAGACCTAAGCCAATCCCCCGCCAGCAGGCAGGTCAGAGTTCGTGTAGCAGGCATGCCTATAACACGAGACAGGCGGCGAGACAGAACAACTCTGAGCTAGCAGGAACAAACACCCTACCACTACTCTGATGATGGAAACGAGGATGTTTCCGAAACGTCAGCACCAATACAGTGTGGTCCATGGCATCGCCTCTTTTTCTTCTTCGTCTTCTTTTGGGGATGATGAACGGGATATATATATATATATATAGGTGCGTCTTTGCGCATGTTTGTGTTTCTGGTCTCAGCTGCTGGTGGTCAGGGTTATGATTGGCTGAATGAAGGCAGAATAAGCCCGAAACAGTGCTGTATCAATCTACCCGCATTCTCTGTCGTCCCTCTTCGCTGCTATTATGACTTGGCCGACTTCGGCCTGGTAATTGGTTGCCTGCTCGTGACCTTTGCCACACATACGGAGCTTGTTCGCTTTGTGAAGCCAATAGATCGGTGTGCGCCCATTCCTGATATATGTATATATATATATATATATATATATATATATATATAGGCAGAATGATATTACCGACAAAGACAAGGGAGACTGCAATGGCCATTTCAGACTTATTAGCCGTCGTCAGCCAGCCATACCCAAGCCCGAAGCGTGGAACACCCTAGCCTCGAACACGCGACCTGTTGGTTTTGAAGTCAACGCCTCTATTCACCAGGCCACGAGCCCGCGCCCCCTAACATTATATATATATATATATATATATATATTGTATGGCTGGCTGACGACGGCTAATAAGCCAGAAATGGCCATTCCAGTCTCCCTTGTCTTTGTCGGTAATACTATTCTGCCTATATATCATGCGCCGCTGTGCGGCTGCTGGTTGGGCTCGAGAGAGAGAGTCCATAAGGCACAACGGAACGAGTGAGTTCCGTATGAACGATCGGTGAGCGCCCCCTAACATTGTATATTCCCGATCGAAAACCGACAAGGCAACGGGCTCGTGGCCCGGTGAGTAGAGGCGTTGACTTCTAAACCAACAGGTCGCGAGTTCGAGGCTCGGGTGTTCCACACTTCGGGCTTGGGTATGGCTGGCTGACGACGGCTAATAAGCCAGAAATGGCCATTCCAGTCTCCCTTGTCTTTGTCGGTAATACTATTCTGCCTATATATCATGCGCCGCTGTGCGGCTGCTGGTTGGGCTCGAGAGAGAGAGTCCATAAGGCACAACGGAACGAGTGAGTTCCGTATGAACGATCGGTGAGCGCCCCCTAACATTGTATATTCCCGATCGAAAACCGACAAGGCAACGGGCTCGTGGCCCGGTGAGTAGAGGCGTTGACTTCTAAACCAACAGGTCGCGAGTTCGAGGCTCGGNGAAACCGCTAGAGAACGCTGGGGGTCCCACTGAAGAGCCGAACCCCTCGCAGCTGTGTCACGCAGCGGCAGAATATCGGCGAAACACGTGTCTGGGCTTTTAGCAAGTATCTAGGTCGGGAGTACGGTATAATACCTTTACCATATATATATATATATGATGTTCGGTGAGCGCCCCCTAACATTGTATATTCCCGATCGAAAACCGACAAGGCAACGGGCTCGTGGCCCGGTGAGTAGAGGCGTTGACTTCTAAACCAACAGGTCGCGAGTTCGAGGCTCGGGTGTTCCACACTTCGGGCTTGGGTATGGCTGGCTGACGACGGCTAATAAGCCAGAAATGGCCATTCCAGTCTCCCTTGTCTTTGTCGGTAATACTATTCTGCCTATATATATATGTTGAAGGCAGAGGCGTTCTTTGGGAAAAGGTACTTTATTGCGCGAATTTTCGACGCCCGTTCCCCAGGTCGTCGTCAGACGCAGACTGAAAGTAAATGTGCCGAAAACAGTTAACATCTGGCAGTGCACATGAAAAAATCGATAATCGTTCGCGTTTGCGCGCGTAAGCGGCCACTATTTGCGTCATTCCGTCCCGATTGGCTTTCGTCTCTTCCATTTTCCTTAAGACTTTTGTACGCGGCGTCCAACTCGATGTGACGGTTAATGCACGATTCACCTGAGTGCATGGCCTCAAGGAACTCTCGGCCTTTCTTGAAGGGGCAGGTACCGACAATTCGTGTTCTGTCCCAAGCAAACGTATGCCCGGTGTCTATGCTATGCATGGCTACTTGAGACAGGTGGTCTCGCCTCTTTACTGCAAGTTGGTGTTCGTAAATGCGTATAGAAGCGGATTTTCCTGTTTGACCACAATAAACTGCATCACAGGCCTCACATGGGATCTTGTAGACGACTTGCTTTCTATCCAAATAGTCGACCCTACCCTTAGGGTGTACTATCTGAGTACGTAGTGTAGTCGTCGGTCTGTGTGCCACCCGAATCTGGTGTCTCTTTAGGTGCCTTTCCACAAGTTCAGACACGTTTTTGATGTAAGGGAGGATTCGCCATGTATTTGGCTTCGGTGTCTGACTGGAGGTTCTTTGTTCCCTTTCCTTTGACTCTTTCTGTCTCATGCATCGACGCACAAAATCCTTGGTCATTTCTGGCTTATTAGCCGTCGTCAGCCAGCCACACCCAAGCCCGAAGTGTGGAACACCCGAGCCTCGAACTCGCGACCTGTTGGTTTAAAAGTCCACGCCTCTACCCACCGGGCCACGAGCCCGTTGACCTGTCGGTTTTCGATCGGGAATATACAATGGTAGGGGGCGCTCACCCATCGTTCATACGGAACTCACTCGTTCCGTTGTGCCTTAAGTGCTCTCTCTCGAGCCCTATATGTATATATATTGGAACGCAGACATCACAAGAAATATAACTTGAAATCAAATACGTTCTTTGGGAAAGAGAGAAAACTATTGAGTAAATTTTCGACGTCGGTTCCCCGTGTCGTCGTCAGACTAGAAAACAATTAAAATTTCAAGCGTGCTACAAAATGAATACTCATTTGGTGTCTCAGCCAGTAGGCTGCCGTCGTATGTGTCAGTCCGTACTGATCGGCTTTCGTCTCTTCCACTTTTCTCTCAGATTTTTGTACGTGGCCGAGAGTTTCTTGAAGCCATGCACTCCGATGAGTCATGCATCAACAGGCATATCAAGTTAGCTGCCACGTACGAGAATCTCAGAGAAAAGTGGAAGAGACGAAAGCCAATCAATACGGACTGACACATACGACGGCGGCTTACTGGCCGAGGCACCAAATGAGTATTTATTTTGTAGCACGCTTGAAATTTTAATTGTTTTCTGCACATTTACTTTAGTCAGACGACGAAACGGGGAACCGACGTCGAAAATTTACTTAATAAAGTTTTCTCTCTTTCCCAAAGAACGTATTCGATTTCAAAAAATATATATATTCAGAATGGCATTACCGAGAAAGACAAGGGAGACTGGAGTGGCCATTTCTGGCTTATTAGCCGCCATTAGCCAGTCATACACAACCCCGAAGTGTGAAACACCCGATGCTGGAACTCGCGACCTGTTAGTTAGAAGTCCACGCCTCTAACCACTGAAAGAACCCGTTGCCCTGTCGGTTAAGATCGGGAATATACAGTGGTAGGGGGCGCTCACCGATCGTTCATACGGAACTCGCTCGTTCCGTTGGGCCTTACGGACTCTCTCTCGAGCCCAACCAGCAGCCGCACAGCGGCGCATGATATAGGCAGTATTTTATTACCGATAAAGACAAGGCAGACTGGAATGGCCATTTCTGGCTTATTAGCCGTCATCAGCCAGTTATACCCAACCCCGGAGTGTGGAACACCCGAGGCTCGAACTCGAGACCGGTTAGAAGCCCACGCCTCTAACCATTGGGCCACGAGTCCATTGCCCTGTCGGTTTTTGATCGGGAATATACAGTGGTAGGGGACGCTCACTGATCGATCTTACGGTACTCGCTCGTTCCGTTGTGCATTACGGGCCCTCTCTCGAGCCCGACCAGCAGCCGCACAGGAACGCATGATACAGGCAGTATGTTATTACCAACATATATATATATATATTAACTGAAGAACGGACGCACACCGACCCGCTGGCTTCCTGATGCAAACAAGCTTCCTATGGGCGACAAGGGTCACGAACAGGCAACCACCTACCACGTAGAACTGGGTCAAGCTATAATAGCAGAGAGGCAACAACAGAGTCCAGTAGATTGATTCAGAACTATTTCAGATTTGTTTACCTTCATTCAGTCAATCATAACCCTGACCACCAGCTGGGACCAGAAACAAAAACATGTGCGCACACACCTGGCGCAGCTGGTCCATCATTGGGGCCTAGTAACTGGGTCATACACACTTCGTCGACCGAAATCATCAGTACCTCGCTACCCTTCATACTCTGCCGCTGCAGATCAAGTGTCTATTCCGCAGCAACGGGCGCACACCAATTCATACAGTAACTCCTCGCCATATTGTGCCCCGGATCTCGTGGTTTCACGCTATCGTGAATTCAATATGCGAGCATATCTTAATATACATTGCGTATTTCTTGCTGGTACGCGAATTTCAGCGGACAATCGAATCTTTTATCTCTGATAATACCTCTTTAAGTGTTTTGCCCAGCTGATGTCATACTAAAGGAATTATCATAACATATATAGTATAACCGAGTGAGTAAAACAAGCGCAGTAAAATAAAGTAAATATAAAATTATTTTGTTGGAATGTATTGACGTGTTCGAACTGTGTTACGTATTAAATAAAACTCCCCAATGATATACGCTATGTATACTTGAGTATTGTGTAAATGGTGTCTTTACACGCACAAATCCCATGAATCTTAATCAATACCCAATAGAACATGAAGAGATATGCCGCATAACTGTATGAAAAATGCTTATAAGAGCGTGGGTTTATAAGGGTTCAAAATGTATAAAAACAACCATAAAACACAAGGCTCTGTTTCGCGGATTTTTAATTGCCACGGAGGGTCCTGCGTTAAAAGTTGATCTTCGACTATCACATTCAATCGAGCATTGGACCTGCCTCCAGCCTACCAGGGGTTACGTACAAGGCTCGGACTAGTTTGGACAGGGCCAATAGGACAGGCGAGCACATGGAATCGAGAGTTGGCGTTCACGGAAAGAGGGGTGGCGGCTGGAGGTCACGTTACCAACGCCGAATGCTGCTTCACCGATGCGTCCGCGAGGTTGAGAGCAACCCACACAAACAAAGACTGATCAGTCCGCCGACAGACGTGAGAGAGACCAACAAACATGCTGATTTCGCTACAAGTACGTCGACCCAGAAAAGGACAAAGGTCACGCGAGCCGGCCATTCCACTACTACGATGATGGCTGTTAGGTTATGCATGTAAAAGGCGATTTAAAACTGGATATTTCCTACTATGTCTTGAGTCATCATTTGCGTGGAATGTATCGGCGTTGCCTTAAATAAGAGTCCACAGTCATTGTGGAAACATCCGGTGGAAGTCGAGTTCAGGGAAAAAGGCTACTGTAGTAATTTGGACACATTCTAAGCAACCTGAGTCCACAATTCAGCCATAATGACACTCCAGAGCTCGGCCTAAAACGTCGATAAACTGTTCATTATAGTTTTTGGATACCCGGTACTCAGTCCCAGCGACTGGACGGGAGAAGACCGAGCCAGTCACGTACGTTATGATTGCAGTTGCATCACAAAATACTGTCATGGGGTGACCATTTAGCAGTACCGATAGAAGTTAGTTGTTATTCCAAATAACAAAGGCTTACACGCATACATTCAGTCCGAGGGAAGAATTTCAAAGCACCGCGTGGAGGAAACACATAGGCTTAAAGCCCAATTTTTTTTAGAAAACAAGACTTCATCTGAACGCACTTGAAATCTATAAATTCGGAACGATGGGATAAAACTGGCAAGGTTTTCCTGCTACTCCGTAAAGGACGTGTATGGAGGCGTGGATTTTAGCAGTATATTGCACTTATAACATTTTGGCAAGCATGTGGTCGCAAATAAAGACATGTCAGGAACAGCCAGAGATACGAAGACCACGATGACTCAAGAGTAGGAATCAAAACCCATCGGAAGTTTTACCTTTTGGAGATTGCAAAATCCTCTAGGACATGAACTACTTTTACAACCCGACGAAAAGTACCAATGAAAGAAAGAGAACTAAAACGTACGTTAGGTGAGACGAAGCAGCTGACATAACGGGTGGACAGGTACAGTTGTTTAAGGACCTGGAGAGCTTCTGAAGCCTCAGAGCTTGGCGCCCCATCACGAGTATTAGCGGAGGTACCGGAGGAAGTTTCGCTAGTGAGTGTGTATATGTTAGGAAGACCGCGATCGGGACACATTAGTAGAAGGTAGATCGTACCACCGCCCGCGTTGGTAGAGATGGTTCGTTGTATTCCGTCCGCAACTCCGGCGGATATTCCAGATATGAGAACTTGAGTATGCTGAGTAACAGCGTTTTCAAGGTGCAGAAGTAATATCGGAAGCAGACCAGATGCTTTCTTGCGTGTATCTTCTTGCCAATCAGACAGGTCTTTACACAGACCCGGAAGTATTCTTGAAGCCGTTCTGTGGATGATTTCACGGCAACCTATGGTGGAAATACAAAGACATTAGAAAAATCAGAATGAGGCAAGCGGCAACTGCCTAAAGACTATATGAAAAAACAATACGATGATGAAACCAAGTCTGTAATGGTGGTAACTGAGCAGAAGGGGAGCACGAATGTTCTTAAATTCCTGTAAATTTCGAAGGACGGTTAACCAGTATTGCCTCAAACGCAGAGGCAAAGAACCAACAAGACACGAAAAACCAGTTGGCAACATCTATCAAACAAAAAAGTCTGGAATGAGTCGGGCGCTCTGAAAACTGTTAACGCCAAAGCCTTGAATAAAAGCCGTTGGCTTTGGCAAATCTCTTAATTACAACCGAACGTTCTGGCCAAATCAACAAAGATTAAACTTTGTGCCCAATTAACAGGGCCAGGAATACAGGAGCACTAGTAAGTGATGCTGCTTTTAGTCGTCCCTACTATAGGATTAGACGTTTATGCTTGTGTAAGGTCTTGCTGATAATGAGGAAGCCCACGAAGCAGACCAGAAAGAATAAATGGAAACAATGTCCAAATAGTGAGGGCATTCAGGTTAATTAAAAAAGAGACAAAGATCAAAATCTTGATTGTATAAGGTTTGCAAAGGCGGTGAAGTTTGGGAAAATTGTTGAATAAATCAACCAAGCGTTATTTAAAAAGCACGCTTACCGAAATTTGGGCGCATCTGGTCCGCCGGATAGTAGGTCGGGACGCCAGGATCAAAATCAATCTTATCTTTTAATTGATCTTCATTTTCCTTCTGGTATTTCAGGCCTAAGATTTACACAATTAAGTAATTCGAAAATGTTATACCAACATCGAACCAAAGGCCTTCAGCCTCGTCCCGTATTTCTTCGGATTCGTCGATTAGTCCACTTAACATGAGTGGAACTAGTTTTCCGTGATAGGAATAACGGTCCATTAAGTTAAGAAGCCATTCGCCAACAACACTAATTACAGCTTTTCGAACAGGAATGCTGGCATCGAAGAGCCTTTGTGTAAGGGGCGCAATAGTGTAATCGACGAACTTCCCATCGCAGTGGGCGAAAACTGCTCCGACCGCCTGAACAGTAGCCAACCTCACACGATGCTGCTGATGAGTAATGTTTTTGAGCAGAGGCTTCAAGATGGGCTCGGCGGAACGGTAAAACGCAGCACTGAACTTTGTTGATAATTCCGAAAGAAGGTCGCAGCAGATGATTTTAATGTCTGGATAACTATCAGTCAGTGCGTTTTGTATGATAAGACAGTAATCTTGGGTATAACTGGGATCCTTTTTGATTTTGCGCAGTAGGTTAAGCAGGAGCTTCAGCGAACAGAGCCGAATTTCTTCCGCCTCTTCGACATATTCCTTTTCGGTGAACCTCTTCACTAGTATGGGCATCACATGAGGAAGAAAGCAGGAAGAATCTTCAACTGCATCACATAACTTAAACAGAATCTGAACAGCACGTTCTCTGTGACTCTCTACCGGATCGCTGAGTGAAGTCGCAACATGAGGAACGATATAGGAACAATAAATCTCGATTTCTGGTATTTTGGCGTTTGGGACATTTTGATCTATATCGGACGTTATTTGTTCTAATGACTCTCGTCGTTTTGCTTTGCTCTCACTAGAAAGAAGGCTTAGAATTCGAGAAGATTCTGTAACCAGAAATGTCATCACGCAAATATTTTACGCGAAGACTGGATTTTTTCTCGTGCTTATTGGGCAACTTGAGTTCCTGAATTCCATGACAAGGGTGTTAAGACCAACTTTTAGTCTAGTGCATCAAAATTCTTGTTGTAAGTTAAGCCGTTGACTGCTGTCTTCCTAACTATGGAGACAAAACCACGTATTAGTGGAGGTTGTGAGCGATTTTCTAACTAATTTTGAACAGGAGCCGCAGTATGGTCCCGAAGATAGCGCATAAAATTTCAAGGAATAGGCGAGACACAAACAAAATTTAAAAAGTCATTTATAGTCGTGTTGTCCTCCGTCGATTCTAAATGGGCCAAGAGAACCAGATTAAAACACTTCTGATATAAGACGCCTATAGTTTGCACGATTTTATGGAATCGTAAATATTGCGCGTAAGTCGTTCTGGTCTGCGTCAACACCTCCCTCCTCTGTGTTAACAGTATTTTTTAGGCAGTCATATAAAACCCATCGGATCGTCGTTGTAAGCTCGTGCCGTTAGCGCGCCAGTTACTACTGCTGATTTTGAAGGTTTATAAATCGCGTTTTTGCACCCAAATCTGTTTTAGTCGAACGCGACAAATATCTGGAAATTGTTTTTCAGCCGCGCCATCCTGGACGTGAAGCAACTCGGGCTACAAACCCATTCACGAGAGACCAATTTAAAATTTTTAGAGATTATTTAAAAGGATCCTTAGGTTTTATAACAAGCTGTCATGGGAGAGGAATTTTGTTTTCGTAACTCTGTCTTTTTCCAATTATCTATTTCCACCACTAATAAAAGCGCAGCATTTCGAAATAGGGCTTAGTTTTTTCTCGTATATGTTTTCGGCCTGCAGTTTTGATTACTGTTTACAGTTCACACACGTGCTGTGTCCGGGCACATGTACACGCTTCTCACCGACACACATAGTTTGAACGGCTGGCACGACTAATAAAAAGAATTGCTCCCACTGCCCTTGGACTGTACGTATGCTTTCTCACCTCCCTAAAGGTTATTCTATGGCTCTGTCCTCTATGTCTTCTGATTTGGAAATCATCGATTTGCTTTACCATTTTACTTCGACCCATGCTGTAATGAAGAATTTGCAGTAAGATCTCACACATAGTAAGATGAATCTACTTTGAGTCGCAACTATTTGACATCCTGGAGATACGAATATAATGCGGACTTCACATTTTCATCCTTCTAGAATAACTTAAGCTTCCATGGCGGTATAAGTTTAACAGCACCTGAACCGTAAATCGTAATCCCCATATTTTGTCACGTTTTCAATATCAACTGTAGCAACATTAAAATCTGGAAAATGGGTGAAATGGCATCTTGAACTTTGTAGACTGCTGTATATTTTCTATTCTATGGTCTCGTTCTTTGTAATTTTGCCCTACCGTATGTGTTTAAGTAGACCGGCAAGCGTTATTTTCTGCACCGCCAAATTATACTGAGCCAATCAATTGTGAAAATAATTGTATTCTCGCATTAAATTTAAAAACGCAGTCTACTGTTCCCATTAGTTACTAGTAACCAAACTATCACCTTACACGATTTTAAAAGTGGATCTGCTTTTGTGAAGACGTTGGAGGTTTGGGTGTCAGGTCAGATCGTATATCTTCTGTCACGCGATTTATCTTTTCATATAATATATAGACGTTGCCACTGCCGCTGCAATTATGGGAGTTGGAATTCATTTTTAATTTCCCTTGCAGGTATGGTCCAAATGATGAGAAAATTTTAACTGCCTACTTCTGAACAGTTTCCATATGATTCACATCATTAACAGAGCTATTGCCGACGCAAATAAATAATTTTCAAACTGCGGCTGTCAATGATGGCCGCTGTGGCTGTTTGTATGTGCTCGGTGGAGCCTATTCTTTTAAGTGAGCGGACTGTTGATATTTAAAATATCAGCGTCAAACCAGATTTGGTGTTGACAGTGTGCAAATGTGAGAAGATTTAGGACGGTGCGATTGATAACATAAATTTATTCCGCGCTGGCATTTTCGACAGGGAACCGTGGCTATTCCAGTATTGGAGTTGGTTGAATTCAGAAATACACGCGAAGAGCTCAAAAATTCAACAAAACACCAGTTTGTCTTTATTTGTCGCAGTCGCCAGGGCCCCGCGCAGGTCTTCGAAAACTTTTTTTACCTCATTGGTGTTTTTTTAGTGGAGGGTGGTAGGCGCTGACGATGGTGGCACATTTACTTCCCCCCTCCCAAAAAATAGGCTGGTTTATGATCTCCAGGTTATCACTACTGCACCGCGGCTGACACGAAAATTATTTCCCTGGGTCGTTTTAGATGGCAAAGTGGACGTTTGCGCCTTGTAGGCCGACTTCAGGTCGTCGCTATAGAATAAGGCGTAGCCAGCATCCACCACCCCCATATGGCAATGTTTGGATAATCGGGTCGTGCTGAGGTCAACTGTGCCCACTTTGAAGCGCCAGTGTCGCCTTCCGTCTAGTCGGGCAATGACGCATGTGTTGTCTTTTCTGTTGTGTTTATTTTTGACCGTGAGGTTTGCAGCTACAAGTCGCGGAACGCCTGCAGATGTCGTGATTTCCCAGCATTTAGTTTCGACTCATTTTCTGGTTCCATTCCCTTGAAGGAGTTAGCGGATTGATCCCTAAACATGGCTGCTAAGACACCTCTGATGGCTGCTGGTAACATCGATGTGGGTCACGGTTTTGTTTATTGGACAGCGATCTGAGCTATCCGCGTCCAAGTGCGGGATTGCATGTCGTTGTCTCGTAGAAATAATTTGGGGTGGAATAGAGGAGGGGGATGCTAAGGGGAGTCGAATTATCGGGTGTGGGGACACAACACCGGGTATTCTCATTTGGTTTGGTCCGCCGGTTAAGTCGGTTACCGGGATGTCAATGCTAGACCCGGTGCATCTTCAGGGGGCTGCAGCTGAGAGTTGGGTGACAGTTAAGGACCGCGCGGAGCAGCCACTTGGACGAACCACGGACGCCATATACCACATCCTACAAGCCTTACCCCTAACTGGACACTCCTACGCCTCGGAAGGCGCACAGGTTTAAGTGACATCACACAGACGCTTTGCAGCATCGTGACGTCCGGTCGACTTTACTGACTCGAATAACCGCTTCTTTTACGACGGGAAAGATGTCTCCCATGGGAGGTAATACGTGAATGGCCGCCGGTACGTATCTTTGTCGACCTGTCTGTCGATTTCTGCTGACCGTTAACTTTACGAATTAAGACTCACACGAGGGAACTTTTTGTTTCTTAAATTTTTTTGTTTTCTTGTTGGGACTGGAGATTTGTCACAGAGTTGTGCGTCTACTGGTACTAGGGAAATACGTGATCAAGTATTAAAACGCCTGATTTCTGGTCAGTGCTACGGCACAGCACACATCGACATCGCTGACTGAGGACTTATGCACCTTAACGGAAATATTTCTTTGGTGGGTATCGTATTATTAGGCAGATTTAAATGAGATCGGTAACTTCGTGCATGATTCGATAATCGTATGGCATTGCCTAGGAGGTAGAAGAGGGAGGGACAATGAATTGGTCCCCGAAGTTAGCAACGCACTGATAGTGCTCACGCCAGTACCCCACCTTGGCCGAAATGTCAGCGAAAATGTTGCTACTTACATAGCGACAACTGACTCAGTGATGGAGACCTACGACCCAAGTGGTGAATAAGTCGGCAGACTTGTGGAGTATCGCAGAGTTTCGAGGTCTGTGAATAGAGTTCAGAACGTCAAGTAGAGAGTTTTTTGGACTTTTGGCCGGCTTTGGCGTCATCCTTCGGAATTTTCACGAACAATTACCCTTGACAAACTTTCTTCGTACTAAGCCGGCAGCAAAACTATCCCACACTTGCAATTACTTGAGCAAATATACAGCGGGCATGGACATTTTTACCGGTCACAACACTTACGTCACATTTATGTACGCATGACAGATTTTAAAACGGCCGGTTTTGTGGTTAAAGTTAGCAAAACGGCATTCTGAGGCTGGTATTTGGCAGAGAATTTTGAAAACAATTTTGCCGACCACCGAAGCGCCCTTGAATGAGCAACAAGTTAAGATTTTTTGTCTCGGACGTTGTTATTACGACGTTTTCCTGTTCTCCGGTTGCAATTCCATATGCAAAGATTATTGCTTTAGTATCATATATTTAGATTCTAAAGCTATGCTTGTGAGCTGGAGTTCAGAAATGCTAGACCTTATAACGTAGTGTGGCGCCATGCCACACGAATTTTGGTTCTCAAAGACTCTGACCAATAAGAGGATTATTTTGGTACGAATACCGAGTATTGCAGAGTTAAACAAACCAGTCAAATCTTTGAGGTCCATAAAGCCTCAGCCATTTGAAAGCTTGATGCTGGACGTAATCACGTCTGGTTCGTGCTTTCGTGGTTTCAAATCCCGTTGAGGCCGTCGATTTTTTCAAGGTTGGGCCGGTTAGCTGCTATTAGTCAGAGGTCTGAACCCTTGGTAGCCCCACACCTTATATCCAGGATATAAACGGCTCCTGGTTTGCTTAGAACAGTACTTATCGTTAAAGCAGAAGTTATTTGTTCAGTAAGGACTCACTCCCAAGTGAAATAGTGACATCTGGTACAATGGCTGCATTCAAGAGGCAGCTAGATCGCTTGGTCTTTGATAAACGACAACTCTCACTGCAGGACTATCTGCCGCCAGCCATAAATTTCATTTCTTGACTTCATCCCTATGTACCACATCACTGACGTTTCATTAAATTTTCCCTCTCATACGATGTAATTGACTGCTCTTTATGCTGATTGTATATAATTGCACTTAAAACTTCATATGCCTATTTAAATACCGCCTGCCGCACCGCAGTCCCACACTGTAAAAACGGTTTCCGCAAACAAGTATGTTACCGGCAAATTTTTAATACGACGTCATTTGACATTTAAAGTGTATGTACCGTTTTCAATAGGGTCATCAAGGACATTGTTCAATACCCTAAAATACACTGTATATATATTCACTCAGGAATGGGCGCATACCGATCTATTGGCTTCCCGAAGCAAACAAGCTCTGTATGGGTAGCAAAGGTCACGAACAGGCAACCAATTACCAGGCCGAAGTCGGCCAAGCTATGATAGCAGAGGGGAGAGGACAGAGTCTGCGGGGGGGGTAGATTGATACAGCACTGCTTCGGACTTGTTTGTCTTCATTCAGACAATCATAACCCTGACCATCAGCTGATACGAGAAACAAACATGCGCACAGACGCACCTGGCGCGGCTGGTCCACCACTGGAGTCTACCAGATGGGTCATAAGCACTTCATCCAACCGAAATTCATCAGTGCTTCACCACCTGTCATTATCTGTCGCTGCAGATCGGGTATTTATTCACTCAGGAATGGACGCACACCGATCCATTGGCTACCCTAAGCAAACAACTGGTCAACTGGTGGATCAACTGCGCCAGGTGCGTCTGTGCGCATGTTTGTTTCTCGTATCAGCTGATGGTCAGGGTTATGATTGTCTGAATGAAGACAAACAAGTCCGAAGCAGTGCTGTATCAATCTACCCCCCCGCAGACTCTGTCCTCTCCCCTCTGCTATCATAGCTTGGCCGACTTCGGCCTGGTAATTGGTTGCCTGTTCGTGACCTTTGCTACCCATACAGAGCTTGTTTGCTTCGGGAAGCCAATAGATCGGTATGCGCCCATTCCTGAGTGAATATATATACAGTGTATTTTAGGGTATTGAACAATGTCCTTGATGACCCTATTGAAAACGGTACATACACTTTAAATGTCAAATGACGTCGTATTAAAAATTTGCCGGTAACATACTTGTTTGCGGAAACCGTTTTTACAGTGCGGGACTGCTGTGCGGCAGGCGGTATTTTAAATGTGCATATGAAGTTTTAAGTGCAATTATATACAATCGGCATTGTAGCTGCTAAGCGGTGATTGTGTACGCTCAGTACGCCACAACTTCAGGCTATATCTTAAGTTGTTAGAAGCAGGACACCATTTGGTTAGGACACCTTATTCTGTGCAGAATAGTGAAGGGGAAAATTGTCAACCGGACGAGGATGCGTCCGGCGCCGCGGAGACGGCGTCTGCGAGAGCGACGAGCCCTGCGCCACCGAAGGTCGCCGCTGCAAAAGTTTCGTTGCACATTGTTTACTCTATTGTTCTGGACTGTTCCCGCCTGTCTTACCAATCAGCGATAGGAGTTGCGTTGATTGGCTCCCTGCCCAGCGAATGTAGTGACAAGTCTCGCGTGGTGCAGGCAGAGAATTGCAACGAGACAAATCGAAGCCGGGCAGACGTGCGTGCCATAGCAGGCTGTCGCTAGGACGTAAGTGCAGGCGCTAGCGAGAGGCGCGACGTAGCCATTATGGCTGTCCAGTAAAGCATAAAGAGCAGTCAGTTGCATAGTATGAGAGGGAAAATTTAATTAAACGTCAGTAATGTGGTACATAGGGATGAAGTCAAGGAATGAAATTCATGGCTGGTGGCAGATAGTCCTGCAGTGAGCGTTGTCGTTTATCTAAGATCAAGCGATCTAGCTGCCTTTCGAATGCAGTCATTGTACTTCCTGATGGGGTGCTTTATTTTTAAATTTTATGGCGATCACATTCGTGTTCAATAATTCTGATTCCAACATTTTGCCATGCAAATAGAATCATTGGCCCTGAGAAACATTTCGAACATTAATTCTGTTTGTTGAGGGAAATAGACGTGAGTCTTTGAGTACTTTATTTGCAAAGTGAAAATGTGTGGTTTACAGGAAAATCTTCTGGGCTGAAATAGTTTAAACGAGCGCATAATGGTAGGACAAAGTGGGAACGAGTTACAGTAAATGAGCTCGACTTCTCATCGCTCTTGGTCATTTCGGAACATAATTATGTCAAGGTGCTTTTTAAAACTTTGTATTAACGATGACATCAAAACATCTGCAGGAAGGGCAGCCCATGATTTGACCAGTCGAACAGAGGAGAACTTGCGCACATCCAGCCTTGTCTGCTGAGTGCGCAGTTTAAACGGATGACCTCGGAGTTTGGTCGTGGTAACACATTCAAAAAAGTCCTCGAAGACAAGGCTGCAATCAAACCCCATCACCATCCAAAATGTTGGCAAAAGATCCCCGCTTAGTTGCCTGTAACTCAAAGGAAGAGGTTTAGATTTACTAGGATTGGATAAGGAAAGGAGCTTTGATCCTTAACCATCTTCATGGCTCTCCTCTGAACTCTTTCGTGGCGGTTTTGATCCTCAGCCCCCACGGTCAGCAGGCTTGTATGCCGTATTTCAAGTGCGGCCGGACTTATGTTCGGAATGTCTTTTAGAAAGCATCTTCGTCAAAATCCATAAACGCACGCTTAAAGGCGTACAGTACGGACATTGCGCTTTTTGCCACTCTTGAACAATGAGCGGGTGGTTTTAGGGAACTCGTCGTCAGCACACCGAGGTCCTTATGCGCTTCGACCTCTTGTACAGCTGCACCGCTCAGAAAATAGTCTCTTGTACTGGCGGACCTGGCTGTGTTGCGTAGGCGAAGTATGCTACATCTACCAATGTTGAACCGCAGGAGCCAACGGTTTGACCACTCCTCCAATCGATCTAGGTTCACTTGCAGCCTGTCTTCGTCGGCAGGGTCCTGAAGTACGCTCCATATCTTCATGTAATCGGCAAACATTGCTACTTCGCAGTCTAAAGCTCTTGCGGCCTCGCCTACATATATGAGGAAAAAAATGGGTGCCATCACTGAACCCTGGTGGACACCACTCTCGACCACAGCAGGATCTGAGTTCCCTTGACCGATACACACAACCTGTTGTCGACCCGCAAGGAAGTTTTCGATTCATTTGAAAAAGTTTCCACCGATCCCTATTTTTAGTATGTGTAACAGCCTCTGGTGTGATACAATGTCGAACGCCTTTTGGGAGTCAATGAAAGATACGTGGACTGCGTGCCTGTCGTCCAGAGCAAGAGTCCAGCTCTGGAAAGATTGTAGCAAGTTTGTCGTGCAGGATCTTCCTTTTCGGAACCCATGTTGGCATTTCGATAGCAAGCCGCAAACTTCCAGGAAATCCATCAGTTCCCTCTTTATGATCCTTTCCATAACTTTGCAGAGAATACATGTCAAGCTTATGCGCCTATAATTTGTCGTCGGTGCCCGGCTATGTCCTTTGTATAGCGGAGTAATGTGCGCCAGCTTCCAATCGGTAGGAAGTATTCCAGTGTCAAATGACGTTTAAAAGAACATTGTCAAAGGCACAGAATGCCGTTGGCATGTTCCTTGAGAAGCTTGGGGGAAGCCCGTCTGGTCCTGGCGACTTTGATTCGTTAAATGGCTCTAATTCTCTTCGGATAATGTCTTCTAAGAAGGGTATAGCACCGACGCGTGGGGTCGGCAGTTCTTCTGTGGAGAAATGAAGGAACCTTGCCTTGTTTGTGTGTTCTTAATCACCAGGTTGTAGCAGCTGGAGTGAGGGAGGCTAACTCATTCCAAAGATTTAGGGATCCGTTGAGCTTTCGTTTAATTCCTTGCTCACCAGCGGGTCAATAATAACACTTCCGTTTGAGCCCAATGCGTTCCCAAAAATGCATAGTATTTCTGTGGTAAAAACTGAAGAATTGGTGATCGGAAACATAGTGAGTGAGACGAACTGCCTCATAGAGTCTACCATCTTTTTGAAACTAAGCCGTACCCGTCAACATAACCTCTGTTACCTGGGTCAAGTTCAGTTATGTCTTCCTTCCATTCAAAATGTTTACTTGGTACAGTGCCCTACGTCTGATCGTGAAGGCTGACAACCGAGAAAACATCTCGGTTATCACTCTGAGTTCAGGGGTTTTAAATTACAAGCCCGACAGAGTAGCATGTTGAAAGACCTTTGCATACCCTGATCTCGGCCACTGCTTTTGCTCTCATAAGGTGCTCCACGCATGAAATGGTTTTCGTGATTCTATAGTTATGCCATACAGAAATGCAGTTCTCAAAAATCAAAAATCTTGACACGATAAACAAATCCTGTGAAAGGACATTAATTTTTCGAGACAAACTTATTAACTGGTTGGCACTTCAAACAAATGTGGACACCACATATCGTTAAAAGCCTATATCGAAAACAAAATTACGATCCTTCAATCTGACTCGTTTGACTTCTAAAAAATCCCTGCCTTGACTACCTTGACCGAAAGTTTTCCGTTTTATAGGCATATCGACCATGTTGTTTAGTTGAATCGCCACAGCAATCAATCTCATTTGTGGCAACAGTCAAGAACGTGGTAACTCGGGGAATGCCACTAAAGTAGTTAGGTAAAACAATACCTTATCTTTCACATTTCGAACATAGGCTTTTGCAATCGGCGATTCTAGAAATCCAACGAAGTGCTGTATTTTTTATGGCGGTCTTACAACGTGGCGTTTGGCATCTTGTCCTCTTGCGGCAATAAGCACTTTCACAAGCGGGTCTGGGGATTTTATTTGAATTTCCTGGTGTAGCCAAACACCAAGTAGTCAGTGCGCCTCGCTCAAGCATATCGACCCTCTATCGGGTTTCATAAATTATGTGCAATTTCTTTCAGGTAGATTAAGACAATGTGCTTTCAGAGGGCTCAGTGAGTTGAAGTGCAAACCCGGACCATTTGTCCCAAAAGAGGAAGACGCACATTCCAGTCTACTGACTTACCTACTGCGCGATCATACAAAGTACGTTTGAGAGGAAGGGCTTCGAAGAAGACGGCTATAACAAGACAGGCGCCCAATTCGTTCGATTTCGCATACATACTTTGCCACTTTTTTTATCTTACTTCGGTCCAAGATAGTTTGGCCGGTGGAGACAGCCGAATCATTGCAAAAATGGCGATATACTTTGCTCGGAGGCGAATGAAGTAACGACACCAGATGTTTGAATAAACCGAATGGAGTCACTACGGCTCAAAGGATAACTTAACACAACGCATAACAAGAAGGTTTAGACGTCTTGCACCAGAGTGAGTTTGTAGGTTTTATAGTCTTCCAATGCCTTGAGTTTTGCAGACTGCCGAAAAAAATTCGTCTGAAATATTCAAAACCTACTCCACTAAAGTCTGAAGACCGAGAACACATGAAGCCTATCCGAAATTCCGTCTCAAGGCCTGACGCCAAAGAAAACGGAATGTTTTCCATGAAATTAAAATAAATGCGTGAATGTATTGAGTCAATGTGAGTTGGTCGGGCTTACACATGTAATCTGAAAATTTATGCATAAAAATGTTCATAGGGGTGGAGGTGCATCGATGTCAAGCAGTACTTACTAAATGAAATCACTGATAGTACGGGCATGCTACCCGTATGGTCACAAAATTAAAAAAGTAAAAAAAAGTATGAAAGAACATAAAAAGAAGGTAAAGAGAGTTCGCAGTCAGTACTAGCAGGCCAAAGTCAATTCCTCGAGAAGCCGAGAGTATCGAAAGTTCATCAGTTGCGATAGACGAGCAACACGCCCGTAGTGTCGATTGCTATACTTGATGAAGGCAGCCTAAAACAACGGAGCAGACGTAAACAAACATGAACGGAGAAAATGAACTGACGTCACAAAAGTTTAGTCTCAGTACGCGTTTTCAGGTTGCATGACCTCAAAGTTACAGTACTCATGCAAAACTCGATTGCCAAGTCACAATTCAGCATAAAAGTTGTCATTTAAAATGACTGTCCACTACTTGCAATTTTGTCTTTTTTCGGATTTCATTATTCGCTGGCATAAACCAACATTGAGGCAGTTCACGGGAAACTTCTGTTTTCCTTGTCGGAGCGCAACCGTATTCATGAAACTAAGTGCCAACGTGATCTCTGATAGATAATTGATGAGTGTCGTAATAAAGGGTAAAAATCCACTTTTTAAGTTCTTCAGAGGTAAGGTTTTGGAGTCAGCAATCCCAAATCTACATAAGTACTTGTCGCTATGCGACCGCCTGCGAGTGCTCTTGAATGAGATTATAGGCGCAACAGGACGAACGTATCCCCTAGCGCGGTGGATGGACGCACTTCTACCATGAAATAATTTTCACAAAAGTTTAGACCAAAAAACCAACGGGCAGCCTTATTTTCCGAGGGCTGATGCGACGACCATCGTGAAAATTAAAACCGTGGGTCAGGGGTTTGAAGGTCATACATGTATGGGGCTATAGGTATAAGCGGAAGCACCGAGCTGTTAAAGCCATTTGCGATCTCCGGAATAATTTGGCCCAACTTTGCTAGGCTACCATGTTGTCTTTTTTCGAAATGCACTTTTAACTTGTCAAATCATGGCGCCGACACGAGCGTTTCCGTGTCCCTGAGAGTCTCACCTGTCAGAACAAGACCTAATTTCAACAGCAAACCTTAATACAAGAATAAAACGTGGGGATAGGTTGACAAACTTATTTTACTATTACTGCCCGTCTTTGTAATTTAAGTGATAGCGAATATATTCGTTGTTTAAGAGCAGGACCTGTACATTTATGGGGAAGCAAACGAAATTCTCTTGTGGTACAATTCCCAGTAAGTTCCCACACCAAAATCTACCTTCAAATTCCCCGTCAACGAGGGCCTTTATAGTTGCAGTGTCTGCCAAAGAAGAAAGGGAGGCCTGAATAGACGACGTACAACGTGCTTCTCAGTGAGAAGGTGGACATCTAAGCGCTCTACCAGTGAACCACGAGCTCACGCTCCATCGTATGCGACCTGAGCGTGGTAGTCACAGATCTTGTCCGGCCGTAGGACCTCATACGGACGTTCTCGTGTACCATGGAGCTCCGGACTACGATAGTTATAGTCAATCTCTGGTACAGGAGGACATAGAGGCTTCATCATCAACGCCGGAATACAACTGGACATCCAGCTAGACGTCGAATTTGGGCAGAAGCCGCTGAAGCAAACCCTTGAATATTTTTATCCCAGTAGATCTTTTGCAGCAAAGCTCTAGACTACTGGTTGCTCATCCTAATGGCACTGCCTTGCAAGGCACGATGAAACGCCAGATTTTCTTCAACAAATTTAAATCCCAGACACTAGTCAAGGGGAAGACATCCTCCGGGTTGGTGTTTTCATTTGATTTTACATACCGGTGCAAAACTGCATAAAATTCGAAATGCCTACCTCAGTCACGTTGACTGTCAATCGGGAGTCGTCGCCCGTGGGGGACACAGAGAACCGTTGTTGTATCCTTGCCAGAGCAGCCGCGTAGATCAGAGCCACTCGCCGTAACCTCTGATCCTCTATGTGACCCGTCAGTTCTGCCTGCTTCCGACTCCAGAGCGGAGGCCTCTTAATGGTCTCATGGTTTTCCAATTCCGGCGAGGGGGAGGATCTACTGTCTATGAGGTCACCGAAGCCCAGGAGGAGGCGTCGGCCGAGGTATAGGGCAGCAGCGCATCTGAGACTTGCGGAGTACTTGCTCAGTTCAAATTCAGTTAAACCGAGATCAAAGAGATAGAGGCAGATCAACCTTACCTAACGATGAAAGTAGAAGGAATAATTGAGTGTAGTTGAGTAAAATGCCGCACTTAAGTATTAGGCATGATGGAAACTACCAGTGTGACAACTGCTAAAAGTTATGAATAATGGCTTCATGCATGTAAATGAGCATTCGGCTGTTTAAATCTGAGTCGCAAAAGAAGATTGCTTATTGTGTTACCTTCCACTTGCCATAATCAGACTACTAATCTTACAAGAGTCTGACTTAATCGACTAAAGCAGCCGAACAGTAGGGGAAGTAATGTCCTGGTTACAAATGAATGAAGTATTTAACGGAACCGAATCTGTCTGAGCGACGTAACTCCAGCCGCCGTTTTTTGAGGAACAGCCGACAAAGCACAGTTGATGGAGTCGAATCAATTAAAGTAGTAACTACACTTTCGATGAGGGACAGACTTCGATGTCCCACTACGGATAGCACGGTTAGTTAACGTGACCGTTTTCCTGCAAGCATTCTGTCTTAGACAGCCAAAGTTTATTTTATTCCTCTGATGCGCCAACAGCCTCACTAACATGCTTCCTGAAAGCGCGCATTGCAGATAGCCACCCAAACAGAAACCTGGCTAGACATACAGCTTACTGGGGCATCTATGTGCTCGAGTTCGACTTCTGCAACTGAAGAGGTTCGTCAGTCCGTCGAGGGACCCGCGTGGGAGTGAGCGTAAATTTATTGATGGCGAGCGAGACTTGTACAGAATCTACCTCGGTCACTCTTTTTACGCACATCTTCTAGTGGCAAGACAACGTCAAGGCGACTAGAGGCCTGCATGTCCTCAACGACTGACAAAGCAACGTAGTACGTCTGTGTGGGTGACCCAGGACTGACTCCAATCTGCACACGATGGAGGCTTAAAAGGAGGAGGGACCTTGGATCTCAAATAAGTGAGCGAATCACAACGGCCTCCCTGAGGGGTAAACGTCTGTCTGTCCAGCACGGCCTACTCGGATCAAGTTATCCCGTCTGTTGGCAACTTTGCATGACATAACTGCTAGGGCGTCGTGGTTGTCTGAAATCGCGTTTGGCTGTTTATAGTGAGGAAAATAAGCTCAGGATTCGAGCATAATCTGTCGGCTAGAGTCAGGTCAACCAAAGCTGGGACTGAGTACAGTGGCTGACGCGAAACAAAGCCACCGTCTAACCTCCGTCACACACAGGGCCGGATCTAACGAAGGCGAGGGGTGGCATGAAGGCTACATCAAAGTGAAGCAGTCGCAGTTAGAATTTCCCTCTAGTGGGGACCAGCTATCTCGTGATCTGCCAGTATTCAAAACCAGGACTTTTAGCGGATAACAATGGTTTCTAGCGCGCCAGTGCATTTTAGTCAGGAATCAACTGAGCCTCTATGCATATGTGTACCCAAGTGCCAGGCTTGCTGTTTTAATTCCTCTGCCACTCATCAGTTCGAACAGGTGTGCCGACCGGTGTTGGGATTAGACGCAGCGACTAACGTGAGCTGAGTTCCCGTCTAAGGCGTGTCTGTATGCTAGCACGACTCCTCTAGTGGCATCAATTTGAGCGAATAGTTTGAGGTAAACTAACCTGTTCGCGCCAATGCTCAGGAAGGTCGTCACAAGACAGAAGGGCGCTCCCAAGAAAGTGATGCGGTAGAGGTACGTGCAGGTCGAAATTGAATACTTCCAACATCGTCTGTTCCCATTCCAGAACCTACAACCCAGAGAGAAAAAAGTCAAAATGTTTAAACTATGGAACAGGCGGGAAATAACTTTCCGCATTATCATCCTCCTCCCACGAATAACGTATAATTGCCGATTTTTTACATCAATGAAGATCAGTGTATATGGTAACTCTAAGGTAAGAACAAGTTGCGTCTACCGAGCTCACCTATAGGCATTAACTGCCTCCCTTATTTTTGTTGGGCATGTTAGGTTAGTTGACGGGATAAGCACCACTGCAAAAAGATAGATAAAGTTTATCCCACTTGACTCCCCTAAGTCAGGACCAGGACTATCTTAAGTGTTGCATTGATCCATTTTGTTGACCCTGGCCACTATGTGGAAGTCGATAAGCAGCGCACAGATCTATACGGGGCACCGGATAACTGATCCAAACTCCACGTCAGCGCGTACTACCGACGGGCAAACACTGTGGGTTAGTTCATTGTGACCCAACTTTTAAAAACTCGACGCCTCCGTGGGATTCGAATCCACAACAGCAAGAGAAGGGCTTTATAACATCCAACGCCCAATGAGATACGAGGTTCCACCGGTAGCCGTGAGTTTAATTACATCTGGGCCAAGTTACCCACCCAACCTACTGTAACATCTGCAATTCACCGAATCTGATACAGTGAGCCAAATGCCCAAGTAGGGTTCCCTAAGCAATCCATTTAGAATTCACCAGATGACTACCAAGCTCACATAATTGTTAGGTGTTTTGGCAGGTTTCGAATAGTTCGGTTTGACTTAACTGTGAAAAAATCGGCGCTGTGATGAGATTTGAACACACAACAACAGAAGGTAGGCTTTAGTACAGCCAACACTCTAGTCAGAGTTGGGTCAGCATAAAGAACCGACCCAAACTCCCACCTCAGTGCCTACTGCTAATGGGCAAACACTATCGGTTAGGGCAGGGGAATAGGTGATTCCCGCATGACAGGTGGTGGTAAGTTTACTTACAGGGTGATGCCCATTCCCATGCCTTGACCCAAACCCCCACCCGGAATTTAGCGTAAGGCCACCTATAGTACGGGGGCCACTCACTCCCCTGTCCGACCCGCCATCGGTTCGCAAGAAGGATTTATTCTGACTCTTCAGAATCCAGGGTTGAATTTACGCCTAAGGTTTTTCGTTATGTAACGCAGTAGGTGCTTTGATGAACACTTCGGACCAGAGAGCTTACTGTACGTTTTCCTTCCTCTGTCCCACTGTGCTGGGACAGTGTTTCGCCCGACTTTCCATCTTAAATATCTTGGCCCCACGGTGAGATACGACGCCTGCTATCGCAGCTGCAACTACTACGGTGTAGGCAGAAGAGGTGAATAGTGGAACTGCATCACCTTCGGGCGCGACGGGGCATCGGCCGTTCGGATCGGTTACTTATAAAGAGGCCAAAAACCAAAACGGTGTTGCAACATACCTAATACTGCTCTTCCTCTGGAAACACATTGGGGTCTGGGATCGGTGTGCCAAGAGGGGTGAGTAGATACGCCGATAACTTCAGTCATGGAACTACAGGAAGTTATCCCATCGCCAAATCGTCGCATGCAAGGACTCATCGGAGAACTGCGGGTTAACCAGGCTTGGAAAAGACTAACCTGCTGTGGTTGCACTTGCCGTGGGTAAGTGGTGCGAGAAGGCAGTTGCCCGTCCAAAATCAATAAGACCACCGTCGTTTACCAATCCCTGCTGCAAATTCTCCCTTTTAGTAAACATCCCATGCACATTCTCATCGAACTAGCGTTCAGCAAACAACCCCGATTATTCCAACAAAGATAAAACCTACTAGCCAAAGATGAGTGAGCAGAAACTTAATTTTGTCTGGCACGACCCGTTCGGTTCGGAAAAACTCTTAACCCACATTTGATTTCTCCAGTGGCTTATTTATGCGAAATAAATAAGAAAACCTAGTAGAAAGATGTCTACACCACAGTATTCCAATAATTTCTACTGGATAAAAGGTATTTTGTAAAAACAAAATCGTTACCCAAACTGCATCGCTCCGATGATTAAATTTTCTCATGATTTTTACTAGGAGGTCTCGAAGAAAAAGGCACTGCCCCCAAATGCGTTCATGAGAACCATTAAAAGAAAACTATTTATAAGTTTGAAATACGAGGGTTAATGACTCAATGGCCAGTTCCTCCAAATTATTTTTCCCAGTCTAACCGTGGAAGGAAAAGTACGAAACAGCCAACGATACACAACCGACCAGGTTACGGAATATGCTCGTTCCGTTGTGCTTGGGGCTCATACTGGAACCCTCGCAGGCAGTCGAACAGCGACTAGTAGTAGTTGATCGGTGAGCGCCCACTGTCATAATTGATATTCCCGATCACAACTGACAGGACAACGGGCCGTGGCTCAATTGTAGAGTGTCAAACTCCATGACCAAAAGATCCCCGGTTAGAATCTCAAGTGATCTACACTTGGTGTTGGGTAGGACTGGCTGATGACGGCTAATAAGCCAGAAATGGCCATTCCGGTCGCCCCTGTCTTTGTCGGCACCGTCTCATCTATGTCCACTACTAGTTGCTGTGCGACTGCCTGCGAGGATTCTAGTATGAACCCCAAGGCACAACGGAACGAGCATGTTCCGTAACCTGATTGGTGAGCGCCCTTTGTCATAATACATATATATATATATCTGAAAACTATACTGAAAGATCGTTAGTCGTCTGCGTGCGTTAAAATGTTAGACAAAGATTCTTCGATGTGACCACATGAGATTAATTTAATTGAAGATCACTTTCGAAGGAAAATGGTATCAGGATTCTGATGCATGCACCGCAGGTACCAGTTTATGCGACATGTGCATGTGGACCAGCAGAACTACTTTTCGGCAAAACAAAGTTCAACTTAGTGCGACCAGCGTGTTTTCCTGCTACGCTGAGCACAGTATTCAAATTGGGCCAAATGCCGTCGAATTAGACTGCGCCAAGCATAGACACCGCCTAGTTGTTGCGGCTACGCCAAAGGCACAGTAGAATTTCGAAATGTAGTGCAATTCAAATAAGTAGATGATATGTTTTACTAACTGTTCACTACACCCCTTTTGAGCGACCTTTCGATGCAGCAACCATGATACACGTGTTCCCTGCATACAGCGTACATGGCCGACGAGGTGAGCCGCGGTGGTAAATAAGACCGTGGCATATCGGACAAGCTTTCCATCTTCCCTTGACTGAAGATCATCGGTTGCAACATTTTTGAATGAATACATAAAATGCTTGAAATCCTCTATTTCCGTCTTTTTGCCGCTGGTCTAAGCTCAGGGGATCAATCCTCGACAATTGCTTAATTGCGTCAGGAACACGCCCTAAATGGTTCGGGCAAGAAAGCGTCCCGAATAAATGCAGCGAACGTTTCCCTCACCTAGTTTATCACGAAAAAATACAGCTCATAGTTAAGCAAACATACTGTCCAACTCAATGGGCCAAAAGCGGCTATTGACATTGAACGACGTTTTAGTTATTTTGGCGGGACTCAAACAAGTGGAATTAGTCCTATTCTTCTTTCCAAAGGAAGTAGTTCAGGAGAGAGAGAGAGAGAGAGAGAGAGGAAGGAGCCTGTTCAGAACATTATTTGCCTTAGATACTTGGTAGACATGATAAAAGTATTATTTGTTATTTGATTTGATCGGTAGATCACGTGCCCCTGCATCTACAAATTCAATTTTCGGCGACCGAGCCATAAATAGGAAGGCGGAAAGATCCGTAATTAACTCATATACGAATTTGGTTCATTGAAACTCAACAAATGATGCCTGTCGTGATTCGTACCGTCAGAATCTTCGACCGCATCTGAATCAAGGGAAGGAGAGATTACCTGTTTTGGGATGTAGGAATGCTCTGTGAGGTAGCAGAGGGTCCGCAAGGAGGCCGCCTGTCTCTCATTTATCTTGCCAGAAAGAAATAGCGCCGTAATACCGACCAGCTGATAGTTGTGTTCCGCAATTTGTGTGCGAGAGACGAAATGGTCAACCAGTGATGTTGCCAAATGAAGCGATTCCGTTCCCATGTGGAGATACTGCTGGACCTTTTTAGATCAAAAAAGGAAATTGCCCGTGTCAAACTGACTGAACGCTGCTGAAAGGGGCATTTACTTTGGCTTTTAAAGATTTTTTCTCATCTTGTTAGATGGTAAACATGGTGGAACGTTTGGGCCTAATTCTTCTACTCTTGGATTTATCAGCTAAAAATGTAAGCAATTTTTAGAACTTGATGCCATTTTGCGAGGAAAAGGTAAATATGGGGTTGCACTCCATTATTTTGCAGGTCACAGCATCTGAACTCCGAGCCAAAGAGAAAATAGGTTCGTCTTCGATTCAAGAATTTTGGAGTACACAATGATTGACATTTCTGGCTTCAGGCTTTCCCACGTTCCCCCTTATCAAAGAAGAATCCATGCCAGTCCTGTTGGATTTGACTTTTTTTATACCATAAGGGAGTCTGCAAAGGAAGTTTTTTAATCACGCGAAGTCGTCCTGAATGGAGAACATGACCTCAAAATCAGGACTTTCACTCACGTGACTGACTCAAGTCATGGGTCCAGGTCAGATGCTGCCAGATCAGGGGTTCCGGTGACGTAACAGATGGACATTTCATCGGGTCAATCTGAATGCTGGCAAGACAGCACAAGCTTTTTCCTTATTGGTGCTTGTTGAACTTGCTCCGAAGTCAGCGATAAGGCACCACGGTGTCCCCACCCAGTTCTGCGTCACCTGCCGTAGTGCTCGCGTCAGCAGCAGCACACGACAAAGACGGAGTCATGCTGTCAGTGACGGTTGTTGTTACGAGGTCATAGCCTGACCTCAGGGCACCGTACACATTTTCCCTTCCAGGAGATTTCATAAGTTCTTTCAAGATAGGAGGCCTTTGCTACTAGATTGAGCCCACATCATTGACGGCTAACTGCAAATTGTCCATAGAGTTTGATATTCATTTAGGTTGAGCTCAGCGATACTGCGACCATCGCCAAGCAGGCCATTTGTGGTCACCATGGACGCATTGCCAAGCTACGTTGGTGAATGAAATGCGGGCCGACGGGAGGCAATGATGTATTTTTTACTGTTGTGCCTCAGAGTGGTGGCTGCAGGATCCTCACAAGCGGTCACAACAGCGACTCAAGGCCGCCAGAAAGCCGTCTCTTTCCTAACGTGTGCCCATTCTGTTTCACAGGCGAAAACCCAGTGCCCCGTACTCGGATGATGGTAATCGGTCAAAATGTGGGACAAAATTCGGTCAGATGTGGTTATGTAGTCCCACCTGAGGTAAACAAACCCCAGCCACCAGTAATACAAGACCGGTGGTAGTAGGGGTTTTAACAGGTGGGGCCGGGGAACGCACAGGCGACGAGGTCAAGCAGCTGTATGCAAAAGAAAGGGTAGTGGGAATGTACGGTTGTACTTTGAGTGGTTGAGAAATAGTTGCCCTAACTTCTAACTCTAACCCTATTTCCTAATCTAACCCCCAACCCCAACAGTATTGTGCCCATCAGGTGGGGCTACATAACCACATCTTACCCAAAATTCAAATGTTGATTTGTGTGCGAGTGGAAATGGTTGCCACTGCAGACAAGAAGATTAGCAACATTTTGATAAACCACTGCTAGAAATCGAATTTTTTCCTAAAAACCAGTGATGCCAATGTGCCCAATTTTCGACCAGGCGAGAGCCTAACGAAACGTGTAATGAATCTCAGCAGTAAAGAAGTGGGATGACGGCCTAAGACATTAAAAACTGTGATGAATATTGCTTCTCATGTAATCTACTGTAAGAGGACGTTAAACGGATGGCAGAGGAGGAGAACCAACAGACAGGATTCGGCGCTTCAGTTTTAAGCAACCGCATGTCATTGGTTCGTGAGGAGATCGCCGGTATTTGCTTATGAAAAGTTTAGATGGCTACTGACGTCGACGAACTACAGCCAAAAACAGCGAATGAGTTGGGTTGCAAGTCGCAGTACCAGGACTGATGAATGACACAAAGTAGTATTCTCTGATGTCAAATAAAATGTGGATAGTCCAGACGACTAGAGAAGTTACTACCATGATTTGGGCGAATAGTCTGACATCTGCAGGGTAATGTGTGGGGGAAGTGTTGATTCATATAGAAACTTGGAATCGGTCTTTTTGTTGGAAACAAGAGTGTCAAGTCACACAGTGGGACACTCTCTACTCGATTCCTGCAACATGTGAATCGAAACACTGTAGGTGTTGTTAAATGACAATTCTCTTATACATACGGTGTGGATGACAAAATCGTGACTAATGGGCAGTCGAACTGTTACAATGATCTGCTGGTCTCTGAGGCCTGATCTTAAGCAAATAAACATCAATGGGTAGAGGTACCGGGTGTTTTTAGTTCCTGAATGGGACATGTCTGTCGAAGAATCAACTTAAAGCGGACTTCAAGAACTGTTGGGGGGGGGGAGGGGTTGAGTTGAACAGGTTTTGAAGCAAAATGGAGACCATGCTCCATTTTCTGTTTGGACAGTTTCAACAAGATGTGAGTGACTTAGTAATTGCTTGTTAGACCTCGTTTGACGATTCTTTTTTATAGATAATCGCGTTTAGCCATTTTATGTCAAGACCCCATATGCACTTACGTTTGTCATACTTTGTCCTCTTATGCGAGAAATCGATGATTTTACCCAATAACATCGAAATTTCAGCTGAAAGATCTAGCTTTATAACTATGGAACCTTCACCCATTTAGCAAAAACCGATTTCAGTTAATATATATCCATATAAATCTGCCGGGGTCATAAGGCGTCTCATAATGTTAAACAGTCTAGCTAAGTCAGTTAAAGCTTCTTGGTCAGGATACCAGGGAAGGCATCAAACTCACCTTAATCATCCAGTCAAATAGAGTTGCCCTGATGTTGGGTGTCAGCTGACTTCGCGACAGACAGGTTGGCTCGTAGTCGAGGGAGAAGATGGCATCACGAATGAGGAGGTAGTGCAAAATCTTATTTTAAAAGAAGTCAAAATAAAAGTCTGTTTTGACAAACTGTGGTGCCTTCGTTTTGTTGGTTTTATGCAAACTTGACGAAGCTTGTACGGGGTAGGGACTTTGATGTCGAAGGGAACGAGTCTTCAGAGTAAAGACAAAGTGCTCTGCTTTGCGACTTAACCGATTTTTAGAATTCCTATGTCGCCCATTGGTCATCGCAAATTAACATCTTACATCATTCTCCCTAACTTTTGCCTGTATTGAAAATTTCCGTTTGTGCTTTGACCTTACCGCCAAGTCCACCTCTGATCGTCCTGCCAGTACATTGACATCGAGGCACAGTTAGTGAGGGAAGACAGAGTGCGGTAAACACCTCGAAAGTCCGCCTCATTACAAACTAGTTCCCTCGGAATTCCGCGGGTCACGCGGCGGGTAGGGTTGCTTGCAACAGCCAAAACTTTATGAAAGAACTGCCTAATGGTAGCACAAAAGTTCTTTAAGTCTTGACTCACTTAATTCTCCATGTGCGGATTGGTTGAAATCGATGTTGCTCTTCTGGACGAACTGCGACTTTTAAAACTCAGACAATATACCTTTGAGATCCCTTCTCTTCCGAGTTCTTCGACCATTGATGTTTTGTATAATTCGCCATACACGGAAGCAAAGGCACTAGCTAATTGCCCAGCCACGTGTTTTACCGGTTTTCTGCCGCACAGAACTGAGAGGAGTTCGGCTCGTTAGTGAGTACTACAGCCTTTCCCATTTGCATACTGGCATAAAAACGCCAGTCTTTGAATGCCGACTTTTTAATTTCCTCAGAACTTAATGTGTTTACTTGAAGCACTTCCTTCGGTTCTTCGCCATGCCAGCCACCTGCGTCCTCTCCCGCCTCTGATCTGCTTGGCTCTGTCATGATACCGGATCCAGATGGGGGTGGATAGAGTGCGGAGGATGCTGCGCAAAAGAGTTCACGCACGAGGTGCTGTCTTTGCTCCCACCCTGCTGTGGAGTACACAGTGGAAATCGTTGTAAACAACGGCTGAACTGTCAGGATACCAATGCTGCAGAATCCACCTTTCAGACAGCGCAAGTACTAGCCTGAAAAGGTTTGGCCCGATGCATTTAGCACAGTCAACATATTATTACCTGAGGAGATTAAAGAGGTGACACTGATATTTTGTCCGAAGGACTAAGATTCGCTGAGCACCTACTAGATGAAACTATTAACTCTTTGGCTTTAGACTTACCATCGAAGTCAATTATAAAAAAGTATCCAGTAGGTACATTCCTATTTTCACGGCCTAGCCAGACCTGGCAGTATGATAAGAAGCAGGTGTGTTACACCTGCGAAACTGCCGATAATTCGATTCAACTAGGAGGTCTCAGATTGTTGCCTCAGGCTGGAGTAGCACGCGCTACTAATATAGGACAAAACTTGCAAAATTGAAGATTCGGCTTTCAGCTCGTCCCCCATGTCAGGGCAGACGTTTATTTCGGAACCAGCGGACACATCTGTTAGAAAGGAAATGACTCCAAAGTCACCTGTAACACTTATCACAAGCTTTTCTGCAGGGGAATCGATTCAGTCGAGGGTCGACCTTCTATAATTTTCCCATGTTCCAGAGGATGGTCAGCGTTCCAACAACGAATTTGCGTCACCATCAATGTTTTGCCAAAAAAACTTCGGTAGCACGGACTCCCTCTGTACGTTATTTGTTAAATGCCCAGAACTGCGACCTGCCGTCAATGTATTACACCATGCCGGACCAGAATTGTCGAAATGCGGCGACCGGTTGGAATTTAAATTATCAGGCGAGTTCATGCGTACATTGAGCACGACGCCATTGACGTGACGCATTCGGAGCCTTAGCGTGAGAGAGTCAAAAACTCGAATTTTCCGACCGAGAACAGCTTCACAAGTATAATCAACAGCTTGTTTACCCACTGGAGTACATTGGGGTCGTTTTTAGGCTGGGTAATTAAACGCGAAATATCCATTCAGGCGGAAGTGCTTTTTCCGAAGTGATTTCATCACACCACTACTTATCGCACTTGTCAAGTTAGAACAGAAATCGCATTCGATTGTACTTTTATTGCTCTTCGAGCTGCGACATAATGCTCGAGCTCCTTCTAACTCTTTGAAAAATCTCTTAAACCCTCCGGAGATGCACACAGTCAAGTTTGTATGGAAGTAAAATGTCCTGCGCTGTTTGAATGGTACATTTAACTTAAAAAAGTTAAAAACCCATTCAGCTGTGAGAAGACCACCCTGGGTGATTTGGTTTCCCCTGGTGTAAAATCTTCGCAATGCATCGAAATCCCTTCCCGGCGTTCTCGGTAGGGAACGTTTTCGTGACGTCCCGACAAAAGCGCCTGCATCGCTCTTTTTCTCTAAACCGTCTCACCTTTGGGTCATCTCAAGTAAAAGGCGTAGGGAATTCTTATGGTCCGTTGTCTGTTAGAAAAGTTATAATTTCTTTTTTGAGCTACTCCTTGACATATTACTGGGCCTCAGCGGCCGTTAAAACAAGTTGGTTAGTAGGATAATAATTCCGTTGGACAGGGAAACATGGACCCCGACCCTATTACAGACGGCCTTACCTTAAGTACGAGCGGGAGTTGAATTTAGGAGTTATGAGGACTAGTATTGGAGTCAGGTTTAGTGTTAGACCCGGGGTCAGTATTAGGGATCAGTACTAAAGTTTGGATAGGGGAAGTGGAACTGTAGCGGCCCTACTCCAAAAGCCTGTCTCAACGCAGGGCTCGTACGCATCAGGCCTGTCTGGCGTCCAGCCGCTCGGCTTTCCGACTGGCCAATAAGATTCAAGGCCGAGTCAGACGTGCCCAGTTGTTCTATATAGAATATACAATCCTCCCCACTGGCGTCCATCTTCTCTTTCCATTCGGTACCGAACCTGAGGGTCCTGGTAGGCGGGGTCAAACTCTCGGCTTAGGCTTTTGCAATAGAACCCCCTCGAATTAAGCGCAAAATCATTCGTAGTACTAGGGGGGTCCATATGCCCTTGTCCGACCTAATTATTCTAGTGCTATCAAATGTCCCCGAGTGATATCGCCATCAAATCGCTCCACATCCGAAATTGTCGTTGATGTAGGCACGGATAGTGATTTATTTCATTGAGGTGGACGCCGAAGAATTTCGTCTTTGCTACAGTGACAAGAAAATCAACAGGAGTGATCTTCGGAAGGTCTGAATTTTACCCGTCTTTTGACGCTGATTATATGCTTTGGGGTAATTGCAAAGAGTTGAGTAAATACACAATACCTCCTGCAATTCTGTTTTCAGAAACTCATGATTGATATTGACTAACACCCCTTATGAAGAGCCTTAAATTCGCACATATATGTACATGTATAGGCTAAACACGTATCTGGGCTTTTAATTAGTATTTACGTCGGGAGTATGGTATAACCATCTATCATGTATATGTATGTTGAAGGGGCTTGTAGGTCTGGAAAAAGTGTTCGAGCCCTAACTACTTGATTATTTTTATTCAAAAATGCTATGGCATAACACACGCGTTCGGAGCTTAAAATGAACATCGGAGAACGTACCCTTTTGTAGAAGAGATAAAACTCTCCCTGATCGGCATCGTCTTTGTTAAAGAGGCCGGAAATAAAAAGCTGATCTCGAATCGCCTCGTGCGTCTTCACCCAACATCCATTGTAAATGCCGAAAGCTTGCCTTGTCCCTTCAGGAATGATTTTTTCCTCAAGTGGGGATGCATTCAGTTTCCTCTGTTCCACTTCATTTAGGGTCTGTCGTTCCATTAGCCTCCTAACACACTCGATGCATCTTTTGTTTGACAGAGCTGAAAGCAGAAGACGTCAGAGACGGTTTGAACCACGCGGATCAAATTTCTGGTGTCCGTTCATAACTTCAATTAAGTCTGCAGAGCATTTGGTGCTGACCGCAGTTTCGGTAAGTAATTTATCCCATAAGATGGGCAATCTGAAGTACATTGATTCGCAAATGAGACACAAATGACCGCCAGACATTCGGCCGGAGGGTGAGCCAGGCAGTTTTTCTCCGCCTCGCAGTCAAAGATTTTCTGATTTGCCAAACGTGCCCAGAAAATGTTTTTATTTGTTCTATTTAGTTTTCATTGCACCATCATTAACGCAATTCTGAAATATTACATGCTGAGATTTCCTACACATCGACACCCGGCTCTCAGAAAGTAATCTAGTAAGTCTATAAATAACACGCCCCATGTGGAACACGCCTGACACCATGCGACGAATGCGCCCTATGAGAAACGTGCTTAACTGATCCAATAGGTGTTTACTAAACCTCACCGGAAGTCCTGTGCCTAAAACTATCATCAAAATTGGTCGAACTTAAGGAGGTTGACCAGGAAGGTAAATTAAAAGCAAGCTCAATAGTGAAAAAGCGCAAATGCTCCGAGGGTTAGTGTCGGCGGAAAATAATGTTTAAAACAAATTTTTGGTTGTCATTGCTACAAACCTAAGCTAGTACAAGAAAGGGTTCCAGAAGCTCGAGTTTCTATTAGAGTGACTCCTAAGCATTTTCAAGCGAACATTTGAGGCCCTTTGTTCGTCATGTCTCAGCGGCGAATTAGGACATCGTGTAGGCAGACGATTTTGTGCTCTGACATTTGTTGCCATAGCCCAAGCTGCGGCAGAAACCCTTAAATTATAATATGGAGTTTAAGGACTAAATGCGTGACTGAAAATGAACTGCCTACTTAAGTCGAGGTATTCAACATGTCCTATGGCATGCACGGACCAATAGGTAATCCGGTAGGAATACTTACATGTAGCGTCCTTGTTTTCCTTCCCGGGTACAGGAAGCGTCCCTTCACGAACATCTTGAAAATTCTTCGCCAGAGCATCCTCTGGAAGTTCTAGGCTCTTGCCTCTCCTTATCACTTGGAACATCCTGTCTATTCGGTTGTTTCTTTCGGGAAAAGGACTGTCTCTTTGTCGTTTGATGTACTTTCTTTTCCTGTTTGTTTCGCGGTCAGGGGAGGACGATTTATCCTCGCAAACGTCAAAGCCCAGAGACACTGACTCGCTGCTCCTGGGAGGATTGTTTACTTGCTTGAACTTCTTTGATCTCCGACGGCCAAGGAAGGCGGCTTGTTCTCGCAGACGTTGTGATGGGACACTGAGTTTGCGTTGAATGTGTCCAAAAAATCTGTTGGAGTGGTGTTTACTGCAGGGTTCTGGAAGGTCAACTGGGTGCGGTTCAGGCTGACACGAAGGGGCGTTGGAATTCATTATTTCCATCGATGGCCTTCAAGACAAGCAGAGGGCATCGTTTGGACTCTTGGCGTCACAAACATCAATAGTACAATCTTTCAACAGCTTTAAAATTGCAAAGCATCGGCCTCAGAAGTTTGCTTTAAAAGCGAGGGGTTTGTTAAACAGTTTGTGAAACATTTGAGTAGGTGATACTACTTTCCCTCAAGAAAACTGGTTGCACTACCGATCTTGCCTAAAGACAGTACCGATTAATGTAAATTAGCTTTAGCCATAAAAACTCATACCCGCCATTCCCCCAGAGGATTTCTCTGCAAGTGTGGTTGGAGCTAATCCTTAAATATGACAACATCTTCAGGGTCACGAGATGACTAAGCCCTGTGGAAGACCGTATATTTCCTGATGGTGTTTAAGGTCACATGAAACACTGTGTGTGAAATTTCTCGGCAAGTGGAAAGCAATTTAGGTTACTGACTACCACGTCCGAAGAAATTCTGTTTGGTGATAGCTTATTTTATCATAAACTAATATGCTTTTATTTTGGTTATTATGGATAACTCTCTAGTAGAAACAGTAGGCTCTGGAGTTCACAATAGCGTTTCAGCGCCTACATTTCATTGGACCTGAGTGCTACCTATGACGGCAGCCCTGCTTGTTCGTATATGAGTAAACCCAGCAATAAAATTCCAATAGTATTTGACGCAAAAGTATTGGTGCACCAAATGCATGGCTCTTCGACAATCTACTACCTTGTTTGACCGGTGCTTACAAGGGAAAACCTTGGCGTATTTCACTGCGTATTCTTAAACAGCAAAGTTTGTATTTAAGGACTGACTTAATTCTTTACTCTGGCGGGCATATTTATGATCAAAAGAATGTTACTACGAGTTCTGAACGAGAAGGATACCGCGGAATAACAATGGCGATTGTTCTGGAATAGCAAATGCGAAGCTGATGACAGACTCGGAACATTCCACCGTTTTTGCACGAAGCCCCTAAGTTAAAGCCGTTAAAAAACGCAGAACCACCTACATAGCCTAAGAATTAATAGTTATGTTTTCTTGATGAATAAATGTGATATGCTTCCCCAAAGTCACTGGGCCTAAGCCTGTAGAAAGCAATACTACACCACCTTTAGATTTGATTACGTAAAACATTGTGGGCAGATACTTTAATGACGAATGTCACCGATTTTTTAAAGCCTGATACCTTTACAAATTATAGCAACTTTCTGCGCGTAAAACATGCCTCTAGATAGTGGACAGGTCTCCGTGCCCACCCAGTGAGTTTAAGTGGACTGTTCATACTTAGTTCAAGATACAGGCATCAAGTTACAGGATTTGCTGGACACTTTAAAACCTCTTGTAAATGCTGCTTTTCTGAAATCAGCCAATAGCTTTCATATGGTAGTCAGGAAATTACCAAATCCACCGTATGAAATCCCCACTTTTCAACGGAAAGTTGTGATTGTCTCTCTTTGAGAGTAGAGAACCAGCAATCTGATAACAAATTGTGATCCAAACTGAACTGGATCGTTTATCTCCTTCCCAATCATATTTTTTAAGGACTGAGCAGTATGTAGCAGTATGATAACATTCGTTAGATTGATTTAGACTTTCATGGTTTACCACTGGCACAGTTTTATTGCATACGCGTTCCTCGACGGTCGGAAATCAAGAAATTTGCGGGAAACCAGCGTCTTTATTTCCTATCGATTTACCTGGGCAGCCACATTTGGCCGCCATTTCGGCTTTGAGAATCTACTGTCTGGTTTATTGCAATGACGGTCAACGCGAAATGATGGCATCATAAATTTCCCCCACCCGTTCAGTTTACCGCTTACAAAGGCAATACATAAATGTCCTTTTTCCCTCCGAGAATACCGTCCCGCCAAAAAGGGACCAACTTCGGAGAAAGGCAGAGTGTGGACCAGCTGACGGCGTATTTAGGGATTTGCGACTTCTGAGCTACATATCAGGATCTCGGAGACAAAGTGGATGCGTGCGAGTCAAGTGTGTAAAAACCTAATGATCAAAAATTGCAATATGAGTTCACTTAGAAACATAAAAGTTGAAAATGTCAAAACCCACTGATAAGAGATAACGAATTCCATCTAGGCATTAAGTCGAAAGGGTAAAAATGGATAAATAGTAAGTTGAAAGTAGTTTTCTTATGTTATCTATCTGCTTACTAAAACTGAAGCCCCGTCCGCATAAGCCAGGAATTACAGTTGATAAGGAGAACCCAGCTAGAAGGCAAAGTCCTCGTCGAAATGGTGCCGTGACTGGTGTGTAGACGGAGGCTGCTCGGAAAGTGTCCACGTGGTAGAAGACGCAGTGGCCGAATGGACACTGGCCCTTGCGGTTAGCGTTGGGTTGATCGATTGGACTGAGTGCATATCAGCTGTTCGCGCCAAACGCGACACCTACTCTGTGAAAAGAACTCAGGGGCCATCGCTGACGCGTGGAGAGTGCATTTAGGTCCTCTACAGGAGCCAATTACTGCAGGCAGAGTGAAACACGCGCATGCAAGGGGTTCTGCGTAAAGGCTAGCTGAAACGAAATAGCCGCAAATAAGAGAAGAGAAATAGGTGAGCGGAGAGTATTAAAAAAAACAGACACGATGTGCCAACGGAAAGGAAAAAGACCCTGATATAACATTGCATTTACACAGATAATGTGTCCATCGGAGGGATTCGTGGTTACCAGAGCTGTGATGACTATATCCTGCCTGTGCTTCGAAGGCGAAATTTTCTGGCCGCAGCAAGATGCAGTTACGACTTCCATGGCTGTGTCGCCAGTGCATATGGGTAACATCAATTTGACAGGAACACAATTAGATCTGGCCATGATTTGGTAAAAAAGGGAAACGTCCACTTTCCTGCGACCGGCAGCACGCCGGGTCCAGAAGTTTGCAATTAGATCGGGTGCATCTGTCTATCAAAGGTTTTTTAGTATTTATGATCTGCCGATCGACTTGCAGTGGTAGGGTTCGTGAGCATTGTCTGATCCTAGTACTCCATATACGCTCGTAGTGGACTGATCTCTTCTCGTCCCAGCAGACAGGCAGCATCGATGTGTCGGCCTGAGTCTTTGATAGTGAATACTGCTCGGCAGACATCACGAATGCATTCCTCTTTTGACAGTATGTCAGCTCCCATAAGGAAAGTCAGGTTCACTGCAAGAGACTTGCATAAATCGATTAGTGCGGGACCGGTACTGACGTTGCCTTTGAGAAATGATCGTAAATGAGCAAAACAGGAATCTCCGAAACCAAACAGGTGCAGGAGGTCAAAATAAAGCCCCATTGTAGACCAACACCGCAAAGGTTGAATACCTTCCAATATATCCTCGTTGTCGCCTAAACTTCCGGTCCTGGATGGACCCTAATGGGCGTTTTGAAGTCACGCGTCATGTGAACAGGACTGACCAACCCCTCATTCCAAAAAAACCATTACCGGAAATGTTCTCGCCATTTCCCTCCCCGTAACAGCAAATCACAGTTCACGTTTACTCTGGTCGCACACCGTCGAATCCATCGCAGTATTAACACCGACAGGAAGGAGGGTGTTCCCGTACGCAGTTCAGGTACAGCGTCAGATTATGTCCACTGTGGTCAGAAGTCAAAATTGCCCATCGGCCTGGTCGGACATCTGCGGTTCCATCGCAACACGACTGAGAAAGCAGCACAGGAGCCCCAGGTGACAATATCAGCTTTGTCTGAGTCCGTGCAGTCGGACGCATCATGAGCATAGTCGCTTACATGCGCACGGACACGAAAGCTACCCTTTAAATAACACCCATCACTTACTCACCTACTGCTCAGACGACGATGACGCTATGATGTTTTCTGACATCGGTGCTGAGGGGAATGTATCCTGCGCGTGCAGCGAACGGTGGCCTAATGGGCCTAATTCCAAACCTGCCACCGTTACGCGAGGAGGGGGGAAAGAAGCCGATGAGGCTGCTCCAGTTCAAACAAGTGTGATTTTAAACCACTCCGACGTGCTAATTGTCGCGACGTGTAGGGTTGCGAACTGACTGTCGGGATGTAAATTGCCCTTCAATGCGTTTCTTTTATGACAGCTTTCTTCACCGGAAATCCAAGGCACCGTTCTAAAGAGAGGTCTAGGTTTGTCTAGGGACCAGTGTGTATGTAGCACGGGTAGACATAAATTTAAATCCCTTAGTCACCCCGACGGAGAGACAGAGAGAATCAGGTGCTATACGATTCTCCTACTCCCATGATGCATTCGTAAGTCGCTGAGATGCTATGACAGTAGTGACAGTCCTCAATGTTTGCAATGAACGAACTATCCCGCTGGAGACTGTACTGAGGACTGAATCATATATAGAAGAGGCGAAATCCTGGTCTTTTTGCCGTCGGTCCAGCTTTTTTTTAAAGGCAGTTGATTATTTAGGTCTACAGCCAGCTATGTCTGACTAAGGCACTATTGCGCTGTCCATGAAAGAATGGGGGCGAAGGTTTGAGTTCCAGGTGTATGTAAAAACAAAGAAGACCGGTCAGGCAGCGGAACCGTTTGCTTATTGTTCTGAGCTTTCGAACTCATGCAGAAGTCCATCATCAGAGACAGTGGCAGCAGCAGAACGAGCGGCAGTTATGAGGGAGTGGGGGCGACTGGAAGCGACTGCGTATGGTTTTGTACGCCGGAGCCAGATCGATAAATCGATTGACTGACTTCTCGTCAGAGGCTCAGGTTTCAATCAACTCTCGGCCTGCTTTGTTTCCGGCGTGGGCACTTATCTTCGTGGCCGCGAAGTTGGCTAATAACCCACTTCGTACGTGATGACAGAAACTTGCGCTATTTCGTCGTCTTGTCGCACAGCAAACTTACGTTCGTGTATGCAAGACCCGAGCATGTGTCTCGTCGGACTGGGCGGGACGTACAGAGCCCTACACAGTCACCTCCAGTCCCAAGGCATCGATCGACGATTGGCTAGTGTCTCCCGTAATTCTTGCGCTTTCTGTTGTTGTTACTGCGACGAGAGACTCTTGCACGGGTTCGA